TTTTGCTGAGTTCTCCAGCCGAGAGCACATTCAATATAGGGAGGAGAGACCAAATATACACAGATGGATAGAATATGTATAGATACTTGGCCTGGGGTGGGTTTTGGGTGGCACAGTCACAATTGAGTGCGGGTAGAGCTGGGTGAAAAAAACGTCTACACAAAATCAATAATTACCACAGGCACATCTACCACTTTGTTCTTTGCAGTGGCTGCCAGAGTGGGAGCGAGCAGACTGCCGGGGTGAGTGCGAGTGAGACAGCGGGCGGGGAGGCTGCGGGCGGGTGGTGGGGGAGCTGGGTGGGTTGCATAGGGCCGCAGTGGGCGCCTGATGGTGTGACGCTATGCTGGATCTCGGATGGTACAGAAAAGGAAGTTGGGGCGCGTTCGATAGTGGCGGAGAGGGTGGCTTAATGGTTGGAGACACAGGGAGATGGGGTGGAGTTTTATTGATTTAGTTGGGTTCATCTTGTGTGTGTCGCGCGCTACTGGGCGGCCTGTGACTGCTGAATTGAAAGTTTCAGGGCGCAGAGCGCCCCTCACACCCAAATAACAATCGTCATCAATTTTTTCTGGCTTCTCTGCTATCCAAGTTCAATGGAAATGATTTGCGAGACAAAGGGAGCAAAGCTCTCACAATTTGTCGATGAATCCTGCAGATTGGGCTATAGTGCTTAAAAATTCAAGCAGTTTTCCTCATGTATGTCCTGGGAAATTGAATGTTGGTCTCTAAGAGGCTCTGAAAGTATCACCCGGTGACTCTTGAATCAATAACCAAGAGGGCTTTTCCTCTCATCGTGCTACAAACTTTCCCATATTCGACTCATGTTTCGCAGACATTTTTTCTTTGGCTGTGTGCTTAGCAATTGAGAAGTTTGTTGAGAAGAATTGACTAACAAAATTACACAATTCGCTATGCTCACCCACCCTTGTTCGTTCACCCCTTCGAGGGTGGGACTCTGTCTCTTCTCTTCCTCTTGAGACATAGTGAAAGTGACGAGGAAAAGCTCAAGAAAACCCCTTCATACATCGAAAGTGAAGATGGGTGAAAGCTCAAAACTCTATGTGCATAATACGATTACATATGTGGGTTGAAGGTAATTTGCACCACATAGAGAAATCTTGCAGGGGCTTCTCGATAAACTTGTGGGGTGTTTGTATTTATTTATTTAACAAAAAAAACCTCTCTTATTACTGCAATTGTTGGCATTTGAAATAAGTTTTATTTAATGGTTTTACTCATAAATTGTGTTGGAATATCAGCAAATTTTCTTCTGAATGTTGTTCCATTGAGCATATTTCTATGTATGAGATAATTTACATATATGCCACATCCCATGACGATCTAAAGATTTTGCCGCTTTTTAATAAGAAGATTTTGTTTTCCAATCCTCACAAATTCTTTATTTCTTTCCAAAGATATTTCTTTCAAATGAAATGAATAAATATGAGGTGACGTTTGGAGCAAGGTTCAGTTTTTTAACTTAAATTGTAAGCCCCTGAAAATTTTCACATGTGCGAATATTGAAGTTTGGAGCCAAACCACCCCCTCTGAATTGGCCTCAAAAAGTGGTATAGAGAAAAAGGAAGAAAACAAAAACAGAATATAAAACGGAGATATGTATAAATTGCTATCTATAGAGATAAAAATATCCATGGAGCAATGACTATTGGCTGAGGCGAAACTATACACAGAAAGAGAGCGCGCGGTATTGCAGGGGTGCGCACACAGGAGGGAAAAAGTGAGGAGAAAAGAACTCTTCTAATTTTATTTTTGCCAGAGATGACTTTCCACCGTGCCCCATGCCAGCGTCCCAACACCAAATCCCCAGCCTCAATCTCCCAATTGTGCGCCAACAATTCTCCATCAACCAATTCAGGCCCCAACCCCACTGAGCTCACACTCCCTCTGGGCCAAAACCATCCGGCACAGATCCGTACTCTTGGCACAAATTCTTTTTTTTTGCGCTCCCCCAAAAAGAAAATCTTCATCGAAATGGCTCAAGTGGGAAAAGAGGCGAGGGGAGGGAGGAGAGCAAAGAGAATTGAATTGTTTTTAGGAAGTATTCCATCCACGGTTGCGATTTAAATCTAGCAAATTTATCGATTATCGGCAGGGAAGCTCAAACGGATAATCGTGCATTTGTCTCAAGTTTTTGGCTCGATTTTGCTTCGCATGATAAATTTATGTTGACATTTATGAACAACAGATTTACCAGTTTTGCCATCACGAAGATCGGGAACGAATTCAGTTTTTTGCCAAAGGAGAGAGAGAAAAAAACCAAGCGAGCGGTGGTGAGAGACATTTATGGAATGATCTTGAATGGGTTGGGGATATTTTGGCAAAGTTGTGGGAAAATTTAGTGTCTCCTTCTGTTGTGACATTTTGAATAATGTGATTTTATTTTTCTGGGAACGTAAATTATATTTTTTTTCTTGCAATTTATGCCATAAAGTCAGGACACATTGTGAGATCATGTTCTGAGAAGTAACTAGACTTGTCACAATTGCATTGATTTTTTTCTGGGGTATATAACATCAATGAAATGCGGAAACACTCGGAAAATCAATGGAAACTGTCGTCTTCAGAGAAAGATGAAAGAAGCCAGAAATTTTTAATGCAAAGCTTCTCCTTTTCATGGATTTTTTGCCGCTTCTATTCTGACTGCGGCCCTCTACCTTTTTCCTCTCACTGCTCTGTCTCTCGAAAGTTGAGTCCTTACTATACCAACCATGTCTTTAGCTATGTTTTAATATTGGTATATAAGAGACACGCCAAAGTGAAAAAGCACTGGTGGGAGGCGAGAGAGAGAGTGTGTACCGACGTTGGAGGCAGGACGCAGGATGATAGGGAAAAAAAGCTCTAGTGCACGGAATTAGGGTTCCACAAGGGGGGCGGTGGAGGGGAGGGAGAGGCTTTTGGGGTGGTTCGATAGAAGCTGTACACAAAAGCAATCATGGCGTGTATTAGTGTTTTCTGTTTGTACGATTGAGCTGGTGCGGCTGCCGCCACTGGGAGCTCTCTGCTCCTGATGCCTGTGGGTGCAAGTTGGTCCGTGGGTTGGGGTCTGACTGAGTGACTGGCAAGTAAGCGGCGGTGGGCTGTTGGGTGGGTGCAAAAGTGCTCACAGTGCGACGTAATTCGCATAGTGGGACTGAGAGTGCGAACAGAGGAGAGCTATATCTGATGAGTTTTCTGGGATGAGGTGGGATAGAGGTACTGGGATCCGGGAGACTCCTTCTGGCGCTCACTATGCTGATGATACATGTATTCTTGTCTCGTTTCCGCCCTCTTGTCATGTGTAGCTGATTTTTTTCATTACGACAAACTTCACTTCAGGCCGTTCTATTCCCAATGATGGCGTTCGTAAAACTATAGGGACTCGCCAAGAGGTGGAAACGGGTTGAGAATTTTTAAGGGGTTTTCCGTGAGCATTTGACGGAAAGAAAATGTTTGAAAGCGTGAAATTCACAGAATGTGTGAACTAATAAGATCGTACTCTTTAAAAGTAATATTAATAAAAAGTCATAAGGAATGTTATGTAGAAATAGTGTTGGCTATAAGTACTCAGATTTTCCTCACAGATTCAACTTTTCCGAAAAAAAATCGAAAGGGTGTGTTTGCGAGTATTTTGGGGTTTGCTTTATTTCTCATGCGAGTCACACATACCTTGACATGTCTCTATTTATACTTCCTTATCATCATTATCTTCTTATGTTGGGTGAGTGACGATGAGTGAATTCAAGAGTTATTTGCCACTTTTACACCGCTTTCCTCCCTTGCCCTCCCCATCTTCTCTTTTTTTTTAGTATATAATTTGACTTGTGTGATTGCACCACACCTTCAATATTTCATCGACAGTCGCCCCTTGTGGGTGAGGCATTTGCCGAGGGAGAATGTTGGCGGGGAGGCACTCAGACGCCCGTCTCAAAAGTCAATGAAGTCGAGGGAGTGAAGAATGGCTCAAGTGTGGAGTGTGATGGGTATATAATATTGTGGAAATGGGGGGATTCCACGGGAGAGTGAAATGTGCGTTCTTATGGCGAAATGTGTGAATGTTGGGAATGAAGATGGGCGAATATAGAAGGTTGGTGAAGATGAGAAAATAGTGGTGAAAGAAGAGACAAAGAATGGGTGGCTTAACTAATCAATACACGCAGCAGGAAGTGGCAAAAGCAAGTGTTTCCAACGCTCAAGAAGTAGGTTCAAGGCCGTTGAAACTCTTCTTATTCTCGACTTTTCGTTTTTTGCTCTATGCGACACCCGAGAAAGATGAAGAACAGGAGGTTTCTCACTTGAGAATCCAGATCCATTCACATTTTGTTATTTAAATGAGTATGTGGCTCTGTCGATGTCGACTCTGGAACATCGCGGTGTTGAATATGCCAGGCCAAAGTGAGGTGAAGGAGAGACGTTATATGGGCGGGTAGAGAAGACAAGAACGCCAATGTGAAGAGTCAATGTGGTGGAGAATCGTTTTTGGCCATACAAGACTTCATCATCGGTTGATCGCATTTTCCTCCTGTCTTTTCGGCTTTGTTTTCGCTTTCTCCCTCCGCACACCGTTCGTGTCTTCTTCTCCTGTTGAGCCATGTTAAATAATAATGATGTCATAAGAGATGGGAAGTTCTTTTTACGATGGGTGAAAAATTTAATAGTCCATGAGGAGTGAGACTCGAATTGAAAGTCGGCACTGGCAGCGAAATGCAACGACGAGAGTGTGGGTAAACCGCCAAATTTTGCATGAGGTGTGCTCCGACTTCCTGGCCAACACGAGGAAGTGCGGGCGCGTGTGTGTTCCAATAAATATTCGGAAGTGGCAGTAAAATGGCATTTTACGATGAGTGAGGGTGTGAGAAAAGAGGGAGGGATGCTCTTGTGGGGCGGAAGGAAGAAGTTGACTGAATTGTTAAGTACTTATCTGAGCTCGTAAATTCATATCTCACTTTTCTCTCTTTTGCGCTCTTTCTCTCTCTTTCTCGGTATGATGTGGCGTGCAGAGTCTCCTGCGAACAGCTGAAAAATTGAAAATCCGATGCCTGTGCGAGGAGGTGACTGAGACAAGCAGTGGCGAGGGCAGGAGCTGCGACAGGAGAATCCCACCGTCGACGTCGGGTGCGAAACGTACCAAAAACAACCAAAAAGTGAGCTGCGGCGAGCAGAGGACCACGGAGTCGAGGAAACGACTGGGCAGCAGAGGTGATCCGGACGTGGAGAATGGTTCAGTAGTTGTTCTGGAGCCGCGACAGGTGTTGGCACGTGATCAGAAGACCATGACGAGCCTGGGAATGGGTATGGGCATTAATGGGGGCCTGATGGGTGTCTCCATGGGCTTCCTGGACTTTGCCCCGGAGCCACCGGCACCCTCCGCCACTCCAGTCACCGAGCATGTCGACCTCAACTGCACACCCAGTTCAGACACAAGAGACTTATCGAGTGAGTGAATTTGGCCAAAGTGCATGGCGGACTTATATGTATTGTCGATTTCCTCAAGATAACTATGTATACTTTCTCTGGAATTTATGATCTCTTCCTTGAACTATGGGAATCACTTCCGTTTGAGACTCTTGTCAGTTCTGAACGGGCGAATGATTTCTGGAATTCTGGAACAGTTCACGATGTAGACGTAAACTCTCTAAATTGATATAATTTGTCTTTAAATCATTTAATTACTTACACTACTAACAGTAAACATTATACGTTTCATCACTAACCAGTGTGAATTACTAAACTATTTAATCATATGTTTATTATATTTTATAATGTAAGAGATGCAAAATTTACTCAAAATCCTACCCCTACATAATTTTCATATCAATTTTAGTTCAAGAATTTGAAACACCTCAGCGCCATCCTGAACCATTAAGCTCTTATTCAAGCTATCGTAAGGATTCTTCCTCTTTCAATCCACTCGCGGCGATGACGTTCTGTGTTAATACAAGAGAGCATGATTTTGCTTGCAGACTCAACGCCAAATGGGGAAGTGCGGATAAAGCTCGAGACATTGCGCTCGATGGATCCCTCCGAGACTCTCGAAATGGAGAATCATCACATTCACACCATCCACCAGTTGGATCATCCACAGACGCATCATCACCATCCGGTGGCGCACCAGCAATCACACTCGCCACCGGTGCCTCAGCAGGCACACCATCAGCCTCCGCAGCCAGTGCAGCCGCCCTCGCGGGTGAATCAGCCGCAAACGGCTCATCAGTCGCCGGTGCAGCAACCGCCCCCACAGCCGCCGACGCCCCAGCCTCAGAGGCACCACAATGCCAGTCCGCCGGATAGTCAGCCGGACATCAAGCCGCCAGTGCACCATTCGATCGTCTCGGCGTCCACGAGCATGGACGTGGAGCAGGGCGGAATGGAGCATGAGCCGATGCACGGGATCATTGTTACGCCGGAAATTGTGACGATGATGACACCGAGTCAAATGGGTAAACTCCCAGCGATGTCTTCACCTTATCCAAATCACACTGTCAGCTTCTTTGCAGACATGTATAACTCAGACGCGAGTGAGGACTCCAAGATGATGTCCAATGGGTCTCCGGGGAATAGCAACAGTGCCACTCAGTACACGAGTCTCACGCCACAGCACGAAAACAGGACTCCGGGCGGGCCGAAGACATGGACGCAGGAGGACATGGAGGCGGCTCTGGATGCTCTGAGGAATCACAATATGAGTCTCACGAAGGCGTCAGTGACTTTTGGCATACCTTCGACAACTCTGTGGCAGCGAGCTCATCGGTTGGGTATTGACACGCCGAAGAAAGAGGGCCCAACAAAGTCCTGGAGTGAAGATTCGCTCAACAATGCTCTGGAAGCACTGCGGACTGGCACGATTTCGGCCAATAAGGCGTCCAAAGCCTTCGGCATCCCATCGTCAACTCTCTATAAGATCGCCAGGCGGGAGGGAATCCGTCTGGCGGCACCATTCAATGCGGCGCCTACCACGTGGACGCCGGAGGATCTCGAAAGGGCCCTGGAGGCCATCAGAGCCGGTCATGCGTCCGTTCAGAAGGCCAGCACGGAGTTTGGAATACCAACAGGTAAAGAAAAAAGTTGCCCAAGAAATTGATATCCCTCATATTGTGATCGTTCCTTGCGAAAGGAGTGGGATGGAGTGAAGAGTTTGTGCGATATGCAAAAGATAAATTCGCATGAAAACTTCGCTTCTAGATTTTTTTGGGTTTGTTTTGAGCAGAAGTATCACTGTGAAATGCTTGTTTGAGAACTCAAAAAATCGATCCTGCCAGGAGTCGAACCTGGAATCTTCTGATCCGTAGTCAGACGCGTTATCCATTGCGCCACAGGACCATATGATCTGATCTTTGCACGGTTTCTGTCGCTTCAGGCACTCTGTACGGGCGCTGCAAGAGGGAGGGCATTGAGCTGTCGCGCTCAAATCCGACGCCATGGTCCGAAGACGCTATGATGGAAGCCTTAGAAGCTGTTCGGGTTGGTCAGATGTCGATCAATCAAGCTGCCATTCACTACAATTTGCCATATAGTTCGCTGTATGGGCGCTTCAAGCGAGGGAAGTACGACACGTCCAGCGACGGTAGTCAGATGGATCACAGCCCGGAGAATACTGTAAGTTCGGTCTATTTCGGGAGTGCCTGAGGGTGTGAGGGAGGCATGTTTAGTGTGTGACTAATTGGATCATCTTGTGTGGCTTCGCAGCAACACCATCAGCTGCAGTACACGACGACAGTGATGCAGCAGCCGCCGCAGCAGCATCCGGTTCACATGCACCACCATCCGCCACCGATGGTGGTGGTGGCCACGTCGCAGCCTCCGCCGCCGCCGACGCCCCATCCCCAGCCAGTGCAGGCGCCCCACCATCCGCCCGCGACGTCGAACCCCGTGCAGAACCACCCCAACAGCCACGTGTACCATCAGCAGCACCATCACATGGAGAGGAGTTGAAAATCGCCGCCCAAGCGGACCGCCAGGCGGAAGTTTCTGAGATTGCTGAGGCGGAAGCGTTGCTAGGATTGAGTGGGTGGGAGCGAGAGGGAGTTAGAGACGTAAGAAGAATAAACGTAACATCAAATAGTAGGATTAATATCAGTAGGAATATCGATCTTAAGGATGGTAATGATAAATTTAGTGAACGAGTAGGGCTCCGCATGTGGAGATTAGTGGGAGAGAGTTTTGCCAGTGTCTTTTGGGAGTTTGATTTTGCTGTTGATTCGCTATGTTTGCCAATATGATTTCAATGGCTTGCGGTACTAATTCAACACTCGGCCTGATGATTCAAATATTTTATCTACACGCTGACGTGGGCCTGTGACCCGATCGGAAGACTGAAATTGCACGTCATTTGATCCGCAGTCTCGAAAGATTACTACACTGATGATTTTTCCTCCCCCTGGAGACCCTACAATTCTGACTATGTAGCATCTAAAAAGAAGTGAGAGAAATCACACACTTTAATTATAGCCACTATTTTCTTGCGAGAGAGAGACATTAAAAATGAAAGTAATCTTCCATTTTACTAGTTTATAGCGTTTATGTTTTTTCAAACTTTAAGATTTATTAAGCGAGTTATTTGTACTGCATATTTCGTTATGGAGAAGTGAGAGAAGAAAAAAAAATTTTGAAGAATAAAGGAAGAAAACTATATATTGGTGATATTTTGTCTGATCTTTTGGTTGCGATCGAGTATAAATTGAAGAAAGAAACAATTATTGTTATATTGTTAATTCATTAAGCCAGTTAAAGCGAAACATTGTAGTGATTATATTTTGCGAAAAAAAAGAGAGAAAGAAAAACCCAATAATTCACACGAATGAAAGTGCAGGGTGACTGAAAGGAGTGCAATGATTTATTAATTGAGTGACACGTGAAATCAAAATTTATTGATATAATGAAGCTGATTTTAGCCACCCTTCCGGGAGTTTAATTTTATTTTCTCATTTGCAACACTCAATTTTCCACCCCGCGTTCGAGCCTAAAGCGATTGTTGTTATGGATATGTCCAGTGACGACGATTTATTCGCTGTAAATAGACTTTAATGAATGATTAGACACTACTTAGGGGTCATAGAACTGAGAGGCTCCCATTGGCGTGGAGTTCGGTGATTGGGAGATAATCTTTCGCTGAGGATATTTGTGAACTATGAGTAAATTTTAGGTATAAAATACATTGTAGCCTAAGTACGTGTAACTGATATGTGTACAAAATGTAAAAGCATATTTTAAAATGCCCTTGGGTGCGTTTTATTGGGCTAATTCACACTCTCGACAGGGTCATTGAGCTTCTCTTTTATTTTTCCACAGTTGTTCTTTGTACGTTTGCCTATCTGGAAATGCTCTGAAGTTATTGGCACATTTTTTCAAAGATCATTACTTTTTTTCTCTAAAGCTTGTATTAAGCAAATATTATCAGACTAAGTATTTCTATCAATTTTATACAAGATCCGTCGGATATTCAAATTTACCTTTTTCAGATATAGCAGAAAATGCTGCTTTGGTTTACTTTACTTTTTTAATCTTGTCGTTTGAGAAGAAATTACAATGAATTGTAGGCCAATTATTAAGTGCAGTTCATGAATTTGAGTATATTTTCGGGATAGTCTGAAAATCATTGAGTAAAAGCCTAGGAACTGGATCAATTTAACCTGTTTCACCATTCTCTGCGCGGCACTGCAAGGACGTGACCAGTTGGCGGCAGGATGCGGAGTTTGAAAATCGGCGAGCGGCATGGTTTTTGAGAACACTCCTTGGCGTGGCGCAGCGCCGTGGCGGCGCATGTGCGAAGCAGGGCGAGTGTCGGTAAGGCAGTGCGGCTGAAAAGGTTGGGGAATTTGACAGTTTTCGTGAAAAAAGTTCGGGTCGGTGAAATTTTTTCATTCGCCTAAAATAAACAAATACGGGGCAAAGTGAATTGCGGGCACGATAGGATTGTGCGGTGAGGCCTGCCAATGACAAAGGGGTGCCGCCAGGATGGAGAACAGTGAGGAGAGCGCGAAGAAAGTGTGGACAGAGCAGGACATGGATGCGGCTTTGGATGCGATGCGAAACGACCAGATGAATCTTGTGAAAGCGAGCGTCCAATTTGGCATTCCTGCCTCGACACTGTGGCAACGGGCCACGCGACTGGGCATCCCGGTGCCCAAGAACGGCGTCAAGACGAAGACGTCGAGCAAGGACGGGCTGGCGGAGGCGGTGGTGCTGCTGAAGAACGGGGAGATATCGGTGAACAAGGCGTCCAAGGTGTTTGGCATTCCGCCGTCGACGCTGTACAAGATCGCGAAGCGCGAGAAGATCCAGCTCTCGCCGCCCTTTAACACGTCCGCTACGTCCTGGACGCAGGACACGCTGGCCACGGCGATGGACGCAATCCGGAATGGGCACATGTCGGTGCACATGGCCAGCACCAAGTTCAAAATACCGTCCGGGACGCTGTACGGGCGTTGCAAGCGGGAGGGGCTGGAGCTGTCGCGCACCAGCCCGGCCCAGTGGTCGCCCAAGGACCTCAAGGAGGCGCTCGAGGCCATCCGCTCGGGCCACATGTCCATCAACCAGGCGTCCGAGCACTACAAGATCTCCTACAGTGCTCTCTACAAGCGGGTCAAGCCCAGTCTGTCGCGCGCCGAAGGTCAGGCCGGACACGAGGCCGAGCGCACAGACACGGCGCTGACGGAGACGTCGGAGTCCTCGACGGAGGTGGCGGAGGACGTGCGCAAGGGCAACAGGATCATCGAGCAGAACGGCTGCTTCATCACGGTGTTGGATCCGTGCCACGTGGAAGAGAAGCCCATGGCGATGGGCATGGAGCAGCAGGCGCACTTGGAGCCGCCGCCGCATCCCGACGTGCGCCACGACGGCGCCTTTCGCCACAACGGCAGCCCCATCGGGATGGGCTACTTGGACTTCGCGCCAGAGCCGCCGGCCCCAAGTGCCATCCCCGTCACGGGATACCTCGACTACACAGCCACGGAACCCAAATACAGCACAAGCGGTGAGCATGAGTTCGTTGTCAAGCCTTTCTCGCCACTTCTTTGCCATTGCCATCCGTCAGAGTGACCAGGACCTCCTGACCCACTTCGCGGCGCGCGGACAAAGTCAGGCGGCAGACAATATCGCGCGGCGTTGGGCAATGGAAAATCATAAAATCATTATATCATTATTCCCTCAATTTTCTCATACATGCACAACTGTTGCGTGGTGTAAGCAGTAATTTCTAAAATTGGGAAATGTATTATTCCGGCTTGCAAATTCTTTTCCCGCGAAAACGCTAGGATTTCCACCACAGATCAGGCATGTCTTTTGGGGGGGACTTGAGATACATTGTGGGTTAGAAGTGGTCAAAATTCCCAACAGGAAGTACAGTGTCGCTCAAAAGTGTCTCGACAATTTCCTGAATGCAGTTTCAATTGTCTATTTGGAACAAATATTAAGTTTGCATGACAATCATAGTCAAATCTTGAGAACGATTAAAGCTATTAAGGTGTTTTAATATTAACTTCATTTGTTAGATATTTTAGAAGCTATTGAGACGATTCTCACACAGGCGCTACGAATCGTAATCTGAAATGTACAGTAATTTCTGAATTTTCCTGTCAGAAGTAACCGAGCAAATCTTGTAGCCTAAATGAAAGTTTTTCACCCAACTGTGGCTAGAGGGATTTCGATTGTCTCGTTAGAGGGACACTTTTGCACTTGAGTGTATTTCTTCCACAAGTTGTCTGAAAGCCAGTTGAATTAGCATGCAAAATAGGCAATGTAGAGCAGAACCTTCACTTTGACTAGTCAGTGGTATATTTGGTGTGTACCTTGAATAATTCCCAGAATTCCCTACTTTCTACCACTGAGGCGGTATTTTTTGTGTTCAGAAGAAGGGAAGGAAGAAATGATGTGTGATTTGCCAAAATTTGCTCCAGTGTCGCATTTCACATGGCTTCACATGCGGTGATTTGTGTGTGGACGCGCAAATGTAGTTTCAATATGCTTCTGAAATATCGGCAGAATCATCTGGAACGAATGATTTTCTAAAACAGTTTTTAGTTTCTCTTGATCAGTGAAGCTGAAAGTTGAACTTTCAGCGCAGCTCTGGTGATGTGTGCGTCAGTGCTTTTGACACGACACTGTATAGAATATGTATAATAATAATGGGATGATATAGATGTTCTATTTTGTGGATGTTTTTTCTTCTGCTTTTGGGGGAAAATGAGTACTTGTTTTATCAATTGGGGAATGGTGAACATCCTGTGATGGTTCCTTTGTATAATTGCGCGGGAAGGAGAATGGGAAGATGTGGAACAGGAGTTAGAATGGTTATCGGGCCGTTGTTATCTGTATAGTGGAGTGCTGATGAAAATGTTGCATGATCTTCGGTTTCTGGGTGAATTATTTTAATTTAATAAATTATAAGGTAGCTCTTACACGATAATATTATTCAGAAACATATTGGATACAAGAGTAAATTGCTGTTGAAGAGATTAATCATTGTAATTGAGACGAGGTGTTCGGGGTGCTTCGTAGGGCAGAGAGTGTCTCCTAAAGTGTGCATATCCAAATATTTGTTCAATATTCTTTATACCTCTCTTTGTGGATGTATTCAAATTTTATGGGAGAAATGCTACAGTTTCCGTGCGTAAGTTTCTCTGACCTCAATCAGCATGCAAAATCTCCACAATCTCACTTGCAAGTGTGGGTATAATTGTTGTTTCTTGCGGCCTAGCTGACGGAATGTCCTAGGTGGATTGCCCGTGTTCTCGGAAGAGGGTTTTTCTTTTCGGGAGAGCAGAGAACAGAGAGAGCGAGAGCGCAAAGGAGGGCAGCAGCATGTGTGTGGTTCTTGCGTTCGTGAGAAGAAATGTGTGTAGAGCCGAAGGGAGGCCACTCAAGTGGAATATTTGGTCACTCTGACATGAAATACGTTGCTCTCTTGCCCTTGACTGACGCTGTATGCTTTCTCTTTCTCGGCTCACCAGCTGGATATCCATATCCGGCCAATGGATATGGCAACTTGCGGCCACTGGACCCGATGGAGAGCGTACCACAGATTCACAATCACCATCAACTTCCTCAATATGTGCAGCAACACCCCGGCATGAATCCGATGGGTGGCCACATGCATCACCAGATGCCCAGCATGAGAGCTTATCCGGAGCCAGTGGACTATCTCAAAATGTCACATGACCCACTTCCACATCAGGTTCCGGCCGAACACAGTGATGTCAACACTTTTAATCACCTCTAGTGTGTGTCTTCTGGCGCTCGCGCGACCAGTCAACAGACGCGGTGGCGAGCAGTGGCCACAATCAAAAGGAAAACACCACCCCAGTTCATCCCTTCAGCACGAGACTTTTCCTCTCAGCCCTCCAGAACTTTCACCGGGACACCTTAGCATTTTGCCACCAAGGGAGCGGAAGACGGTACAAATTTCAAAAGAAAGAAACAACTGTAAGTAACATTTAGATACTTTGTAGTCAGATGTGTGCACCTCCAGTGTGAGGTGGAGACAAGAGGAGTGACACTCTTAACCATCCCGAAGACAGACTGATTTTCTGCGCTCCTTCGGCGACACAGTGATCGCGCGAAGGGATCGCGTTTTGCGGTATCTTTTCGTCGTTTTAAATCAAAATATAATTCCTAAGGAGATTTTTTGAACAATGTTATAAATGGAGAATTTTTACAGGCAAAATAGTAGGACACATCCAAGGTTCTCACACAGGACTGTCTCAGATTGCTTTTGAGTGTGTGTGTGTTGCCAATAAAATAATGGGACGAGCGATTGAGTTGCGACGTGAGGCCTAAAGGATAATGAAATGGCCATGTTTTAACATAACGAGGTTATTTTTCGCTTAGAAAAACTACTTAAGATCCATACAAAGAAGTTAAATAAGGACTGTGATTGTTACTTTTCTGGCGAAATATGATTTTCATGTAGTGGTCTAGTAGATTTTATATGTTTTCAATTGTGAGGAAGATGAGCATTTCTTGGCCACACTCAGTCTGAGACGTTCTGTGTATAATATTTTCTACAGGCGATTTTCCCTCATTACAACTTACAACAAAGATAAATGCAGCTGAACAAAGAAACTGAGACAATTCAACAGAGTTTTTCCTCCCAATTTTTTTTTTGTATAATTTGTATCGTTAGTCCATTTTTCTAATTACTCCATAGGCTTCTTGACGATGTCTTTTCACATCTTCTCGAGAAGAAGATTTTTATCGAATGGAGATTCTAATAAAACAATTGTACAGGATAGCAGGAAATCGTGAAAATAGTTTGTGAGAAGTCTGTGAAGTAATTAGATAATGGTTAGTCTCACTTACCAAAAATCCGTTTATTTGGAGATAAAAGAATAATAAAAAATCACACTGGAAATTTACACAATATTATTCACACAAGGTATAGAAAGACACACCGCAATTTTTAATATATAAATTCAAACTCCTTTTCAAGAAGAAAGTAAACACCAAACACGAAAAACACACTTCCTAAAAAAACACACACACAAATTTAATGATTAATGAAAAACTAATTCTAGAGAAAGAGAAAATGATGAATATTGAGGTAGAGGAGAGAGAGAGAGAGAAAAAGAGAGTAAAAAGTAAAAAACATGAGGTTTTTACGTATAAATGTCACTTAACAAAATAAATATTCATTATTACATTTTTATAGCACGTAAAAAGAATTCATTGGCGAGGCATTTTATTAAGTTTTTTTGTCTTCTAGATTAAACTTACCAACACAAGAGAAAGAGAGCAAAAGAAAAACACTTTCTTTTACATGATTTTTTCCCTATATTTTTTTTGGAATATGATATAAAATTTGGGGAGAGAGTGAATGACAAAAAACATCCCCATTAAAAATAATGAAGAAATATATATTTTCTAAAGAAAAAGTTTATACATGATGATTTAGAAAAATTAAATCAATCAGTTGACGGTTCTTTTTATGTCTTAAGACACATATTTTGCAATTTTTTTTAAAAAACTAAAATTTAGAGACCTATGAAAAATCTTATGGGACGTGAAAAGGGAGAAAACAGTTAGGAAAAATACGAGAATCTCGTTCTAAAAGAGAAAATTATTATCATGTATAGAAAGAGAGAGAGAGAGAAAGAGCGAAAGAGAGAAATTGAGAAGAAAACAAGAAATTAGTGAGAAATTCCTTAAAAAACAGTAATTGTGTCATGTGTGCAATAATTGTCACTTAAATTTTTCACTTTGTAATCTGGATTATTACAATTTTATTGTGTTTTCCTTTTTTATATCTCACAATGAAATATTATAATAATGAAAAATAATAATTTGACGTTTCTCTTTGTTCTTCTTTTTTGTTTTTTTTTTAACTAAAAGCCTCAAACTACAATTTTTTTTAATAATTCAATTGCGTTATTATCTTCTTAGCTTCTATAATACCTTTTAAAGAGAATGAAGAAAGAAAAATAATACCACTATTATCTCTAGTTATTACATTTTAATATTAAATGAAAAGAAAAAAAGATGCGGAAGGGAGAGAGAATTATTCATTATTAAATTTATTAGCGAAAGAACTTAAACGTTAAATCACAAACATAATTCTTGTTGCATTTTTTGATTACTTCTTTCCTCAATTTTGGCGACTTGTTTTTCCCTTATTAATACCTTCTTATTCTTAGAGAGAATCAAAATCAAAAATTTATACACTTGTTTCGTCTATTGATGCGCCCCGCGACGTTTTTAAAGTAAAAGTAAAAAAAAATTAAATCAAAAGTATTTGTTTGCCTTTCTGTTGTACGTTTTTTTTCACCTATGATTACATTTGACAGAGACAAATGATGAAGAATGCGAGAAAAGAAAAATTATATTGACATACAAAAATAAATGAAAAATGGAATAAAAAAAACTGAAATTAGCATAATTAAAAAATAAGCCTATAGATTAAATGTGAAGAAATACTATTATTATATATTATATAATTATGAAAGAAAAATAAAGGAATGCATTTCAATGGATTTTACACAAAAATAATGAGAAGACAGCATTTCTTTTACAAATTACTATAAATTCTTTCGCGCCCAGCAAAAGAGAGCCTCTCGAGAGCACGGCAAAAGAACAAAATGTCTGTTTTGTGGCGCTTTTTGTGGGTCAAATAGTATCTCGCTCCTCTCTCGGTCGCTGCGAGAGATTATTCCCTCCTTTGCTGCGTATTTTCCTTTTGTCACTTGGCAGAAAAAAACCACTCCTCTCGCGTGCGTGTCCACTCCTTCTCCCCCTTCACTCAATGCCATGTGCGAAAATCATCACAAGTCCGGGCTCCACCATCACGTCTTCGGCCATGTGTGCGTTATCACAACTTAAAACAAGAACCGCTTGCTTTCCTGCGTCCGAAAAGAGAGAAAAAAAGAGATACACAAAAATATATTAATTGCCAAGCGCGCGCCTTATCGCATTTTCTGTGTCAATTGTGGGCCTCATGAGACTCGCCAGCCATTGATAAAGTGCCGCGGCATATATTGAAAATATATGGAGCTCCGCCGCCAGTGCAGACAAGAGAGAGAGAGAGAGTGAAAGAAGGGAGCGAAGAGCGGAAAAAAGCGGGCCGAAGAAAAAATCAATGTGGGTGGGAGGCAAAAAAAACCTTCTGTGCCTTCTGTCTCACCCACACCTTCGTCCGTTGATTAGCGTGCGCGCAACAGAGATGGAAAGAATATGCGGACAAACCTGGAATTCTTCGACAGACGTAATTGTCGTAGATTCGACGATTGTTCTGTCGCGTCTCGAGGGAGCTCAAGCCCCGTGGCCATCGTCGTTCGTGGCAATTCTCCATGAGATCATCGATTATGTGCGGAGGACATCCGGACTCCGACAGAGCCCGCTTTATCATGAGCTGTAAGGAGAGGAAATGAACGGAAAATGCTTAATTATTTGTCAGGCTAAACATTTAGCAAAGAGAGAGGAAAAAATTTATATTCTTGCGCTCTGCATTTGCAGGAAATCGTACAGATCTGCGCGAATAATAGTGAAGCATGAAAACCATTCACGTTTCTTATCTATGTTTTCATTCGTTCCGGCCGTAAAGCGGCCTTTTATTTCGGAACATGCAATTTGAATTACATTCCAATGATAAGAAATGAAATTTTAAGCAATCTTTAGTAGTAACAAAATTGAACTTGTAGTCTTTGAAAACATTTTTCCAATTGTTTAAATTTGATTGATGACGTCAAATGAAATTTCCAACTATCTCGCATTGTTGTAATTTCTGCAAAATGCTAATTTTCATTATTCACAATACATCCAATTTATCTTTCTCAAGGTTAAGCACGATCTTGAACTGATAATAATTTTTACAATCACATTAATTTAGAATCTTTGTATTTTAGAGCAGAAAGAAAAGATCACGGATCTATAGTGATCCTTAGACAAGAACAGTCCTTTTTAGTTTGACTTTTCTAAAAATTGTGAAGAGATTGCAAAAACATCTATCAAAAAATTGGAATTCTTCCTTTACTACTGATGGCTTTGAATGAATTTTTCTTAAACATGCGATAGAATTGTTTTTCTTATATGTAAAGCGAAGAAAAAAATCCATTAAGAACACTTTTAAGATCCTTTTGCTGCCATTTCATTTGTCGTCACACCACTTTTACGTTTACTCATAACTTAAAAGCAGTCAATTTGAAGATTTCCAGTAGCAGATTTGCATATGAAATGTACGAAATGGGAGAATGTTTCGTACAGAATTAACACTGACTCACCTGAAGTGCTTCATCGGGCGTTGAGATCATTCCACCCCAGCGGGTGACTCTGGCTCTGGCCAGCGTGTTGCTCCATCTGACCACCTCGTCGCGCTCCATTTGGTCGGCGATGGAGCGCACGACGGGATTCGACACTCGCATCGCCCTCATGAAGTCCTTGAACAGCTGCAGCTCCCGCTTCAGTTCGTTTATCGTGAGATTCTGATCGCCGATCTCCACCTTCAGTTCGCCGAGCTTCTGCTGCTGCGTGTGAATCAGCGACCGCAGCTCGCGCACGCAGTTGTGATCCTTGTACTCATCCTTGGGAATGACGAAGCCGCAGCCCTTCTCGCACGGCAGCGGCCTCTTGGGGTTGTACTCGCACTCGCCCAGGTGCACCGCCAGGCTGTCCAGCTTCAGCACCAGCGTGCATCCGTAGACGGCGTTGTCGCAGGCGATGCACAGCCTGCAACGGGAGGAAGATTTTGTAGTTGACGCTGTTGCGCAACGGCATTCATTACATAAAAATTGCACACAATTAAGCAGAAATTGCGCAAGTTTAATTGCGAAAGCGGTTCAATGGGCATTTGCATACTATTATACTCCTATTGAACTGCTTAAAGGCGCTCGCAAGTGCTTTCAAGTGTTTCAAACAAGTTAGTTTATTGCCCAGTTTATTACTGACACTGAAATAGCGCTTTTACCCAATTTTTGAATTGGTAATTATGTTATTAAAGGTTTCTCACAGACATTTTCGGCTGACTTTCAAGCAAAATAAACATTGAGAATTATTTGAGCTCTGAGTCTCCAAATCAAATTCCAGACAATTTCAGTGTCACAGAGCTTAAAACACTCTTTGTTGTGATATTTGGCATCCTCCGAATCAGTTAAGCCAATCGATTGGCGCAGCAAGCTGGACAAAACTAGTTTATTCTCGGATGCCAAGATGTCTCAACACCGCTGCAAGGCAGTGTTGGCGGTTTACCTGGACAGGAGATTTCTAAGGATGCGTGGCACGGAGCGTAAATTCGCTGTTGTGATTGCATTTCGATCCACAGGGCAGGTGGGTTGTCTGGAGAGCCACTCCGTGATGCAGGCTCTGCAGAAGGCGTGCTCGCAGACTCCGGCCTGGCGAAGAGAATCAAAACATACGCGCGCATTACTTCCTGACCCACTTTTCACTGCTCAAATGCCAGAGAGTCTCCACTTGCTGTCCTTCCTTCTGCCCACTCTGCACAGAGAGCAACACTTCGGCGTCTTCAGGACAACAAGGAGAGCCTCTTTCGCCACATTCTAAGCACTTCTCTGTGATTAGACCTCACAGAGAGCGTCTTTGGAAGTGGAAGAGTTCGCTTGTTACCTGCAAAGGCTCCTCGAGAACACCAGAACATATCGGACAGATGAGCTCCTCGTCCACTTCACCCTGGAAGCGGGTCAAGTCGAAGCCCATTTCACCTGTCCTTTGTCGCGAAGTTGCGGAGAAATGGAGAAACAAGAGCAAGAAAGAGTTGCTTCACTTCCGGAATTGTGAGAAGCTAACCTTTCTTGTTTTCACCATTGCAATTGCACACAAGTTAACGACGCGCGAGGCCGCACAACAAGCGGTCCTGCATAGGAATCACGCACAGCACCTCACCAGGAGTGTCCCTGCGGTGGTCTCTGTGCAGGATTTGATCCACTTTTACTGCAAAAAGCGAATAAAATTGACGATTGAAAGTGGATTTTTGCACCTTTCGAGATGACAACAGTATAACAACAGACTGTGCTACGACGGCAGCGCCACCGTGTGAAAGTGAAGAGAAGGCCAAAATCTGTTCTCAGTTGTGCGAAAATTTAGAATTCAAGCATTATCATATTTATAACAATGAAATTCACGAGGAATTTAAATTTGATTTTACAAAGTATAAAAAGCTGTGAATATTTTACAAATCATGCGAATAACAAATCCTCTAAAAACAGAGTTTGAAAAATGACGAAATGCTTAAATACATGTTTTACAATCATTTATTCAAAATACCTTCATTCTCAGGCTGTACTTCAACTGGACAAGAATTTAGTTTTCAGCTATAAAAAAAATACCTCAAATATCAGAGCAATACTTGCTGGATTGTTTAGATTCGCGGCTTCTTGTGGCTGCTGTGGCCCTCAATGCCGGTGCTGCACCTGGCTTTCACTTCTTGCGGCGACAGCGGATCTCGCGCCTCGGCGCTGGAGCGCTTCCTGGCTGGCGACGTCACCGGCGACGATTGCTTCAGACACTCCACGTCGTTCAGCACGATCTGCGCCCCGCCCGACATTGTGGGAATGATGTCACCCTGCAAAATAGGTCAAAAGGAAGCACATGAAATCCGGAGGCAAGCCGATAAATAACCTCCGATGGACGCACCTTGAACAGACGCGTCTCCAGCTCGCCATCTGTGTCCGCGCCCTGCGAGATGAGGCAATACTTGGACGTGTTGGACTTGGTGACGTCCTTCATCTCCGTCAGCTTCGTCGTGGTCTTCCTGTTCGGCAAATAGGGCTGCAGAATTGTCCCCAACGGCACTGGTGTGGCCGACGTGTGGGCCAGCCACTTGTCTCCGGCCGACCGGGAGCGGCGATGCCTCACGTTGGCCACTACCACGCCCCTGGGCGTCCGCGGCGTGTGGCCCAAAGTGGCGGCACCGGAGCTGCTGCTCACCGTCGACGACGGCGTGGCATTCTCCGCCGTCTCCCGCTGAGGCACCATCGGAAGCTTGTCCGAGTTGATGATGTTCGTGACAAGGCGCAATTTTTCATCCCTCAGCCGCATCTCATTAGCCAACCTATCCTTCTGGGCGCGCCACTTCAGCTCCAACTCCCTCGTCATCTCCTGCTTCTCGTGCGCGAACTTCGTTGTGATCTTCTTGCGCTGTTTCTCCTTCTCCACCTCCTTCTGTGTCAATTGATTCGCCGTGTCCTTCAGCTTCTCCTCCAACATGCGAATCCTCTCATCGCGATCACGCACTTTCCTATTCAGATCATCAATCGATCCCTCATACGACACAATCTTGTGCTCCAGAGCGTGAATCTTGTTGCGCTCCTGAACCAGAACAGCACTCACAGAAGCACTCTCTGTCTTCAGCATGAGATTCTGCTTCTCCGCCTGCACAAGATGAGACCTGAAGTGATTCTGCCTTGCAGTCAAGTCAGACCGAAGAAGATTCCTCTTGGAAATTCTCTGCTCCAGCATCACAACCAAATCATTCACCAGACTGTCCGCATCCGGCGAATTGAGCTGAATATTCGGCAAATTCGGGCCCAAACTGTACACCATTCCCAGATCAATGTCCGGCCAGGCGTTTGCATCCTCGTGCAACTCCAGCTTGTTCACAGCTATCTTGAACAGCTGATTCGCCTTGCGTCGCCCCGGCGTCAATCCCGCCATGTCCGCTCGAGGCGTCGGCCGCGCAATCTGCACGTCTTGCGTCATCTCGGCGAAGCGCATCACCTGAGCCGTCTCATCGTAATCCTCCGCCCGCGGATTGATGCACACGATCATCTTCACCTGACCCTCGCCGTCGAAGTAGTTCTTGAACAAGTGCGTGAGCTTCGAGTCCCGATAGGGCACCTTCTTCGTCAATCCGCTCGATTGATTCTCCCGCAGAATCTCCAGGCACGTGCGCAGCGTCATCAGTGAGTTGTTGATGTTACCTGCCTCGCGCAAGCGTTGTCCCGTGTTCTTCGTGCGATTCGTGCGCTCGCTGCCCGCCAGATCTACCAGCGACAGCTGACTCACCGTGATGGTCCTCTTGTCCTGCATCACGTACTCCCCGTCGCGATCCGTGGGCGCCTGCACGAGGCGCACAGTGAAGACAGAGTGACTTCGACTGGATTCCGCATTGAGGATTGTGTGACCCATTCGCTTGCGTTTCTGTCCCAACTGGAACACCTCGATGGCATCCTCCATGGACTTCACCTCCACTTCAGTCACTCCGTGGACGTACATGTTGTTCGTGGCGTCGCCCCGGATGATCTTGCTCTGGAGGGTTCTGCGCGAGAACAAGTGATTCATGTAGTTCCGCTAGAGAATAACACAATCAATACTCACTTCTGGATGTTCCCTTCTTCCAGCAGATCGTAAACACTGTTGTTATAAACCTCCACATAAGTGATAAATACAGCGTACATGTTGTCCTCGTCGATTCCACCGAGTTGAAATGCGTCCGTTGATGCTTTCGAGGCGATTTCCGGATCCGAATCCTTACTGTAGTGACAGAAAAAAACACTCAATTTGATATCTTCATTTAAGACCGCGCAATAGTTCCACTCACCGCTTGAGCTTCGTGAGCTTGGAATGCAACTCCGCCTGGCGCTCGAACATTGCGTCCGCCTCGGAAAGGATCTCAAATCCGTTCAGACGATCTGGCTTGAAGACAAACTTCTTTGTCTGATAATCGCTGATTGTGCTGAAGAGAACGTCCAGGCATCTCGGCATGATGCCTTGGTTCTGTGTGTCGCCGGTCATTGTGTAGGTTTTGCCACTGCCAGTGACGCCGTACGTGAACAACAAGCCATTCTTGCCACGGATGAGACCCTCCACGAGGGGCTGCGCCACCACACTGAAGACCTCTCGCTGGCGCGATCTCACGTCGAAGACGTGCTTGAACGTGTGCTGCGTCTCCTTCAGGGTTCCCACTCTGTAGTTGATGGCGATCTCCGGAGGCGTCAGGAGGACTGTCGTGGGCGAGGAGACTTTCAGGCAACTCATGTCGGACTCGCACTGCAACGGCCGGATGCGGCAGAAGACATTTACGGGATCTCGAGCGCCGTTAGAGTCTCCGGAGTTTGGGCGTGACTTCACCACAGACTTCGGCGTCTTGGCCGGCGTTTTCAGGCGACTGCAAGTGCAAATCATGGTCAGAAGGGTTAATTATTGTGGGCAAATTAAGAAAAATCTTTTGTTCCACGCAGGAAAACTGAGATTTTTCCAAAGCATTCTCACATTCATAACCGAAAATTACGTCAAAACGCCAAGCTCGCGAATGCATGAGGAAAACTAATTGCACACGCAATAGTCAATACTTACGGTGTTCTCAACATGTTGACGATGTATTTATTTCACAAGTGCACAAGTTTATATGAGAAAATCACTGGACTTTTCCTGGAAAATGCTGAAAAACACTTCCACTCATCAGCGTAGCTGTTTCACTCTCAAAATGCTTTTAGCAGTGAAGTTGACTGCGACATCGCAGCATGGCAGCGCCTCTGCCGAGAATCTGCGAAAGTTGGGTGTACATTGTGGCGCTAGTGTCGCTTGAGTCCCGGACAAGTGACATCCGGACAGGAAAATTTCAGTGAAAATTTATATAGTGGGGGTTGTTTTGTGAGATTCCTGGGCCTGTCTCGCGAATGAGGGTGCTCTGTGGGTTGTGCCAGCGCCCTCACTTCATCGCTATCCCAGGTGATAATCCTGTTCGGCGACTATTTCTACAGTCCCAACAGTGATTCAGGTTTCCCAGCATCAATCCACTGATTTTGCTGACCAGGAAGATTGCCAGGCAGTGAGAAATCATGTCGTGCAACTCATCCGGCGAGTCGGAGCCGAAGAAGCCATGCAAGGGAATCCTGAAGTCGTCCAGCAGCTTCGATAAACATTCCGTCACGGCAATGTGAGATCATCACTCCCATAAATCACCTTCAGATCTGGTGATGCAATGTAATGCATTCCTCCTGTTTGCAGGCATCGAAAGAGTGCGAAGTTCGACGAGCTCAACGTCCTGCAGACCTATCATCCGCCAGACAAGGACTATGGTCACATGAAGATTGAGGAGCCGAAGACGCCCTACAACTACATGGACTCCAGCATCAGTCTGGACCAGCTGGACGCAGAGGTGCTGGCGGAGAAGCTGAAAGTGGCCGCCAGCGCCAGGATGTCCTCCTTCTCCAGCGAAGATGACTCGGGCGAGGACACAGAGCCGGAAACCGAGGAGCAAAAAGGTGCATGTCAACGCCCACCCTGAAATGCGATACTCTTCTTGTGGGACAGGGAAAATCGATTGAGATTCTGGGCTTCGTCGACGAAAAAAGCGCGCTATTTTCACATCGCATGCAAGTGCAATGAAAAATTTATTGCTTCTCACCACGGATTTCAAAGACATTTTCAGTCTCTAACAGCTATTTTTGGCCCAATGGAAATTGAGGGGCAAATAAGGCACTCTTTTATTATTGCTCTCTAATTAAATATTGATGCGAATGATTACAAGTCTCGGTAAATATAGACAATGTGGATTCTGTGTTGGACACCAAGTATAATTGGATAGAACGTGAATTAGTGATTAAATCGGATAAAAATCTCTCGTGGAAAATGTATGACGAATAGAGGGGCTGTTCAAGGCACTCTTAGCGCATCTCTGAACGTGCCAGAAATGGGGGAAATCAGTAGGAGAATTTTCCATCAAATTCTTATCTCTAAAAGTGTGTGCTCTAAAAGTTTTAATGCTTAAAATGAAGTTCAGTTACTTTGGTGAGAGCTTTGGATCCAAGTAACTTTCTCAACACAAACCTTATGAATTCTATGAAACCTGTGAACGCTCTTCTTAGTGATAATAATTTCGTATCTGTATTACCTATCGTACCATAAACTGAAATTAAGTATTGTCTGTTCTTCGCAGCGAAACGCTTGGAGTTTGAGAAACGACGAAAAGCTCACTACAAAGAGTTCGAAGCTGTGAAATTGGCCAGAAAGCTGATAGAGGAGGAGGAGGACGACGAGGATGACGAGGAGGGGAGCAGTAAGAAGAGTCCGCAGGGTGACAATAAGAGCGATCCCGAGGCCGGTGGCTCCACATCAACTGCTTCCTTGAGAGACACCACAATTCCCTAGATTTTTACCATGATTAGCCCAGAGCGAGAATAAAAGTGGAGGTGAAATCAATTTGGTAGGCAAACAACTATATTTCTAACTTATTTTTTATCAAACTAATTTAAATGCAAGGAGTGAATATTTAGTGGAGATGTTTTCCCAAATTCTAATTGATATACCTAATAGTTATAATGTAAGTTTGATGTTTCGCGTATGAAGCAATTTCTCTTCGTGCCAGAAATATCAAAAGAAAAAAGGATGTGTTGAGAGATTTTATTTTACCAACTAAAAATGCAAGTTCACAGGTTTTATTTACCTTATCGCTCAAGAGTGTGTGAAGTTCTTCCCTCAAAATGTATACCATAATACATTTTTAAAATGTAAAGAGCCAGGATGCAAATATTCCTCGGTGAAGGAATAATAGAATGGTAAATACCATATTTTTGTAAATGATTTTTTCTCATGCTTGCATAATGGAATTTTTAACATGTAGCTGATAAGTTTTTTTTCCTCCCTGTCTCAATTTTTGTGAATGCAAGGAATTTTTTTACACTCGCTCCACCCTTTTTGGATAAAAGCTAGAGAACATTAATGCGTAATATTGTAAGAACCAATTATTACTGAAGAGACTCTGTGAGTGGAGAAAAATGGCAATCTGAATAACTAAGCAAATAGATAACTGTTGTTGGAACAAAGAAAATGAAACATTTTAATCAAATGCTTTTAGAGGTACATTTAGCGTGAAGCTTGTAATTTTTATTGTTAAAATTAGGTGGAGATGAGGCGCCAGAGAAGGAGAAAAAATGAAGAAAAAATACTGTTTTTGTGACAAGAGATTGCTGTAAATAATGGATCAACCAATTAAAAGAGTTTGACGAGAGCAAATTAATTGACTTTGCCGGAACTAAATTAATTACGTTCGTTCGATCAACTAAATAATAATTGCATGTTAATGTAGTGAAACTTTTAAATGAATTTGAGGTAAATTCGCATTTTTTGCGCACTATTATTTTCCATGCAAATTCCTCTTTAAACCCTCCACTGCGGAATGCACAATTATTCCGGGCGCGCCGGGTGTGTGACCAGAATTCCGATCCTGGATCACTTTGTATTCAAGGCCAGATGGGGCGCTTTCAAATGGCGATGTATTGTTTTGGTGGAGAAAAAGCGCGATGCCACGAGCAAGGCACCAAATTTATTTACTCATCCAAACATGCCCAAAGCAGCTTCCAACAGGTGCCCTCCGCCCCACCCCGCATTCTCACCTTTGTCATTTTCATCACGTTCACCTGCTCGTCCTCCCGCCGGAGCACTAATATCTCTATTATTTCCTCCTCAGGAAGCACTCCTCGCTTCTTCCTGCACATCCTCAAGCGTGGGGCAAATAAGCGCACATCACTTCCGGCACTTCGGAAGTGTGTCTCTAAATAATACTTTCCACTGAACTCTTTCAAAACCCATTTTGTACCTGGAATTCGCTCAATAACAATCTCTGGTGAAATAAATTCTCGGAATTCTTTTTGTGGAACACTGGAAATAATAATAAAAAACTCTGTTTTGCGAGAGCTGTAACTGGATACTAATTAGGTTATGCGGGAATTGAGTTTTCAGTGCCCAACTCACATTGTGTGACACACTCATTAAGTATAATAAATAATTCAGCAGAATTTTAATTACCTCAAAATTGACCCAAATCAGGATCATTTATCGACAGATTTCCTCGCACAATTCCTGGTATTAATTTTCGTTTGAGAAAGCCATTTACACCATTTACAGATGAATCGCAACGCTTTCGATGCTACCATTGAGACTTGAACAGTTTAAAGTGTCTTAACTTCACCATAAATCCTTATTATTTGGTAATTATAAAATCTTATATTCTTCTTCGACTGTTATCAGTGGATTTGGCTCTTGCTTTGGCTTCGGAAAGAATACAAATCAAATCTCATTAAAGTGTTTTGATATATAGTTTAATCACCATCCTTAGGCTCATTTGCTTTTCAACTTCTGAAAAAGTTTGTGAATTATATTCCTCTGTAATTTAATAGTTTTTAGGCTTCTTTCGAGTGCCTTATCGTGAATTTAAAGTGCTCCAAATGGCTCCAAACATATAACAACATTCGATGTTTTCAATCAATAGATTTTCATGCACTTCGAAACTGCAATACGAGCTTAAAGCGCTTATCCAACTACGTATGTTGAAATGCTGGTAAGCTATTGCCCCTATTGCCACTTATCGATACGAATTGTGTGCAATTCCCTATTTTAAAATCAATTTTAAAGGGAAAATAGTTAAAATTGACATTCTAAGGACCAATTACTACATATCAGTCCTGTTTTTCCCCTAAAATTGTGTTAATTCGTATCGGAAAGTGTCGGGAATAACTTAACTACACTTCAACGTTGTGAGAGAACTCCCGAGGATGTCTTCAGAACAGAGACCATCCTTGTTTTTACAATGAATGTGAATTACTGAGATTAGTTGAAGCAAATAAATGATAGAGAGAATTTCATTTGAGTATTCGCATATTGAATGGGAAAGCATCTCTGATGCATGTGAGTCAATATTTGGGAAAGAGTGGCGTCCATTGGTGAATTGGCGTTGCCAATTCGCATGTCTGGGGACATTGGAGTCCCACAAATTGGATGTTTGTGACACGAAATGCATGTTTTGTTGTCAACAGATCCATTGTGAGCTCAATATTAGATAATTCCCTTATTTCCACTGCCTCGCATCTTCCCGTCTCTGCTGTAATTGAATCCTCTCGCATTTGGGATGCACCATCAAGTGCAATGTATATAGAGCTAATTACTTTGGTATTCACAGTGAGTGCATGATCGCAAGAGATGCGGTGAAAAGTCGTGAAAAATGTCTTGAGAGAGCTGAACAATGTTGGAAGTGTGTGAGATGAATTTATTTCCTTCCTATTTAGCATTAATTCATGAGAAGAAAATAAATTATTTTCCTCCCAAATAGCATGAATATTCATGAGCGGTAGTCAGAAAACACCTCGAAACACACTAACTAAGAGGCTGCAAAGTCTCAAGATACTGTGCGAAGAACTGGGCAAACTCTACGGAGAATTCAACCAGCTCTGATGCTACAGAAGAATCTCATATATCAGGATGTTTGGAGTGTTTTGCAACCACAAAAGGACACGTGAGACAATATTTCTCTGACAATTGGAGAAAACACAAAAGTTCCTGTGCCAAAATTGTTTTGCCAAATTCCATGACATCCAAAACTCTGACGGTCTGGCCAGAAGAATCAACTTCTCATCTCCTGACCACGATGGACGGTGACCAATGGCCATGGACAGGAAAATCTGCACATGCAACTTGACTCGACGGCTGGCAATTTGGCCACCGAAGTTCATCCCAAATTGCAACTTTTGCCGCCAATTCTATTCACCGCAGTCCAACATGGGGATTCCGCACAAATTTTCAGATTTCACAGCGTTCGTCACTCTGTGGTCGATTGTTGGTCTCTTGTTTCCAGCGTAGAATTCGAATAAAAACGGTGTGCTCACTATTGGATTTGTTTATTCTGGCATCAAGTTTGATTACAAAGCGCCGTTCCTTTTATGTTTTTCGAGAAAGAAACTGCATTAAGACGCACATAGTTAAAAATTTTCCGGAAGATGCTTTTCGCTCTCGCATCAGATTACTCAAGCCAAAACTCAAGCGCTTCTATTCAGAAGCTTTCAACTTTAGAGCAGTGCCTTTAAACTCGGACTCTCTAAACAACTGCATCTCAAACAATCCTCTTATAGAATTTGTAGGGTCTTTAGCAGCAAAATATAGGACAAGTGGATTCCTGTGGGATTAAGAAGGCAAAATCCGGTCATTCAATTCGGATTAACAACTTCTTTCTCATTCAAGGTTAGTATTTTCCCATAGTGATCGAGAAAAGCAGCGATTCCTCAAGTCTGGCATCAAAACTCAAGACTGTCTATTATGTAAAAGGATTCCGTGCAGGGGATATCTTCTGGGGTATCCTGTGAAATCGTACAATTACATCCATTTGGGGCACGTTTTTCTGTGGTACATGCCATATCCAAACGATTGTGCTCCATCCAATTGTGTGTCGCCAAGGAAAGCGGCTCCCCCATTGATTGTGTGGGGCGATTCAACCTCTTCCTGAGCCCCAGCATCTCCGGAGGCAGCAACATGTGATGTTTTGATGTGGCATCGCTCCTCATTCACTCCACCACAAGTACACCCTTGTTTACATGGCGCTCCAACACAAAGCGCCGATTCTTGTGAATATTTTGAATCTGATTCCGCACAGAATATCATCCACATGCGTTGCCATGGTTCCAACTCTATTCATACCCTCTCATCCATTTTCGTGGCGCTCCTGGGAAATAAGTCAGGACGAAAACACTGTGAATGGGAAAATCTCAGTGTAAGGACATTTGCTGGGTCATTGCATTCTGTACAAATGCATTCTGGCTGCAATGGTGGGCTAGTAGACAATGTAAATTCTACATGCATCACGCGTTAGTGCATCTGACCACCCATGGAGTCATTTACTGGCCGGGAATTGTGCCCAGAAGCTCATGGGAATTTCCTCAATTGTGTGGTAATCCACAGCAATCGTGCGCTTTAAAGGATTCAATTTCAAATTTGACACTCAATTTGACGAAGCCAACTGTCACTACAGACTGGCGGCAATTTCATACGACCTCCGACCAGATTAATGTGGAAGGAATCTTTCAGTGTAATTTAATGGAGAAATCCAATATCTTCCCACCACCGGCCTCTGAAGGCTCCACTCGAGGGGGTAATTGAATTAGGTTGCTGTGAGTCACAAATTGACTGGTGCTCAACACGGGAAATCCATCAAAGTCCCTCAATTCACCCAATGGATCTGTCTTGGGGATGGTCGGACTCCCCGGTGGATTGGCATGACCATTAATAAATTTGGCATTTGGCAGTGCTTGTGAAATTTCACGAATGTATTTTTCACGGGCGTCATTATTCACTCTCACGCTTTAGAATTTTCTTGCGGACGAAATTCAATTGTGAGGACTACGGTCGACCACTGGGGGATGCCGCCGAAGGGGTTGCGTGCCTTCGCATCTCCCTTGGCCAATTTAGGGCGTCTCGTCTACAAATGAGCTGCGCCGGAGCTCTCCACAAACTATCAGTCATCCAGACGCTAACAATGCATTTCTCATTTCTCAAGAGTTTGCGGTGGACGTCCGAGTTCATCAATCATTTTCCCCAAAAGACTGTCCAGTTCATTTATTGTGCTCCCCATTCCCAACCATATACAGTTCAACATTTCATCTCATGACATTGCTCAGCTTCTTGGAGCCCGACAAGATCTTAAAGCAATATGCTTGTAGATATTCCATGTTGTTTTTACCCTTAAGGAAAGAACTTAAGTTCATTGGCAGTGAAGCACATCGGGGGTTTTTTTTGCATGGATCCCTGTGAGATAGTGGCATAGCCAAGGAAGCGCGAAGTTCAATTTCAGAGCAATGAGGCTGCAAATTAAAACTATTCACTCGGGAATTGCAATGCAAAATGATGCAAAACAATTCACAGTGCACCATGGCAGGATAGCTGAAATGAGTGGAGAGTGAGAAAATGTGAATATACGGCGAAGAATTAAGTTCCGTGGGGCTGTTTGTGCTCCCTCAGGGAATTTCCATAGCGCGAATTCTCCTCCTCGACCGGCAACATTTTGCCACGGTGTGAACTTTTCCCGGACGCCATCGCCGCCAAAGCAACAGGTTGACGATTGACGCACGGAGTTAATCCTTCCACCCACTCACCAAATGTCGATTCCGATAAACAGAACTGGTTATGCGACACTTTCCACCGATAAAAATTCATGAGCCACCCATTGTTGGCCTCCACTTTCTCTCCATTTCCGTAACTCCTGGCTCCGTGATAAAAATGTACGAGTGATGCGTGTGCGAGGAGGGAATTGAGAAAGATGCCTTTAAGGATTTCGCCGCTCGTTTTATAGACCTGCTTTGCATATAAATCCGATCTAAACAAATGACTTAACTCTCTTTGGGTATTTTGGATGACAGTGGGCTGGGTGGACTCTCATGGGTGGTCCCGGATGGGGCGAAAGTTGGTCTCTTTGTGAGCATGGAGAGCAAAATAGCAGCCACGTACATAATTTAGATTTACTATACCGGAGGGAGTGAAGGAGTGAAAGAGGAAACTCAAACCATGTCAGAGTTGATTAGTTTGCGTAGCTCTATAGATACATAATTGAGTCACATATATTTATCTGCGACAGAGTTAGGAGCGCTATTGCCAAAATATAAATTCAATCTGCGCGGTTACACAAAAAGTGATTGTGTGCGAGGCAGCTCAACTGATGATATTGATATCATTATCTAGAGATGTGTCAAGTTTGCTTCCGAGCCAGAGACACTCCTGAGCTACGCATTGGGCTGTGAGAGAAGGAAGAAGGGCACACAGCACAGGGTCTGAGGGAATCAGGCGAGTTTGTGGACTTGCTGCACGACTTGTCACGAATAAATTGAATTGGCGCTTAAGCGGAAGGCGTACAGAATGAGTGGTAAGTGGGAAATTTCACGTGATGGGAAGGGGGATGCCTTTTGATTGAAGCCTCTCATTTCCGTCAACATATTTTTGCCACCGCCGCGGAGCGCGGCTTTCTTTTATTCCCTGAACCCATGGTAATCCGCTTTCAGCCTAATTTTCTCCGTTGTTTTTTCGCCTGAGTGTGGGTGTGAAATTGTCCACCCCTGTGGCCCTGGAAAATTTTCCACCCACGAGCCTGACTGAAGATTTGAAGGCCACCCGTGGCATCCCGGAGAAAATCTCCGTGGTATTGTTTCTTTGCGAAAAACCACTTTTCCCTATCGCAACATTGAGCCTGATACAAAATCAATATCACGGGGTTTTACCATGATTTTCAAGTGGGATTTTCTTTCACCTCGAGAGGCTACTTTGCCATCAGAGTGCCCAAAATCCCATGTAAATTTTCATCATCCCCTTTTATGCGTTTGGGAGATTTCTATGGCTAAGGACTTTTTAATTTGGACAAGGATAAAAATTTTGGGCTGTGCAATAAATCTTTCTGCCTGGATTTGAGCGTCTTGCAAGATGTGGGGATGATTTTAAAAAACGATTTTGAAGTTTCTGGAAATAAATTTTATTCATTCCCATCTTGTATGGAAAGCCCTCAGCATTTTCCGTAATACATTCAATTTTTAATGTATTCTGTATGAGAAGTCTACAGTGACATGAGTTCCCCATCTCATTGTAATTAATTCGACACGTGCAAAGAGGGACACAATAATGGTGTCAACCTTTTTTATGCCCAACGCGTGTTTTCCCGCTTGCGAATAAACCAGGAGGACACAAAAAATAGTGGCATGGGCAGAATGTTTGTTACTCCCGGTTTCCCATGCCCTAATATCTGTCATAAATTCATGAGGGTGGCCCAACTATCCAGCATCCCCACAGAGACACCAATTTACTCTCATGCATGCACGCTTTTTGAAACGCAACGGTGAAATTGAACGCATGGCTCAATTTCGAACCACACGCCATGCAGCCTGCAATTGGGAGCCAAAGATTTGCATATTTATTTGTAGAATATTGGAAGCATCCGCGATTTGAAACTTATGAGAAATTGCGCTGTTGCGACCTCGAAATGTGAGGCTGAACTCAATTCTTCCAACATATTCATGCATTATTATTCAATTTATCCCATTTTTGACTCTACGTATAGCGGTAGTTGAGTCCGCTTCTGCTACAATATAGAAGAATTATTGTATAATCCATTCCTGTGCCGCGAACTTTACAAAATGCAGTTGAAAAAGCACGAAATTAATATGAGATACATAAATAGGATAATAAACAATGCAGTCTCGGGCGAACGATGCAGGGACTCTGGGGCCGAGCAGAGAGGATGCGTGGAGCAGGAAAACAGTTCGCGTGGTCTGCGGATGACCCGGTCGTAAATAGTGAAATGCCGGTGGGAAGCGGCTATCGCGGTGGCTATTCAATACTGGCCGCATAGGAGATCAGAGCAGCGGCGAGGGTACAAATTCGCATAATTAGAACGCCCGAGGAGGGCAATGGGAGAGCTTGTGCCAATTCGGCAGAATTAATGCCCAGTGAAATCCCCAAAGGTGGAATTTTCGACACAATTCGCTGTGAGAAGAAATGTGAGGATATTTTTTCACTCGTGTGTCCACTGTAAAATCCGCACGGGTGGTGAAATGTCTCGAGGATGACAGTGAAGGCTGAGGAAATTTTGTCAATGCCGAATGTTGAGCTTTTCCTATCTATTTATCAGCGTGGGTGTGCCGAGGTGAATGAGACCAGAAGGGACAATGAGGCTGTCCATTGTGACCCTGGAGACCTCTCAGGATGGACACACTGGAGACTCATCTATCACACGATGAGTAATGAATTTCACTGTTGGTTTTGATCCTGACATTTTCTCCCGTCCCTTCTGGAAAAATATTTGATAATTCCACCCCCACAGTTGTCCAGAGCACGGAGAATGCCAAAGTGGTTGTGACATGGCAAGAAATGAGGACGATTTTTGAGTATAGTTTATGTGGCAATAAGAAGAGCACGCGTGCTCAACGGAGAAGACTATCAATCGATCAACAATTCCCAATCATCCAATAAATGCTTCAGAAGCAAAATTCAATACCCACCAATCTTTTCCTCATCCGTGGCATGGCGCCTTGTGTGCCTCCGGAAAATCAATTTGTCCGACTCGGACTTGCTCTGCTTCAAATTGGATGAGGAGCAGAGCTGGTAAAACCCCACTTAATCCATTTGATGAACTCGCGCGGTATCCAGCACAGAAAAAAAACACTCACAATTCATGCCTTCACGAAAGCTCATCAAATGAATATCTCTTGATGGCAACATCTTCAATTATGTTTCCATCAAATGAGATAATGTGTGTTTGATATTGTGAGAAGCTTATGAGAAAGTTTCCCTCTACAGCTGCTGACTATATTGTAGCCTCCTTGATTGATAGTTTCATTAATTGAGAAAATTTTCTCACTTGGAAAATTTCACGAGAGGTGTTCATTTCAAAAGTAACAAAGCTCCTTCGTATCGACTTTCTGCTCTTTGTGCTTTTCTCAACTAAAAATTATATATATGTCAAAGTTCATTATTGTCTCCCATGTCAACAAAGTTCCTCTGGCTGCAGCAACACTGCGAGAGTTCAGCCTCAAATGGAAGTGGCATTTCCCCCATGTATTCGGGTTTCCGTGAGAGTTCACTCAGTGAATCCAGTGAATAGTTTTTAATGAACGAAATTCCTCCGCTTGAGCTGAATTGTGGCACAAATTCGCGGATTCGACAGAAAATCCGGCATAGAATGTGAAATATCCGGTTGGACAAAAATATGTTGCCATGTTGAATTTTTTTATCCATATAAAATTATGTTATATCCTCGCAAAAGTGCTCTTTGCTGAATATTATGTGAACTCGTGGGTGGTAAAAAATTCTAGGCAGCTTTTTTTCCCTCCTTTCCATCGCACTCTATGGCTTGGCATCCAACATGCACAAATTGATATAAATTCTCTAGCTCAGACTGTCCTATTTGGTCCATCAGACGTGGGTGGAAAAAAAATGTAATCATTCATCATTTCCTGCAGTATTATTCTCCAGTCTATTTTTTCGGTATCTCAGCGCTGTCTTGCAACTAATTTATAAGGCAAGTGATGCTGCGGCGGCGGAAGGGATTAAAGTACAGCCCCACAGACTCAGGGATGGGCTTCCGATGAGCTGGCGGGATGGTCAAATGGGTTCCGACGCACCAATTCCGTTTGTCTTCAAAATTGCTGACATCGATGACAGTGATGAAGTCCTTAGTTCGTCCTGCAGCGAAGTCGTTTCTTGTGGTCCCCATTTACGTGATGGCTGGAAAAATTCCTTGAGCGTCTGGAATTGTAATGAAATATTTGTGTGCTTCAGCAAACATGTACCAACTTCTCTCCTTTCCTCCTCTTTGCTCATCATTCTCTCTGGGGCGAAGATACTATCTGCCAGATATGCGAGAGATGGCTTTTTGTGGGCAATAAATATCATAGTCAACAATTTTTTGCTCTTGCGACTAAATTCCCTTCTCCCGCCTCCTCAAAAAGTTATCTCTAAACTCCACTCTGACGGTAATTCATTTGCCATCACTTGAATATCTGTGTCGAAATAAGCGCAAATTCACTGGATGTTTGTTTCTAATAGAAAATGCGCAGAGAATTAAATTTCACTGCAGAGGATATGAGATTTTATATCAAGTGCGAAAACAAGTCAATATTTTACATCAATATCGCTCTATCCTATTTTCTGCAATGAGAGAAATGAAATATTCTTCATTCATTCGTTTAAAGGAATTTAAGAATTTATGAATTTAATAGGCATTTTTCCGAGAATCCAAAATCTGAAATATCAACAACTTTGCATGATATTTGATGGCAGTGAAATCTAAACACACATTTGATTGCGATATGCTTAGATTAAGAGATAGCTAAATTGACTGCTTATTCCATTCTACAAATCGCTTATAGAGTTTCATTTATTGCCGACTAAAGACAAAATATTTAGTCTTTGTCTCCTAATAAAAATAAACACGACATTGTGGTGAGTAAAGAAAATTTGGCAGAATGAATTTATACTCCAGTGACTTGATACAGTTCTTGTGCATCATTCATCTTGGATACAAGTGTCGAAATGACGGAGAATTCTTCTACTCAAACGCCACAACAGTTTACCTTTGGTAAGATGAAAGAGTATGACGAGGATTCGGACTTCACTGAATATTTGGAGAGGATGGAATTGTTCTTTCTCATGAACAAAATAACAGAGGACCGAGAGAAAGTGGCGGCATTTATCATTTTCGCTGGTCAAAAGGTTTACACTGATTTGAAGATGGTGATTGCGCCAAAAGAAGTGAGTGATCTCACTTTCCAGGAGATCAAGCAAAATTTGTTGATAAAATATGAAGCGAAAGGCAATCAACTTCGCTCTCGATGTGAATTCTACAAGAGAGTTCAAATGGCGGACGAAAGTGTGGAGAAGTTTGCTGGAAATTTGCTCATCCTGGCTCAGAAGTGTTCCTTTGGAAATTCTCAGGACACCATCTTGAGGGATAGATTCGTTGGTGGCATCCGAAATCACATCATTCAAGACAAATTGATTGAAGATGGCGAGCAAACGTTCAAAGAGGTTCTCGAGAAGGCCAGAAACTACGAGATTGTTGAGAAAATTTGCATGGATTTCGCAAGGAAAATTTGATCTTGGTGGAGTTTGAAGGAAAAGAATTGTAGTTTTGTGTAGTTTTTTAGTGTCCAATAAAGTGTGGTTTCTTTATTGAGAAAATACTCGAGGAAAATTGTGTTTCGCCCGGGAATTGGAAGAGGAATGAAGTAGTTCATGCCAATGGCCTGGACGCGGAGAAGACAAATAACCCCAACGAGTGTGGCTCTCCTTGACACCCTCGGTATCTACCACCGATCGTGACTGTTAAGACGTGCAGAGGCACTGAGACACGTTTAAGAATATTAATTTGCATACATCCCGGGCAATGAGCCAATTCCTATTCACACCATCGTGTTTAATGTATCTCTTCATATCCACACTGAAGCGGGCGCCCGGGGGTGGGAATTGACTCGAGAGCTCACCCATTGTTCTCAGGGAGAGTGACACTGATGAAGATGATGAGAGTCGGATGGGATTCGCATAAGAATTGCTGCACTCATTCTCAACACGTTCACACCCGTGGAGCAGGTATTATTTAGTGACGCATTTTTCACAATTTCCCACCCCCTGAATCTCTTATTATCTCCGAGGAGATTAAAAAGTCTGCAAATGATGAGAACGCTCAAACAATTCTTCATCAGGAGAATCGAAAACCTTGATGAACGCCGTGAATATGCATAGTTCTTTGTGGCAATTGCAAATGCCTGAGTGATTTTCAATGTGAGATTCATAAATTAGAGATGACAGGAGTGCGTCCGGTGACTGTTTGCGCTCTCCTCAAATTAATTGCATACGTCAGGATGAATTTGGTGCACCCGGAGAATTGAGATCCCTGTGACAGACATCTGGTAATGGTGACACAGACTCATCTGCGGCAATGCCCTTCTCGCATTTAATGTGCAACAAATGTCAACAGAGAGAATTACCACTTGCTGGGATTGGGGTGAGGCAGCACATCTCCTTAAGGGTATCATCTCTCTGTGGTTAATGTGTGAGATGATCCGATGGTATGTATGCAGGAGGAGACTCCATCAGTGCCAATGGTGGTTTTGGGACAAGAACCGAGGCCACAGGAGGGGGACTCTGCCTCATGATTTGTTGACGATCTCCTAATATTGTGTAGGTGTCATGTATTACACCAGAAGCCACTTAGAATATTAAATAGCTGTGGGGTGAGTAGGCAGAAATGCCGCAAAGGGGCAAAACAATGATGGGGGACTAATAGGAAAAAGTTACAGTAATTGGAAGTTCTCCATATGCCAAAAAGCTAGAACGACTTAAAGCACACAACTTATACTCGATGTGTACTTTCGCCATTTAATTCTGGAAAACTTTGAAGAATAACCACCTTTTCCACTCAACTCGAGGCACACAATTCATTTCAACGTCAATTCCATCATTTTGTTAATACTCACACCAAAAATGCCCAATAAAAACAATAAATCCTATTTTGCACTGCCTGAATCCATGAAATAAAGGGACATACGGCGGAAGTAGAAAAAGAATTTTCGCTGGGAGCGCAGCATGATGTTTTGTAACAACGTAATATTGGGATTTGCGACAGATAACAATAAATCTTCTCATTATTTTTCCCGAGAGCGCAAAAAGGGGGTGGACAAAAATTTATATTGCCTTCACAACATACAGGCATGCCATTTAATTGCAATTTACGGAAGATTAGTCAATTGATTTACGCAATTTTTCCCCACTGAAGATGTCAATATATCGGCGTGGTGTGGAGTAAAATCAAATATGTTATCATGGCACTTTTTATGAATAATAAATGAATATTTTTCTATAAAGCCGCCGTTTTTACATACAATACTGTGATACCATAAAAAAAATACTATGTACTTTTCTATGCATATCACGTCATGATATAGAGAATGATTTATTAGTGGAGTGCTGTATCATTTCCTCACTGCAAAATAAATGTCGTTTATCATTTTTGATGGATTATAGAGCTTCAAATAAAATATTTTTTAATAGTGAAAATCTCTCTTTTCACTCATTTTCCACGCGCCGCGATGAAAAATTTGATTATATGCATCTTTTTTTTCTGTGAAATTGCAATGTTTATAATTTGCACTATATCCTATTCATTTACCTGTGATCGGAATCACATCCGTGAGGCATGAAAGTTTCATCACTCACGTTTGTGAGTATTATGTGTCGACCATGAATTATAATCACTTATTAATATATACAAATGCTCTATTGGATTCTAGCAAGGAATAAATAATCTCTGCCTATGTAAAAACTTTTTAAAATTCGGAATGAGTGGAAAATTCAATTTACGCATGGCGTATTCAAGCTGGTTGACGTGAATTTCATTTAAATCATTCCCTGGGAGAGACAATTGATGGAGGTGTCTAGTGGAAGTATCAAAAGTTAATCTAAGTCAAATCATTTGTGACATGAGACTGTCGCATATGGAAATGTCAAGAGTTGGATGTTCAATTTCTCCGAATGGGCCCAGTTCCACATAATTACACAATAAGGTGCTTCATTGAAGAGATCGATAGTCAGGTTTCTAAGTTCCTGAGCAATGGAAGCGCCTGATGTACAGACACACACACACACGAGTAACATCCCAAGCTTGGATTATATCTTATATAGTCAATATTCAAGCAATACTTTGCTGAAAACCTGCTAATAAACAAGTAAACTGCTTTTATATTTTAATTTTTTCTTACTTGATTATAATTCAATAAATCCTCTGTTATTGCCCAATTGCTTTGCAATGAAATATGCAATCAATTTGAACATTATTATTGCGATAATTTTGAATCCACCAGTTATCGCGAAGTTTATTTAGAGTGTTACTTGGGGTTGTGAATCTCTTGAACGCCCTTAAAGCTATTTACCAATGAGTTGTTACATTTATCGAACATGACAGTATTTATGTAGAAGAGAGTCAAATGAGCATTTAAATTTTAGAGCTGTGCTCTTTATTCTGTGTCGCCTGGAAGGGTGAACAACGTGTGAAGCGGACGAGCTTTCTGGTTGGAGTATGTAATTAAGTAATTGACTGATATTCAATTTATGGAAATTGACAATGCATACATCAAAGGACTGTTAACCAGGGGACGTGCGGAGACGATACAAAGGGGCAATGGTCTAGAATTACCCTTTGAAAGAAGGTAATTTAATTAATTCATTGATAAATAAAGGCTCTGCGGGACGATATCTGTGTATGTGTAACTCGTGTGAATTAAGTACCATAATTATTTTATGAACTTTGTGTCACCGGACTTCGCGATTAATTTAATTGCACAAATATAAATCTTGAGCGCGGAGGAGTCTCGGTATAATCTCAATTATTTAATGACCTGGTCACTCACCAATTTATCTTTCGCATAGCGGAGGACGATGAAGAGTGGAAAGGGCACCAGCGTGATGGCGCCCATAATCCATCCCAGAGCGTCTGCCCACGCGGGATACACGTAATCACGGTACTTCAAGCGCTTGATGTCCGTCATCGTGAAGATGAAAATACCCTGAAAAGGTGCAAATGGTATAAAGTGCTGCAGAATAGATTTATGCTAGACTCACAATAGCTCCGATGGGCGTTGCAATTGTCCAAACAATCCACCAATAACCTCGCGTGGCTCTGTTGAATTTCATTCCCATAGAAGCGAGATTGCTGAAGGCTCGGTCCAGGCCATAAACCCAAGATATTATGACAATCTGTGCAGAATGGGGTGGCATAAGAGAGTGGAAATACGGCACCGATTCTTTGATACACACCTCGGCAAAGCCCAGCATAAGAACGGCCCAGCTTGCAGTGTGCCACTCCATCAGTGTGAACATGTACACGCCACCGTTGCAGGTCATGGGGAGAGCTGCCGTGAAGCAGAATAGGCAAGTTCCTGCTGTTACCTATTGAAATACAAAATACTCTTCAAAACCAATTACTCTCTGTGTTGGGGAAATGATTGTCTGACGGAAGCTTTCTATTATAGAAATGCCACGGATGCGTCATCATGCCTTTACATGCCATTAAATCTGGGTGAAGCGAAATGTATGAAATTTCGAGTATGTATAACTCTTAAATTAATTGACAATAATTGGAATTGATCGTGACTATTGATTTTACAAATTAATTTACAGAATTACAAATTAATTTGTTTATCTTGCAAATAACAGCACAAATGGATTAAATTAATTTAAATTTATCAATGCCTTTGATATCATCGATATAAATGCAGTCTTTAGCGGATTATTGAAAGAGTTTGTTGTATTGATGCATTTGTCGCAGATAACACATTGATTGCAATTTTCAATATGTTCACAAATATCTTTAATACCCATTACAAGCGGCTTACTAATGAAAACAGAAATTAATAACTCAATTATTTAGATTCCCAATCCACTCTAATCTACGGTTATTATTGATTCAGTTGCGTGTGCAGTTTAGCGTTGGCAAATTAGCTACTAATGAGTCAATCTAATTCCATTTGAGGCAATTGAGCCACTCCAAATGCTGCCCAAAAATTTTCCCCGGCAATTACATGGGTCTGTGGGGGAGCGCAGATGAAATGGGGATTTACATGGGATGATGTTTAACTTACTCGCCATTTGTGTTCTCGCAAATGTGGCCAGCGGTCGATGATGGCTGGCGGCATGGGAAGAAAGAGAAAGTTCTCAGTGAATTTGTGAAAAAGTTTTCTCACCACTTGGGCTATATTTTTTTGTAATGGGAAGGGAGACTGTGTGTTGGTAACAAACCTGTATTAATGGCTTCAATTCCACCAAATTGACTCCCCATTCCGAGGATGAACATCATGAAGAAGAAGCAGACGGCCCAGAGCTGAGGCAGTGGCATCATGAGGACAGCCTGGAGAGGTGTGAGAAGGTGTTCCGATATGCGGTGAATAAATGGAAAACCGTAAAAAGAGGAAGTGGGTACAGTGGCAATAAATCACGTGGGACTCATGATCCGATATCTCAGAGTGGCTTCTATGGAGCGCGTGGAGGGCTTTTTTCCTTACCTCTGGATAGGCTATGAAGGCGAGGCCAGGACCTTCCGTGGCCACCGACGCAACGGACACATTCATGTTATGGGCCATAAATCCGAGAATGGAGAATATCGCAAATCCAGCAAAAACGGCCGTCAATACATTCGTCGTTGACACGAGTATCGCATCAATGTGGCAATTATTCTTAAACTGTTTTTTTGTCAGGATTCGCAGCAATGTCGAGAGGGTGACGTTGAAAGAAGGCAAAGAGAAATGAGAAAATTTTTCATGACTTCGCAGAAAGGCTCAGACTCACTTGATTGTAGGACGCAAAGGTGACCAAGGATGCACAGGCTATGCCAAAGCTGTAGAATGTTTGAGATGCAGCATCTGCCCACACTCTTGGCGACAACAATCTGTCCCATTCAGGATTCATGTAGAAGATGATACCATCAATTGCACCTTCGAGTGTGGCTCCGCGGATGAGAAGCGCTGTTAGTGTGACATAAGGGAACAGCGCTGTAAAGTATACCACCTTTCCTGCAGACTGAATGCCTTTGATAATGCAGAAAAAAGCAATAATCCACGCTAAGAGCAAGCAAAGCACGAGTTGCCATCTTGGATATCCCCAATTTGTCCACGTAGCGTCGCCTACACCGAGGACGTATTCACTGAAAAGATTTATTGTGCAACCAAATCTTGTGAGCAAAGTAGAAATATATAATTCTGAATGCTTTTATGGTTCTCTTCAGCATTCCTCTAAATTGTATGCATAATAATTTATACTTGTTAGATGCAATATTTGAAATGTCAATACTAACTTGTAGTATTCCTCTGAGGCTAAAACTCGATCAATCACATTTCCAATAGCAATCTCCGACTTATTTTCTGGGTGTATGCAGAAACTGGCGTTCTTTCCTGTCAGTCCATGATTCGAACAAATGGTTTCGATATCTGTGCAGGTTTGATTCCAGTAAATTAGATCCGCCGCCGTATGATTGTTGCCTTCCTTACATGTCATATCTTCAAGAGTACTGAAACACTCTGAGAGAAACGGGTCAATACGAGATTTTCAGTCAGTTGAGGCGTTAGTCTTACTGTGACTGTTGTAGTCATGATTGCAGTAGCCCCAATCGAGCTCGGATTTGAAGGAGGCAAACAAGTAGAAGAGGATCCAGGACACGATTACCATGTAGTAGATCGTGATGAAGGTAATTACGAGTAGTGTGCAGGCTCCAAGTCCTTCGAAGAGCGGTGCCATTCGAGCGTAGGCCTTATTGGGACCCAATCCACTGTATTGACCTATGAAGAGCTCTGAGAAGAAGATAGGCAAGCCTATGACGATCACCATAATAATGAAGGGGATCAAGAAAGCACCTGAAAAAATGGAGAGATTACGCTGACTGTTATCGCAAATTGATTTGGTCAATATTTGCTAATTAAATCGAAATATAGATTTGGTTGGTCAAGTCAGTATTTGAAGGGAAAGTGGCAATAAATTGAGCAGCATTATCTGTGGTGGAATAATCCTCACAATATGTGGAGATTAGTGAGAAAATTGCTAATGGTTTTTCATGAAAGTTCACTGGGTATGCAGAGCTGGGTGGCAGAGTTTTATCTTTCATTGCGATTTCCATTGAAAATCAATTGGACTTTGTGTGAGTGTGCGGGATTTTCTGCATGATTCGGGAGTGGGAAAGTACACATTTTCCACAGCACTGACTGTGTGGTAGTGATTTTTGAAATCCTTACTATTTGGATTTTGGAAGGCAAAATCTAATTTGGCCCCAATAAAATCAAATTCCACACTGCTCCTGAATTCACGAGCATGCACCATCATCGTCCATAGTTCAGAGTATGCTGTCTGCATATTGATTACTGATTGCCTGCCCTCTGTTTCTTCCCCGGCTTTGCGATATGATGTATTATCATATATCATTGATTTGGGGTGGATAGTTTTGGGGAATGTTCTGTTCGGCAGTGTGGATTTTATCAATTTCAAACAAACCATCCGGCTGGACTTTGGTAAAGTGTCTAGCTTTGTAATATGAAATCAATATTCAATTTTGCAGAATCAAACATATTTTTTTTCAACTACAATATTTGCATCGAAAATCTCTGAATTTATCTAAATATTTCCTCTTCAGAAGTTTATATTCCATTCTCTCTGCTGAAAAACTACCAGCTCATCTTCTGAAGCATTATGAACTCAAGTTGAACTTTTAGATGGTATTTCTGCAGTTATTGTTATGATTTGGAATTGCTACCGAGCTGAATCCTATTAAAGCTGCACATTTTATCCAATTATCGGCTTGCAGCGGAAAATTACGGAATTTCCAGCAAAGCTACTTTGAGAACTTTAGCCAAAAGGGCGGAAAAATCATGTGAAAATGAGTAAGGAATATTTACGAGGGAGACTGTGTCATTTTTTCTGTAACTTTGTATACACTTGGCGATGAAAAAGAGCACATTTTTCGCCGTTGGAGCGAGAAAAGTCTTGCAATTAATTAGAACGCATGTTGCAAAATTATCCTGGGTGGAATTTATTCAAATTAGTGCGATATTATGGTCATACCATTAATTCTAATTTTTATTAATGCGACTTTTATGAATAGTTTCTCGCCATCCCACATTCGATGGATATATGCGCAAATTGGGAAAACTCACCGATTTCCACACACCGTCTGACTTTGAGATTGCACAAGAGAATCTCGTTAGTGCATCTGCGCTTGGTATCTATCCTAATGAGAAGTATGAATTATTGTAATTTCCCAAATGTATTGTGCTGGCATCTTTCGTGGTACTTTTCGCAAACTTTGCCAAGTTAAGAAGTTGAAAAAATTCAGAGTGAAAAATGTGCATATTCGTTAGAAATGGTTTTCAGAGAAGGTTTCACGAAAAATTAAACGATTTACTCTGTGCAGTCATCATGAAAATATGCAATTACCATGGGTAATGTTTTTCAATCGTTGTAAAGAATGCATGAATGTGTACACAGAATGGGAGAAGTTTGAGTGAAGCAAGTGAACTGCAGCGAAAGAGGTTGTAATTAAAAATAAATTCGAATGGAAAATCCAAGGGAAAATCCCAATGGTGAGCAACGAGTCTCGAACGTTGGACGAAAGGTTACAGAAAAGCCCCAATGATGTGTGAGAGAACAAATAGCGCAAAAGCTGAAAAATCCATTCACATGCTGCAATTTCCGCTGGAAACAAGGCTGGAAATGACTAAGAGTGGCGATTGGAGGATGATGGGGACTCTTTGGTAGACAACATATGTACATACATTTGATCTCTGGACAAGAGACTGAATTGTTGCTGGCAGCCATTGGAGCTTTTATTTCATCACACCCTCTCATTCGGTGTGGCTCTTCTCCAAATCGCCAGGAAAATCTCTGATTTCCACAGGAGAATTCATGGTGCATATTTCATGCATTGCAAACTTTTTTCTCCAACCCACCCACAAGTGTTGTATACAGCACTCGAAGGCGTCCGGCAACCAAGTCTGTAACATGAATAAGTGTGCAAACGAAGAGTGGTTGTGGGTGATGTGCTTTTATCCAAGATTTTTACTCTGTCTCATGGCAATCCTGGTATGATGCCGGCAGCGCAAAAATTGCAACTTTGCGATACTTCTGTATTGTGCATGCCTTTTCTATCACACCCTTCAAAAGGATACATCTCCACAATCCACCCCATTTCGAGATCAAAAACTTCTCTCCGACTCTTGAAATTGAGTTACGCCAAAGTTAAATTTTTGAATTATCGATAGAGTTCCAGTGGCAATGTTCCACATGCAAGATGAATTTAAAATTCTGATCTTCCCCTGAAGTTTTTCTGAAAAGCGTGATTTATATTGGGACATAAAATCATGAGGGAAATTAGAATGCTTTCATATACACAATATGTACACCAATTAAAAGTGAATTTATGTGCCTTTTATCTAATGTCTGAGTGATTAAGGAAAAAATGAGAAAAGGTCCATTCCTCTTCGTTTTTATTGCAATTCTCTAGCACAGCAGATTTTTGTGATTACAGTGAATTATGGTGTTTCATTCTCTGGCTATGGCCATTTAGGACTATGAAAAATTCTCCTCGTGAATGCACGGCGCATAAATTTTATCACAGAAATGAAAGATGTGAAATAATCTCATTAAAACATGAATTTCATTAGGCTCTAATATTTAATAACTTGTTTCTTCCCTCCATTCAACCGAGGAGCAAAATTGTACATTGATGCTCTTTTTGCGCGCGCCCACCCAAGTAAAAGTCAAGTCATACCTTTCGGAGCTTGCCAAGGTGAAAAGGGGATGCCCAGGGAGTGGGATTAGGGTGTAATTTCGAGTTAATTTTCAGTGACTTACCGCCGCCATTGCGAAAAACCAGATATGGAAACCGCCAAACTGAAAATGAGCACATAAATTAATCAGCAGCCGTAATGCCAAGTAAATTAAATGCTCAATTCTTACCATTTCCCAAGCCCACGGCGTATCCAATGCACGCCAGGATGAACTCAAGAGGTGTGCCCCAATTTCCACGCTTCACCTCCGTTTCTGGGCTTGCTGGTGCTTTTGCACTCGCATCCTCGACATTTCCATTCGATTGTGCTTTTCCATCTATGGTTTTCACCTTTGGAATCCAAAAAAGCAAGTGAGATTTTATAGAGTTTTCATACAATTTCAGCACATCAGGTTGATTTTATGACAATTAATCTTAACTATAAAATTTAATACATGTGTTTTTGCGGTTTAACGTCTGACAACATTTTTTTATTTGAGGAAGTCTAGATATGACACTTGTTCTACGATCAATTACACTTTTATTATTTGAGTTTTGTTTCCACCTGTGCTTTAACTTTGCGGTTTGCTGAGACGGTAAATATTTTAATAGCATATTTTAATAGCGAAGAACGCTTCCAGAAAAAGCGATTATTTTTTCGCCTGAAATCAGGTACACATTGGCAATTATAACTGTTATGACCATTTTAAACTCAGGAGACTGAATATAATATGTATTTTTTGTAGATTATTTAACGATATTCTCTTACAGATCCATCAACTTAAGACTGTGATTGAAAATTTTTGACATTGTTTGTACATAAAGTTATCACAATCTGCGTAATTCGCAGAGCATTGAATAGAACAAGTATTACACTTAATTAGCGTGATCAAGTTTCAACGAGAAAGTGTGTCTCTGAATTCAATGGTATTTCCTCACAATATTATCAGGTTGTCTGTATGATATCATATTGAGTTTGAGAAAAATTCCACTTGATTCCACTGACAATGTTCTCAAGAACAATGACAATTGACTTAAGATATTCTTTGTCAACAGAAGAATCAAAATTCCATTCACTTACACTGTTCACTTCATATGACTTGGTCATGATGGAGCTTTGGGTTCTGCAAAAGTGGCAAAAGTCACTCTTTGAGTCGCACACGAAAAGTCACAAAGGTGTCAGTGTCAAAACTCACGTGCTCAAAAAATTCGGAACTGGTGAGAAAAGCTCTGAGGTGTTTCACAATGTGCCGACTGGCCAGTTGATCCATGCAAAAGTATCCCACTTGGAGCCACATAAACGCGATTGACCAAGTCACGGGCAGGCGAGGAGGTGCAGCCGAACCTGTCACAACCACATCAAATCGACAACTGATGTCAGGCGCTTCAGGTGGGATGGTGGCAATTAATTGTGGGCCCCGGCCTCTCTGGACTCTCTTATCGCGACAGATTGCTTTGCGATAGAGACTCGACAGCTTTGTAATGATGCCAATACCGCGAAATGATTTTTCTTTCTGCCCATTTGCTGCCATTGGCCATTGGAAAGCACTCGGCGCCTGAACAATGATTGACTGCACTCGGGAAGTTGTTGAAAATGTCGGATGCACCTGTGGAATGCATGTGTAGATCATTATCAATTATTACCAATGGCATGCTAAAGTCCTATCACATCTCAAATTAATTTCCGATTACAGTCTTATGAGGTGATTTAATTGCTGATAAAGCATGTGTGATAAGATGAGGATTATGGCGGTGAGAATACGAAGAGTAACACATCAAGGCTTGTCTTGACAGGCTTTTCAAAGAATGCATTCTGTGAAATTTCGCCAGATTTATTCATGGATGTGTCCTGCATTTATCACATCATGTATGTTCTATTTTTGATCATTAATTGCCTACATAATTGTGAGAGTAAACACTCCATGTGAAGCACTACTGAGTCTCTGATAAAGGCCTTTGAATGAGTACATCTCACTCCTTGTGTGGCAATTCCAGGTACCTTTATTTGAACTTCATATAAATTCAATTCTTGATTGATTTAATTCTATTAGTCACTCTCATATGATTATTTGCACAAAATGCCACTGCACAGCGCGGAATATAAATTTGTGGCTGAATGGTGAATAAATTCAACTATAGAAATCCATTTCTTGGAATAACCATAACTCTCTATCATCATTGAAATGATTGCATTCACTTTAACAATTCTGTGGCTTCCGTGGATTTTTCCTCTGAATTAATCGACTGAATTGTGGCACTACACCCAAATGGTAATAGATATTTCACATGTGATCTCATGTGGACCGTTTGCGGTCCATCACCGCGGAACGGTCAATTGAGATCAGTTGAAATTTTTGAAGGGGTTCACAAATATTACGACCGCAAAACGAGGGACTGAATGTCCTTTCTGTGGTCAATTTCGAGAGGCATGGACTGAAATGTTGACGAACATACGCCGAGATGACCCCATTCGAGGCACAAGACCACACAAACTACAGTAAAGTGTGAACTTTTGGGGGTTTTGGTTTGAAAGTTGCCAATTTCCATTTCAACGTCCATCTCAATCATGAATATTCATACAATCAGAAACTTTAAACTGCACTCAATATAGCCCCATCCTCTGGGCGCTCTTCGCACCCCTGCCGTTCTCACCTATGGCATTTTTGGTTTGAGTTGCCATCCTCGGCATGTGCTTCATCCTCAGCATGGGCTCTTCAAGTGCTCAGTCTGACACGATGCTGGAGAAATGTGGCTTTTGAGGTGAGACATTGTAAATTGTACAAGTTCCAATCAACAGCACATCTTCAGTGGTGAGTTGCAGGTTGCCGGAAGCTTTCAAGTCATCACCATCTATTAGCATTGTCGAACTTTCACAGCCATACTCCTGAACTTTAGCTGACAAGTGCCGAAGCCGGATGGACTCACTTGCTACTCCCTATTTTTCATGATAACAACCATAGAAATCCCTTGCCTGCGAGTGCTCCACTGACTGTTTCCTAATCGAGGCTGAGTTTACATGCACTTAATTATTAACTCCACATTCTACCGTGTCAATATTTGCCACCTCCCCACAAACTTCTAGTCGATTGTTCGACGAATTTACAACTATGATAGTCATGAGGAGTCTTGTGAGAAATACGATTTGTGCCGACATTGTTTTAATCCTTGAGAGTCAAACTTATGGTTTTTGTGTGTCTTTCCTAAGATAAGATGGTCAGGCGAACTTGTAGACAGACTACTAAATGTCGCAAAAGAGGATGAAACTTTGTGTAAATTCAATTGCCCAACTTCACTGCACCATCTCTCACAATGCCATCCTTTTCTGTTCATTCTAATTTGAAAACCAAACGGAAAATTAACCGCAATTGCCAGAAAGTCTTCGACAAACAGACAAAATTAAGACATTTCATGTAAAGTTTCCACACAAATTTCAATTATGCATCTTCACATTAAGTAAAACAGAATTCTAATGATTTTGAAAAGTTCAACTACACAAAAATATCTCGTTTATTTATTGTATTGTGTTGCTACGAATATAACATAAAACATATGGACTTGTGATACTATTAAATTGAATTATGTAAGTATGTTTATAGCATTTTTAAATAAACTGAGAAAAACTCGTGTATGTAATACAATACTTATTTATTGAATAATATTTGACGTCTTCACGAAACATGCGCGTCTCATAAAAATAGTCCGATGAGCCTCACTCATCATAATTATCTGGGAAATGTCATCAACTAATGCTGGTGGTTTGCAATGATCCACAGCGGGAGAATAAACGGTCAGTGGCCACTTAATTCCCAACTCCTTTCTTTATGACGCGCCCACAGAATTGGGGCAGACACACAGCAAGGGATTATGGGTGAGCTTCACAGCTTTCACCCTCGCCCAAAGTGGTAAAATGTGGGCAAAGGACGTCACCTGTTGGCATCGTCGACGTGGAAAGTTTCTGCTCACCTTTTGTGAGGATGAGTCAAGAGGAAATAACGATGAGGTGAGATGTCTTAAGTGCCTCCATTGCGTGTGCCAGAAGCATCCCTTGCCATAAACTTTGATTCCCCATCGATTTTATGTATAGGGCATCTCATGCCTTTCATAACGCAATATCCAAGAATTTCCCCAGCAATGGACATTAGTGGTAATTTCCGAATTATTGCCACAGAGATTGGGCCACCCAAAGGCAATGATAGAGCACATTCATTTCCGCCTCATCCACTCTCTGGCCTCCCCTCGCCACCATTAACAGCAATGTAATCCATCAAACGTGCAGAATAATTGATTGTACAATTATTCCCCATATTTGGGGTGGCTCTTTTAATTTCCCCGTGAATTCACATGCCAAGTGTGTGCGAAATTTTGATGGAGTGGCCCCTCGAACTGGGGGAAAACACACATGTATGTATGTAGGATGAGGAACAGGATTATTATTTATCATATTGGCAAAATATTTATATACTCACTGGCCAACATTGATGAAAAAAACATTGTTTATCACTTCTGGCAGAAATGATGAGGAAAACAACAACTTCTGTAAATCTCTTCCCCAAATAAATGCCAGTTCGACTTGAAGAGTGCGCAGTGAGTCACCTTCGATATGAATCTGTGTATAACATGCTTATAATTGAGCCTTTTTATCAGCACTCGCACGCATTTTTGAGCTCTTCATGAGACATATCGCAGTGAACTTGAGGGGAGATAATTTACAATTCCTGATAAGGCGGTTCTCATTGAATTTCCGAATAAATCCTCTTAAGTGGCTATTAGGGAATGATTTAAATGGCGCTCTTGTGGGGCGCGTGTCTTTTAAGTTATGTACATTCGAGAGACATCGAGACGTTAGGCACTTGAATAGTTAAATGTATGCTATTTGGCAGCTAAAACACCTTTCACGAGTTAATTAATAATATCTCGCGTAATGTTAGTCTAATGTTTCCACTCTAATTGCACCCTGAAAGTCAAATACCATCACTACTTGGATGGCAAGCATTCCGCCCACGCGCAAATACCTAAAAAAATCAATTTATGATGTGATGATGCACGAGCAGCAGGTATTAATAAGTGTTGATAAGCAAAATACACCTTGACACATTTTTATATTACCTCCTGCGCCTGAGTGTAATTTTTACTGTAATATTTACCCACCACGCAATCATCATCATCCTCAGAGCTCAATCTACATACAAATTGTAGTGCCGCTAAAAAGCACATAATACGCAGTGTTTACCAATCTGCAAGTCCCTATCATTCGACAGCAATACAATGTGTACCGCAATCCCATCGTGTAACTGCTATATTTAACGTCTCTCTACTTAATCATATAGTTTGTCGACACGCAATTTTCATTTTGCGAGCATGCATTGAGCTGAGGGGTAAACATTTTCAAATTACACGTTAAATATTTGCTATAAAATTTTCCCACTCACACTCTCGGAAATCTTCTCATGAGAAAATGTAGCGTCACATGGAAAAAGGACTTGTAGGAATGTGAAAATATTTGTATATTCAACATCGAGGAAATACTCAACGTTTGTCTTCACAATCAAATTAATGAAAACTGTAGGAATACGCGGAGCCTTATAGTACAAAATGTGATGCAATGTAAATTCACAGAAATAACTCTGAAATATTCCATTTGGCAGATTTTATTATGTTGTACCTTTTTCCCAATTTTCCCAGTTTGCAGCAAGATTTGAAATTACTCAAATTTCATCTACCAAAACACCACTTCGTAGTTCATTTACCCAAATGTCCCAACTCCATTCACACATTGCTGTAGCGAATTTAAAAATAAATTGACGAAAACATGACAATTTGAGGATTGAAGAGTTTCTTCTTCTTTTCTTCCTTTCCAATTCTCATTGGGTAAAAATAGCGATGAAACTCATTGACTTGAAATGTTTCGAAAAAGATAATTTGGGGGAGAGAGCAAGATTTAGAGTGAATAATATATAGTTTATCTTCACACATAATAATGAACACGATGTGATGGTATTTTTATCCGTCTTCACAATAGCAAATACATGTATTTGCAGTTTGTCAGAAATATCAAATGGACCACATTCTCATGGTCATTTATCACACTTCGAGGGGGATGAGATTATGTGATGAATTTCACAGAAGAATTGCCAATGATTAATTGTGAGTTCAAAATTAATTGGGAGAATTCATTAAAATAGCTAAAATGGATATTTAAAAGGAAATTTGCCACAAATACCAAAACAAATGACTCACAAATTAGGATAAGAGCCTGTGTAATTTTGGATATGGGGCAATTGGAAAACACTGCTGGGATTTTAATTACTCCATAATAACTAGGAGACAGTCTCACATTACGTAAAGGTATAATCAATTATCTCGTAGTCCAAGTAAAGTGAGTAAAGCGAGGAAAGTCATTAAATTTATCAAACAATGTAAGTTTTGCTTTAGTCAAGACTTTAGTTGAGCAATATAGCCTAGGAGGATCTTTAAAATTCTGCAATACATTTCAGGTCACACTGATATAAATAAAATATATTGAAAACATGTATTTTTGAAGTTTTTAAATCCGTTTCCTTCGGTTGAGCACTTTGTTTCAGAATATTACTTTATAAAGAATAGGAAAATTGAGAATTTTTTGGAGGATATTTCAAAAAGGAAATGGTTTTGAAATACGCAATATTCATCATCTTAAAAATAAATTCATATCAGTGAAGAATTAATAAGCAATAAAAATAAACTTTCATTTATGCAAACAACGTAAGTTGCAAAGTTATCAGGCAGTTTTAGCGGGAACTGCGAATGTCGTGTTTTCCTCTCAGTGTAGATACTCCATTATTCTCGTTTGGATCTATTCTTGTTTGGAATTGCAAAATAGATGTTGAGGGGCTGTTACTTAAACGTTTACAAGAAACTATAATGGGAATACATGCCCTCTAAACTTAGGATGTATATCATCCATACGAATATGCTTTTAAGGCAAAAAGGTCAACTGGAAGTTATTCCATATGCTGGAAATAGCACTTGTAGGTGGATTTTTATGATCTCTGTGCCCTTTCAGAGGCCACTTTTTGGGGCTTCTCAGAGTGCCAAGTAAGTCATAATGATTCAGCTTGCCTCCGAGTGCGTGTGGGGAAATTTGTACAAATTGCTAGCGCATATTTCTCCGGCCGCTGAGATAGAAGGCGCCCGCGAGAGCCGAGATGCTGCGAAGTGGAGCAAGAGAGTGGAGAAATGTGGTGGTATTTTTAGCCAGAATCAAAACATATCTCCCACGCACCTTTGGCGTGTGTGTCTGTGCTTTGGAGCTGGCGGAGGGGCACTGATGGGGAAGAGTTTGCTCACCAGGGCACATTTATTAATAATATTGCTACGAAAATACCATGATGGCGATAAAGAGGCGAGGCACAACTCACACCATGGTGTTGGGCATTAAAAAGAAAATCTGAGATCACTCCGTTTGGGGTTTTTCGCATTGGAAGTCGGGAGGACGCGAGATAGCGTTTTTCTCACGGGCGGCAACACATCGTGACGATGGAGGAGCCCCACTCACACAGTGGTCGCCTCGTGAAGATTTCTTTCACCCAATAGTTTTTCCTCTTAGTGCCGCGCGCCAGTTTTCGAGTGCTTTCTGCATTAAATTCTTTATCGTTTTTAATTATCCGAACAACAGTTCTTTCTTTTTGCGCGGATACTCTATCGGAGTGTTTGGGGGACACCGTCTTTGCCATTTTGTGGAGTATCACGACGTCCAGTGGAGGATTTTTCTTGCACGCCCAAGTGCCACCGAGGGTGTTCAGCTTCTTTTGCTTTCTGGTAAGTGGTTCATCCTCTTCACACCCACCTCATCAGTGTGTGGACACTTGAGAGGACTCTCCTGGACTGCCAAGTCGGCAGAGTGCGAAATTTCTGTGATCACTCCCGAGGTGACAGGAGTGATTGATTGATACGGACGCTAATATGCTCAGAGGGTGGCTCTTTCGTCGCCACTCGGGGAGAAAATCTGGCTCTTTGGGATGTTTGTGACATTGAAAATTCCCCAGAAATCTCCTTAGGAACAGGATCTCCGTCACAGTGTGTCATCTTCTCAATTTCCTGATTGGATTAAAATTCCGTCACTTTGCCAAAGTCTGGAGCCGCCCATCTCGTCTTGAGATGATTAGCGAAAAAAAACAGCTGTTGGCAATTCCAAAGAAAAGACGGGGACTTTTCTGTGTCATCCTGAAACTCTTGTTACATAATCGATTTACATATTGACATATTTATTGCCTCTTGTCTACCATCGTGTGTAGACAATTCACCCATCTCAGAGAGTTGTGAAGCACCATGCGTGCGAATTCATCATAATTCATAGGCTGTGTTTTACAACTATTTGAATCCTTCCACTGTGAAGAAGTCACAACATGTTCGCAGGGTTATTGGAGAAGAAAAAATATTCTGTGTGAGCCACGAACATTTCACAGTCACAATTCTGTGTGTTTCCAATAAAATATCTCCGGGAGGAGAATTATTTTCGGCCGTAATCTCTGTGGCACACACAGTCAATAATTTAGTGGAGCCAGAGAAAAAAGATCTTTCACCAAATTGTTAAATTTCACAAACACACACGCGCGCACACACGCGAGATGATAAAAAACAGCACAGAACTTTTCTCTTGGGTGTTAAAAATAAGATATGTTTCTTGCCATGTTTTTCCTCGTCGGGCTCACGCGGTCTCTTCTTCGCGTTAGCAAAGAAAAATGCGTGTGCCAACGTGTATAATTTATAGCTGGATGAATGGCTAAAAATCCACTGAGAGCCTCATGAAGAATTACAACTCTTCAGAATTTTCACACCCATTTGAGCTGCTGCTTTATTATTTCTCTCTCTCTCTGCGGCTGAAAATTACATACGGGGGTGGGTTGCATGAGCTCTTCACCTCTGCTCTGTTGAACATGATTCATGATGCGTGACATAATTTTCGCATCCAAAAATTCCCGCATGTTTAATCATGCAAATCCGGCGGAGTTTCCACGCATTTTCACTGCCGTGGGCCATACATATTCCCTCTTCTCTTGTTAATTAATGTACTTCTTTAATAGACAGATATGCACGTGTATTATACGTCTAGTATATCGAATTATTGAATATTATATGTACATTATACAATGTGCTTAAAAATTAATATTGCAAAGTTTCATTATAAACTTTCGCACAAGTTTCCGAAATTAATATTCAAAGTAACATCAAAGGAGCACCTAACATTCATATATTACACTGTAGCAGTTTTAAACGCTTATAATTATGATAAATTTTGCTCAAGTGAAATTTCTTTGAGTTTTCATTTTTGAAATGAGTTCTTGAGGGGTGAAACTATTATTTTCTGATATTCACTTTCTCAATTATTCAATCAATTTGATAGTTTCTGAAATAATATTGATTATATTTTGGAATTGACCTGGCAAAAGTTTTTGATTTTCGTTGAGAAACACAAACTTCTGGCTGTTTCTCTGAGCCATTGAGAAACTGTGAGGCGAAAGCGAAAATTCCTGGGTATTTGTGGGTGGTGGGCAAAAATAGATTTCTTTTGAGGAGGATTTTCACTTTTCACAAGCCATGAAATATACTGGCAAACAGTGGTCCACATTGGAAGAAAGCCATCGTGATTTTTGGATTACACCAGAATCACTTGATTATTCAATCGATGTCTGGCTTTCCACTCTGCAATGTTCACAAAATGATGAGGGCTTAGAGGTCACATTGGTCCTTGACAGCATGTGTGCACCTTCTCATATCACGGCGACAGTTGTGTGATAAATTTCAAAGAGGAACTAGGAGGTTAGCATTTGAGATGCAGAAATAGACTTTGAGCGCGACATTTGAAATAGAGGAGAGACAACGAGTGGCAAATATTAAATGGAATTTAGTTCAGAAATGTCTCGAAGTTATGATACGTTATAAATTGGGATTTGTAGCGTTGTCACAGACCTAGAGGGATTTTGTGTGGAACATCCTCAAAAAAATTTGAATATTTTAATCTCACATGTAAAATGTTGAAAATTGTATAATTGGAAAAGTGCAATTTGCACCTGAGCGCCCATCAAATCTGTCGAATGCTTGTGCACGTTGAAGTGCACACTTTCCAGTGGGTGGAAAACTAATTACATGGAGTTTTAAGCTGAAACCACAGCTTAATCAGCACTAAAAGCTTGAGTGTATTGTTGTACGTAATATCATAATAATTAATAAAACTATGTTGCTGAAACGTAATGAATCTGCTTGGAAAGTTTGCAATTTCAACTATATTGAAAACCGTCTATGCACAGAAGTTTCATGTCAAAATGGATTTTCGTGTAAAGAAAATAAATCTTTACTGAGTCTCACTAACATTTATTAAATTTTAGTTTCAACATTATAACTTAATGAAAGGCGATTGCCAGAAAGTGGGTTCAAATTACAAATCAAAAATGTATTTCATAACATCGAAAACTAAGTTCAGATGAACATGATAAATGTGATTTAGTTCATTTTCTGTCTGCAATATCACGTGTTTTAATCGAAGTATTTCAATGATTTCGAGCTTAATGAAAAAAAAGGGAAATCAGGCAAAACTCCAACAGAAAACCTTGAATGTTATTCTACTGCTTTTCCAAGTCCCTATAAACTTAAATGAATGAATACCAATCTTCTATCAGGTGGTGACACGTCGATTTTCCGTCGTCCAGATGAAATGAGAAAGGAGGGAACTTCTCAATGGTTTGACCACTTGACCATTTCTAATCTCATTTCCATCTCGAAATTCAATTTGACTGCCGCACGATGAAAATCTAATCACATCGTTGCTGAGGTTTTAGCTCAAATTTAGGGTGTAAAAGAGAACATCCTGTAATGAAGATGAGCTCTGATCCATGAGAATCATCGGGAAATTAGATACTTTTTTCTTTGACAGCGCAATTCTTTAACAGCTGCCATTGGAATCAAAATAATTTTCAAAGCCCCCGCCAATTTGACCTTTTCACGGACGGATACAAAACACGAGCGTAAATTTAACACCTGCACCGTGTTTTTTGTCACTCTCGAGATAAACTCTCCGAGAATCTACTTATTTTTTATTGTACACCCGGAGTGAAATGCGCGCTGCCCGAAATAATAGGAATTCGTCATTGAGGTGTCATATTTTTCTCTGTTGCGATGGTTTGGGGACAAAATAGATATGGCACGTAAATTTTATGAGATACTCGCATATTCATGCTCCAGATGATGCGAGCGGGAAGGGGTGCCCAAAACAAGGTGGCGGGGCGGGTCTGAATGAGTGTTGTAATGCAAATTTTTTCCAGCCGAAAAAAAACAACAATTTTTTACCATTTTTATTGTGCTGTGTAGCAATTTTGGGGCAAATGGATTGCTGTCAATCTTCCTCTCACACTGCCTAGACAGACTCGTCTCTCTATTTTTCTACAGTGAGAGCGGGAGAAAAAGCGAGTTAAAGAGAGAGAGAGAGAGAGAGAGGAAAACATTCGTGCGCCTACAATATATGTTACATTGGTGGTGCGTGAATCCATCAAATAAATTTCTGGGTCGTATACTTTTTATTCGTCAATTTCAATCCAGAGATCCACTTTTGCCACTCACCGGGCCTCACCAATGACTTTGGCGACAGATGAGGAGACGGACAAGAACAACAGAGGGGAAAATAAAAACAAATTACAATGGGAATTTTATTTCGTCCCCAAAAGAGAGACGAAATGGACAGTTGAGGGTGTCTAGAGAGAAAAGGGAGGTTATTTTGGATTTTCCTCCTTTCAAGAGCGCAAGAGAAACTTCTCTTTTGTGTTCTGGAAATTATCATTTTTTTTGCCTACTTTGTCCTTTCATTTCCTGCATATAGGCGTAATACATGAATACTTTGAACACCATCGATGGCCTCTGGAGAGGATTTTTAATTGACGTTGTTGACTTTTGGTCTCTCTTCTCTCTACACTGGAAAAATATTCCATAGTGTGACTCTTGGAATTGTGAAAAAGGGGCTGAAGAGCTCTCAGAAACCATGAAATGTTGAAAATCATGGGAAAAAGGAAAGAGTGAATTGTGCCACCGGAGAAGAACATTGCTTTTTGATGGTGGTGATGAATGAAAAGGGCGCGCGGGTGAGCATCCAATGTGGGAGAAATTGCTCTGGGCAATAAAGCAAACAAATGGTCCAGGCGAAAACGTGGAGCAAAAAAATGAGAAATGATCTTAGATTAAATAATCTCATTTTATACATCGAGATTTATTGGACCATGAGTGGAATCAACCTTTACATCAAATTTATCACAATGTTGGAGCATTATTAAATTTATCCCCACATATTGTCACGCCCTGTGCAATCAGATAATTGTATTTTTGTATCATTCACACCCAAAAGCTCGCACCACAGAAATATCCTCTCTTGCCTTTCTTTTGTGGTGTTTGACGTGGGAAATATTCGTTTTTTATGTGATTTCCTGTGTTTATTGCAACATGAGCAAATTTTAAATTTCATGGCGCTTCGGGGGTGGTAAAATAAAATGAGGTGTTTCCACAAACGGAACCTCATTTGTGGGTAAAAAGAGTTTTCACAAAGCATTACCGGTTGTTGTTATACATGTCGAAAGTTGCAAGTGTAATCAATTGGCAATTTTAATTACAATGCTGGGTGAATTTGCAGGATTTCCGGCCAGATGCCAGAAATAAAATGATCACAATGTGAACAAATAAAACTGTGTGTTCTTGGCATGCACACTCAGTAATTCTTGCAAATTTCTCCACACTTGGGTGCATTTTCTCGTGAAAATTTCATGGGCATTCAGCGAAAATCATTTTTGATACTGATGATGCTCAGGGAGCGCAGATGCTAGCGAGTTAATAAACAAATAATTAAAGTGGCAAACAAGCACACTTGAAGCCACAAGATTTCTGAAGCATTTTATTTGTCGAGAAATGAAAGCCTAACCCTGAAAGCTTTCTTTCTCTCTCTGCAACTATTTAAATTTCTCACCCATAGTGTAAATAAACACTTAAAGATATTCACCTAATGGGCAACTCTGAAGTTCGGGTGAATCTTCTCGAAAATTCTCACATGATTTTCCGTCCATTTCCCCTTAACCGAGAGATCGTCTAACTTTTGGCGCTTTTCCGAGGTTCATCTTTAAATAAATATTTACATTTCATCACCACAAAGTATTCTCGAAAATTGCCTTCACTCTCCCTGAGTGCTAAATACACTTTCCGGGGAAATTTAACCGTCTCTCACTGGATGAAGGCACTATCGCTTTCAGGAGAGGCTTTGGCAGTTGATACAGTCAGAATTATGACTTTTACTGTTGGCGCAGTGCTCTGTATTGTGCGAAAAACACATGGAGTTTTAATAAAATCCTGGGTATATTGTTCACATTAAATCATGTACTGGTACTTATACAATTTCATGCTGTTGGGGCAATCAAATGAAAAATTGTCAACGCTCAGTGTGCGCCGAAAGGTTCGTTAATAAAACACTAATATTTTCCACGTTATTACTGGTCGTTTAATATTTATATTTGATTTAACGTAAATATTCGTCATAATACCCGGTTTTTCGGTTTCAGCTTATTACCTTTATACGCAAACATTGTATCTCACCTCTCCTTAATCGATCAATATTAAACTATTAATTCGTATTCTAAATGATAGATAATTTACCTAGAATTTGCGCTGCTGCAGCGTGTGTACTTCTTTCTCAGTTGAAGCAATTCATTACGCAATGGCATGGCATGGCTCACGTGCAAGAAGTGAAAATATCGAAAATATCCAGCTCTTCGAGAGAAGTGAGCAAACAAACTATCAGTTAAATATTGACATTAATCCAAATTGGAGTCATATGTTTAAATGCCGGATTAGTGGGGTGGTATCGATTGTGTGGTTGTGTTTAGATGTGGCAGCGCCGGAGGCTGAGGGATTCGCGGTGTGCAGATAAATGTTTGATATTCTCAATGGTGGCTTCGTGAAAGCCCCATCTGATGCCTGGGGCCATTTCGAAAATGAGAAAAAACCATTCAGTTGTTTTCACCACTTTTTATTCATTTTGGCAGATGGGCGATATTTTCATCAATTCGTCGGACGGGTGAGCTTCTGTCTGATTTATGGCTCATGAAGGTTTTAAAACTTGATGTACACTTTCGCTCTATGTACATTGCAATCGTGAGAAGGAGGATTAGGGTGCTGTAGACTGCAAAAAATGTGAACATAAATGGTTTAGATCATGTGTAAAAGTTTGATAACTTCTTTCCAGCAATTTTTAGTCCTATCGCTCTTATGATTCCTGGGCTTGCCAACTCGGCCACCCTTGAAAATGATAATGCAGATTCTCAATTGCGAGAAGTTTCAAAGATATTGAGAAGTTTTCCGGAAATTCCCCGATCGGAAGGAATGGCGATTGGTGAGAATGTATTGCAAACTTCGCCATTCATTTCATTCGACTTAAGAGACAGCTTCCCCAGGACGATGAGGAGCATAATGAAAAGTTTTCCCATTTTGTAAATCCCCCGCCTCACACTCTATCGCTCCGGAATATGGTGAATGTTTACGCTCACGATGCGTCTATGGAGTTCTGGGCAAATTCCAACATCCACCAGTATTTGTAGCGACTTTGTAGCCTCAGCAAATGAGTGCAAAACAGGATAAGAACACTATGTTTGAAATTCTCACCATTATCTGTATCCGTTACCCATTTTAATCCTCGTGTATTGAAGTTTCAGCAAATTCTCAGGGCCCCGGCGAAGAGCAATCCCATGTTGTGGGGTGTGTGTCGTGGAAAGGAAGTGTGGCAGGAGAGAGACCATAACCGCAAACATGAATATTGAACAAACTATTATAGCTAATGAAGCTTACACTTATGATCCATTATGTGTCGCATAGAATTAGGAACTCGTGTCTATTCCCTTTTCCTCTCCGCATCACACTTCACTCCTTGTCTTCGTTGTGCAAACTGTGAGATGGAGTGGCATATAAGTGATTATCTTATTATGGGAATACGATATTAATTCACTGAGGGCAAAAGAAATTACTCGGGAAGGGAATTCCTGCTGTAGTGTCTAAAGAGGGGAGCTTTTCCACTTGGAATGTGGCGCGAGTGCGAGAAAATCCTCCCAAGTCGGACTTGGAATTTTTCCCTTTCATCGACAAGTTGTACTTAGTTGCTCGACAACAGCAATATATTTATTTACACTGGCCAAGAACATTAAGTACTTCTTAAAATCCTATTTACAGCTCCTTCTCACCATGAGCACAATGTATAGCTTTTCCGGCGGGCGGGTGGGACAGCACGCGCTTCGTGGGAGCTTTTCCACGGAGTCAGCACTGTGCGCCCCCGGAGGAGGTCATTAAGTGGCGCGTGAGATGGATCAGGAAGAGAATTGCATTTTTATTGGATGGTGGTGCTATAAAGTGAATCAACATTGTCACATTTATGCACAAATTAACTATCAGTTTGCAACATTATTGGCAATCTCTTGCCATGCACGATCCTTATCAAATTGGGAGTTTGCATTGTGTTATGGTTATTGCACCAGTTTCTGGTTCAAATTATCTAATTCTTATCGATTTCTCATGATTTTGATAACGTTATGAAATCAAGAATAGAGAACCATAGGAATTTTTCAGTCTCTCCTGAAAAGTCCTTTGCCCAGCACATTGATATACCAGAGAAAATCTTTATTGAAGTCCCGTGAGTGAATTTCAAAGTTCCATTGCATTTTCTCGTGTCGCGCGAAAGAATTCCAATTTTATGATGTGAGAAACGTATAAATTTTTCACCTTTTCTTCACCAACACTTTTCACACACACATCGTGCAGAGATTTTTATTTAGGTCTCTCTTACGAAATCGTGGGGATTTTATCCAACGTTTTGAATCGTCCTCGTCATTTTGATGGCAACTTCGTGTGGAATAGATCATCGAGAAACCATTGGAATGTGACTCGTTTAAATTCTGCATAGCATCTTCATCTCCATAGAAGTGTTGGCTTTTGATGGGAAAAATAAGATACAAATTCAGGTTGAAAGGTGAGAGAGAAGAGCGAAGGGGGAAAACGACACCTTTTCGAAGTATTTTCTTCAAGTTTTCACACAAAAGCTCCTCATTCATTGTATTGTGAGATGAGAATTTCAAGGAGGCTCCCTTGAGGAGCTCTCGCTTCTCTGTTTCTTGTCATCCACTGTGTTTTCTTGGGGGATGAGAGGTCACAAAGTCAAACAGGATGCATGGGAAAACTCTGGTATGAGTCAAGAGTAAGTGAGGAGTGAGATAATCAATACATTTCACTCAATAGAACTAACAATTAGTTCACAAATACATCGATATGTCAAGCTCACTCTCTGTCCAACCTCCCCATCTAATCCTTATCCACAATCCCACTGACAATTATCCCTTTATCGTGGCCATACTCTGTGAGTGTCACATGGTCTCCTTTAGAAACGTTGCTGTGGGCAAATGAGGACTCCTTTGAAGATTATCTGTGCAGTCGCCTCTAATGATGGTCCAACCGAGGCGATACTATAAATGTGGAATTAAGGGATCTCATAAAGTGAATTTAATGCCTCCGAGAGAAATTCCCTCTCACACCCACAACTAAATAGAATTTAATTTACCGACTACCCTACAGTTCAGGCCGGATGTCAAAGGCTCCGCCCAACCCCAACTTTGGCCCACGAAGAGCGAGTATGACGAAATGAAAACGCATTTCAGCTGAGCTGAAAAGTATTTATTTGAAGGCATCTCCACAACTTTTATAGCAACGTGATCTTTCAATAATTTTTTTGGCTTCCACCACTCTTTCTGATAGGATTTTGTGTGTCTTTTCCTCTCAGCTCAAGTTTGAAGTATTTTTGGCACAAAGTTCAGCAAACTCAAATTTAGCAAATATGACTTTCAATTGAAGAATTTATACCCAATAACTTTGGAGAAAGTTTGTTGGGCGAGGATGTTTGGCGGAGAGGCAATTACAGGAAGAGTTTTCGACTTTTTGACAAATTAAATAAAAATTTCTGGCACACAGGAAGTATTGAAATGATTTTCTCTCACATTTTTCAGGTAGATTTTCACAGAAGTCTCAACCGTAGCCGCTTTCCATCAAGTCCAGCTATCGTAGAATTCATATACGAACGAACGAGATTTCCTCAGCCGAGGAGAGAGCAAGATTCGGTGTCTTTCCTGTGAATTTAACGAGTGGAAAGAACATTCTGAGCTTCTCATCTGTAGTTGCCCAGAAGCGCAAGAAACTGTGCGAAAGCGGTCACTTTGAGGATCATCACACCCCATTAGTTTTCAAGTAGAAACCCGGAGGAGGACAACCCCGCAACCATGGCTCAACGAACACTTGTGCATAAGCAATTCAACTCACCTATTGGCCTGTACTCTGATCGCAATGTCAGGGAGACTCTAGACCGAGAGCTGCGAACTCTCTCCAATGGAGTTGTCGGGTGAGTTGTTGTTATTTCTTCTAGCAGACATCTAATTATTATTTAGAATTTAGTCTATACTTAGTAAATTTGCATTTCACCCCGATACGGAGAAGCTTGATGATAAACTTTTAATGAGAGGTGTTAAAAAAATCGATAAAGCAAACTATTATGCTGAGAGAAAAATCTTTCCTATCCTCGCATTCTATTTTCTTACGTCCATAATAATGTATTTCAGCATAGATTTTAGCATCCCAGGACAAAACCACGAAAAAGCTCTCACATTGACAATATGTCTGAGACACAATAGAATACAGTGCAAAATTACAAAAGAGAGCAAACCACGACCATAAAACATGCTCACATCAAGAGCGTACATATATTCATTTTTGGGGAATTATGCAAAATCTCGATAAATGCTGAGGACCTCATTAACATGGTCTCGCATCAGTGCACAGAATAAATAATAATTGCGTACTTTTGGCTCAGTGCCTCAGAAATTGCGACTTGTGACTTAAATTGTAGCAAAAGAGAGAGAAGATTGATGGGATTTTTTCATTCAACAATTACTCTCCTTTTAGCTCACCCTTCAGTTCTCACGAGAAATTGTAGGGAAAAACAGCTAAAGAGTTTACACCGAATGTGAGTATTGGGAATTGGGAGTCCATGAAGACAAGAGTAATGTGTTGAAATAGAAAATGTTATCAATTGTTTGCCCTTTGGAGAAGTCCTGTGATTGCGTGCTCGTCTATGCAAAAATTCTCAACAGTTTTGGGCGATTTATCGCTGAGATTAACCATGTATTCCCAGGGATAAAGGGTGGTCCCAGAAGAGGGCCAAAAAATGCCGTATTTGCCCCTTTTAAGGAGGGTGAGAGGTCAAATTTAAACAAATTTGATGGTTAAATTTCATTTGTCAGACACCATCCCAGAAGTAATAATTTCCACGTGAATTGATGGGCTCGTCTATGGTAAGGGTTGGAATCCATGGGCCAGTAATTTCTGTTTGGGGATTTTAAGTGGCCTCCCCGAGAGGCGATTAATATCAATTCGACCCTGCTGAAAGCATCAGGCCACCCTTCAAGCCTCGGCGTTGGCCAAAACAGACAGGGAGACAAATTATGAGGGTGCTGGATGGGAAATATGGTTAGTATTCATCTTGCGACCTCTCTTTGCCGCGCAAAAATGTGTCATCAACTCATGTTTCACGTACGCCACATCCCTCACTTCCTTTTCATCTTCGGCACCGCGACGCGACTGTGCCGCTAAACACTCACATTTCCGGATACCCAACGTATCCGCAACAGAGATCCTTCGGGCGGTTTTTTTTGCAGAAAGGTTGCAAAAGTGACTGCGAGTGCGTCAGATGCTGTATGATCCGAAAATTTGAAAGTTTCATGGTGTCTTTAAAACCCTTCGTTTTCTTTAATCCTCCGCTCGTTTTGCTACTCTGCAGTGCCTCATATGTAGAACGTCTCATCCTTCAGGAAACTCGCCTCGCGGGTGGCTCGAAGCGGGAATCGCAGACGGAATAAGAAAAAGATGAAATTTTCGCCAAGAGTGAAAATTAGATAACTTCCAAATTTGCTTCTTACACGGAGAAAAGGCCCCTTTGCGTCGCCCCATGGCACGTGAGCTCCGCCCTGTCGAAAATGAAATTATGCCTTTTTGGAAGAAAAATGATGCCGCATGAGGCGGGAAATGTGAATAAAAAAGGAAGGAATGGGAGTGAAGTAAATAAAAATGCAATGAGTATTGAGTTACAATTTGTATTGTGCGACGAGAGCCGCATTTCCATTGAAAAATTTTATACAATTTTCAATCAAAAATTAAACATTTGCTGTTACGCACAGAAATCGGATTATTGGTTCAGTGTTGTTCAATTATTGCTAAATAAATCGGTGATTGCCACATCAACCACAGATTTCCAAATTGAATTTCTGCTTGTCACACTTTTTCACATCTACACAAGTAATACAGAAAAATGAGTAAAAACAGATTACAAATTCACATGAATTGTTTAAAAAATAATTGAAAAGTAAGGTTATGTTTCCAGAAATGGATTTTGCGAAAAAAATGGTACGGTTTGTTAGTATTAACTCCTGACTAAAAGAGGAGATTTTCCTGAAAATTAATGACAAAGGCTTTTTGCTCTGTTGTGATCCAGATTTAGCCAAAATGCCGCACACTGCGCGCATCACAATCGAGAAGTTCTTTGTTCTGCGGCTATCTTAAATCTTCGAGAGAGTTTGTTGCTCTGCCAATTGTATGCAGACGATCAACACGAGAGATTGTGTCTCGATCTGAGATAACTTTATTAATAGTATGACATGATAAGTGGCATTTTCTTAAACTCGCCGCTCTCCAAACTGAGTTGGCAAAATCGATGTTCAGAGGGTGAAATTACTGAATTAACACCAACGAATCGATCGTGCGTGAAACGAAAAGCTTCCGCCTTTCCTCTTTTTCCAGCGTGTCACATTTCGTGAGTTAGTTTTCCCCAAATGAGATGTAAATTGCGTCAGGGGAGAAACTTGAGCATAAAAATTCCCCTCAAGTCTTTAATCAATGCTCAGGTGAGAAGGCAAAGTTTGAACTCGAATTGGATTGTCACACCAGAGCACCTCGTCATTCGCACAAATGCTTGATTAACTAGAATTTCTCTTTAATTAGTGCGCGGAATTCAGTTGATATATACCCAACATTGTGATAATCTTCCAGCTCAACCTTCACCCTGCATTAGCTTCTCACCTAACAGCATGTGCAGAGTATTATGGTGGAATTCCTCGCACATTGTGCATAAATGCGAGTAAATTGCGTTGTGTTTGACAAATAATCCTATGGCGTGAAATTGAAACTGTCCCACGTGTTCCACCCTCAACAATTGCTGAATTCCTCTCAAAGTTGCGAAAATGGGATGAAGGCTAAAAAAATGTACAGAGTCATTTCTGCAATTTCTCGTTTAACCTGTAGAAATTTTTCATTGCAGTGACCCAGAATGTTCCTCAGAAAATTACACGAGGAATTTTAATGAATTTCTCATCTGACTGGGCTTTTTCGAGACAGGCGAACTTCACATGCATGATAAAAAGTATTCAAGGCACTTTATAAGTGCACACAGTGCACATTATCTCTCTGAGGAGCTTCTTGAGCGAAAGCTCATCTTCAACTTTGATTATTTACGGATTAATTCACCCTTGTGTATGCATGAGGGAAGAGAGAGAAGACTCATCAACAATAGATCTTAAGACGTTAGACCTATGCAGATTTATCACATACACATTAAATAACTTTTCAATGAGTCAAAGCACAAATAGTTTTCGGAGACGATGTATGTAATTGCAAAATTTGCAGGGAATTTTGAGCTTCAATTTATTATAGTTGTCTGTGAATTGCTTTACTTTTCCCTGCGTAATTTATTGCTTTTCAACATGAATCTGCTTGAGAATCTTATTGTCTTTCCTGAGCTAAATCAAGGCGTTCTTCTGATATTCAATGGCAATTCAAATGAAAAACTCCGCAGCAGGAATTTGTAGCTCCAGTGCGGAAAATTCATCAAAATTCCTTTTTAACTCTATGCAACCAAGTTTCACATTGCATTTCGCGAAGTTCTTGTATGTGTGTTTAAAAGTTTCCCCTGTCGGTTGACTCCTATCTTCCCGATGTTGATTTAACCTAGAAATTCAGCTCCCGAAGAAGTTGAAGTGCAAACTGTCACAACTTAATTTTTGCACAGTATTGCAAATGCAAAAAGTTTTCAGAGGAGAAATATAATAAATACAGCGCATAGAGTGCACACATCTCTCAGGAAGCCAAATTGATTTTAGTGACAATAAATTACACGTCGTATGCATAGAATGAGAAGCTTAATTTAGTGGGACAATTAAATTGCTTGTTCACATAGTAAAATAATTTGAATTCAGTGCTCACTCCAAAGTGACAGCATTTCTTCTCATCACCATGCGGAAAGCTTCTTTGGGGTTGTTTATTCTGTGACAATTAACATGATTTCCCCAATTCGACTTGCCACTGTCTGAATGCACAAAAGTGGGGGTGCTCAAAATGGCATTTTCTCAGCATAAACGCGGCTCTGTTGGCTTATGTAGCAAAACCTTCCTAAGCAACCATGAGAAGCCTGATAAGGCCAACAAAAGGATATAATTTGGTATTGATAAAAGAAACATTTTAATTACATCATTAATTCTCAGTAATTAAACGCGTAAATTACATGATCCTCGCCCCATGAAACAATTGTTCACTGTTTTCCCAGCTCAAATGACTTGCGGGGGCGCAAAAGCACCCACACTGAATAATACATGAAGAGCTCCCGTTCTTTCTCTCGCTCACGGAAAATTGTCTCCCCCAAGATGAATAATGTGTGGCGCAATTTAATTAATTTTGAATCATGTTCCACCTTTTCCACTTCTGTTTTCTTTGTTCACCATCTGACTAATCGCTCTTGAAGTGCTCCTGTTTGAGTTGTTCTCATGTGAGGTGGGGAGATTCTTTGCATGTGAGTTTTGTGGTGTATTTTTGCACTCATCTCCTTCACCTATAATTAGCTGGGAAATTCATCATGTTGAATGTGGAAAATGATGATCTCTCACAAACTACTTGAGAATATTCAAGAGGTGCAATTTACAAAGTGAGTAAACTATCCTCGAATCATCGCCATGAGAACCACTCTTTCCCTTAAAATCCCATTAATATCACTGTGTTTTGAAGTTACTTAACATCATCTTCTGTCGGGGTTCTTTTCTCTGCAAGATGGTAAATCCCCGAATTATTTCCATACTCTAAAGGGTGTCTCATATCAATTCTATCCAACGCTGAATAATGTTGAATTCCTATGAAAAGGGGGGAAAAGTGAAATTTGCCAAGCGGTATAAATGTTTATAGTGGGTGAATAATCTCCGAATTGGGGGAAGAGAAAGAGAGAGAGAGAACTTCCTTTGACCTCACATTGTGGGTTACGAAGCGCCAATTGAGGTGTACACTTTCCCGAGAATATTATTTGGGAGTGTGAGTGCGAGAGTAAAATCTCACTGGCAAACATTAATAGCAAACCATCTCCCTCGACCGCTCTTAATCTCATGACTTTACATAATACCTTTCTCATGTGTAATGCCGTGAAAATACACCGAGGATGAGCGTCAAAGTGATTCCAATTTTCCCAATGTGAGACACACCGCGATGATGGAGCACGTTTGAGTGAGGTTATATGGCCCCAACACTCGGAAAAGACCCGCGAGAGTGAGTGTGGGGCAAACCTAATTTTGGGATCACTTGCTCTTTCGCCTGTTTATTTTCTCTATTTAAATTCACGAATCGCGAAAGTGATGTTGTTTAGTTTTATCGTGCCGTGCAAAAAATAGATGAAATTTTCACGTTATCGGCAATTTTCAGCAAATAATTGTAATAATTGCCTAGTGGGCATTTTTTCCAGTGCTTTTTTCACCCATTCTCAATATCTCAATTATAAAATATTTTATTGGGTTCGTCGTGCGCGTTTGTGTGTGTAATTTTAATATGGACTGTGCAACAATTGATGAAATTATTTATTAGTGACGCAGTGCTTCATTTTCAATGAAAACTCCTCATTGCCACCCTTTGTTCCATGTGTCGTGTGTGGTGCGGGGCGGAGTGACGTGAAAGAGTGCTTTTTGGTCACAAAATTTAAATAATACTCCCTCGTGTGTGTATGTTGCGTGCACACCATAAATTGCACAATTAATTTTGAATGTGAATAGACATATAGTGTTCCATTTTAAAGGCTTTGTGTAGTGTACAAAATATCGCATACATTATAAAATATAATTATGGTCAATATGGGACATGTGTTAATTTTATCAGTGCAATTTTTCATGCTATCACATACTCAAACACTATTCGCACGGTTTGTCCTGAGCAGCTGTGGTACTGATTGGTTCTGAACACGGCATCGGCATTCAGCCCAGGACATTTCGTGTGTGCGAGAGAGAAGTCCATTTTGCAGTGACGAAAAGTTCATAGGCATAGGCGATTTTTTGGATAAATATACCCAAAGTCGCGATAAGGCATATTGAAAGAGAAGCATTGAAATTCTTCATTGTTCAGCTGAAGTACTAAATCCTAATGATTATTTCCCTTGGGATTAGCATTGAAAATCCCCGCCTCACGCTAAATTGATGGAAATATTTGATTTATCGCCTGAGATGGAGAGCTTCTCTCTCACACCTACTAAAAATTGAATACTATTTTATTTTGTCGCCCCCACTTTGTCCTTCATTTATTTCTGTCTCCAACTCTGAAACATTCTTTTATCTTTGTATCTTTCATCGTGGGCAAAAAATACACTCACACACATTCTGCATGGAAATTTAATGTGAAAAGGAAGAGCGATAATTGAAAAAGGTGATTGTTTCACTTGATAATTTCTCTATCAACGGCACAAATCGACCAAGAGCGTCCGAATTTCCTCCAATTTATATATTGAATCGAAGAACGAGCAACTCATTACAAATGGCCACAGTAGCGAGATCCAGGTACTGGAAAATTTAATTTTATTCACAGAGACTCAAGTTGATTAAAAGCTCTCTCTCAATTGATTTTTTGTATCCCATCAGAGGAATTTAGAAGGTGATTTGGTTGGCGAATTCTTCCATGTATTAGAGTTGAGAGGGTTTCTAGATAGGAAAAAATGCTTTAAACAATAATTTAGTAGACTTTTTGTTTTCCAAGTTTTAATTTTACTAAAGTTTCTCTTTAATCATTTAAATATTTGGAAACAAATTAAGTTATCGCATGTTTTCATAGAATGAATTCGATGAATACGGCAATTTGTAGGAGAATCTTATGACGATTTGATAGCATTCAATCAAGACAAAGTTTAGCACAGAAGTTCTAATGAGAATGAAAGAGATCTAATTGATTCTTTCTCTCAGTTACACAAAATGAGTGACATTTAGTAATTTATTGGCCTTTCAACTCTGCCTTGAGGACGTAATATCGCCCCAACTCCCTTCTAATCGCTGCAATTTCCTCCCACTTCACTTACCCATCCACTTGAGAGTCACTCAAGACACATTAGCAACCACTTAGTGTTTAAATATCGGTCATTTCTGCGTCGATTGTCCGTGGGTGGTGCCTGAAAGGCTCCCCAATTGTAGCCTCGTCGTGTCGAAAAGCTATTGAAGGGCTGGCGAGGGTGGCTCGAAGCAGCCATTTGGAAGCAAATCAGATTTATCACAGCAAGATGAATCCGTGTATTTTGTTGCTCTTCACATCCGACGGATGGTGAATGGCTTTCGCTCCCCCGACCATTTGAGGCTGGGGATGTGGGAAAAAGAGGGCCCTTCCACCGCCATTGCCGCCACCAGCAGACGATTCAGCAATTTTTATGAATCTTTCGTGTGGTTTTTGTCCAGTTTTGCATATACAATCGAACCCACTCCAGGAGTCTTCTCGTCCAGGAAAAAGCTCGGCGGCTCAGAATGTCTGATGGTGGGTGCGTGCATAAATATACAAATGGTTGAATCGTGATAAACTTGTACTCCCGTTGACGGCGGGGAAAAAATCACGTAAAGATCTACAGCTCCAGATAGGCGAAAAACCTCACGAAGAACCCCTTTCATGGAACACTTTTCACTCCGCGTCGCATGAATTCTGCGCCGAGCTTTTCGGATGTTTTGCATTTGATTAGAGAAAATTTCATTGTGGCACTTTGCCGTGGGGATTTATTGGGAAATATATACACAGTCAGTGAAATTGGTAGTTTGGCGTTATATTGGATTTTTCTTGGAAAAAGAGCAAAATCATTGAACCTCGAAATGCAACTGATTTTCTTCACTCGACAGAGCGGATCTAGGAAATTAATCATATCTGTTGTGACAAATATCATATTTATGGAGTTTGAGAGAAGAGACTCACCAATTTTATTTACGATTCCCCCGGCTTTAGGGGGATTTCCCACGAAGAATCTCTCTCTGTCTTCTCCTGAGACTCAAATCAATATTTACGATTGTGATTCATTCAAGAAGAGACTCCTTGCAAAAAAGCACCTCGATGGCTGTGTAAATTGTGATTATTAAGCTTTGGGGGAGACCTCGAGTTTGACTTTTAGGGAGAGACCTGGGGAGCACATTTTGGGGATTTTGCAGCGGCATCGGGTACATAATAAGGGATAATGGGGGAGAATCTGTGGTGGAAAATTGTGTGGCCAGTAATCCTAAGGATGGGTGAAGACACAAAATGAGCCGAGGCATGTTCAGCGAAATCCGTGAATAAATGAGAAAATTATGCTCAGCGAAGTGCCGATGGTGGAGAGGACCAGCAAGAGTCATCATCGACTTGTGCACGATTAGATTTTCATGATGTCGCCCGAGACTGTCTATATATAAATCCCAAGGACGGTAATTTATTTGATAAATGATGAAATCTGCTGTGGACTATGTTTTTCCGAATTTACTCACACCCATGTTAGTTTTGGGGAGAAAAGGCAGAAATTTCCACCCTTTTCACGCCCATCAACATTCTCCTAACACTGAATTATGGACTGCTGTGAGCGAGGCAAATGTCACAAATTTGTGCGCGAACTAATTAAATTCTCCGTGCAATTTTCAATCCTAAAATATCACAAGCCAATTTTCTCCTCAGTTGATAATTTATCGCATTTGTGGATTTTCTGTGAAAACACCCCGTCCGAGAAACGCTTACTCTAAAGCCAATTACATAAATATGATAATGAATTTCTCTCTATTTGGGAGTGATTAAACGCTAATGAAGAAAGTTTTTTCGACGAACACTGGCTCAAATTAAAGCTGGGAAATGAAGCTTAATGCGTCGTACAGCAAAATTGCTGGATTTCCCCTCTCTTTTCCATAGAATTCACGTTTAAAATATGTATAATTCTATTTATTATCTGCATTATCACAACTCTGTTTTGGCGTCGTTCTTAATGCGGCAGTGAATTTGATCGATATAAATTCAAACTTTCTCGCATTATTCTAATAAGTATTGCATTAATTGTAGGATTGACTTCGAGCACAACCCCACAGCCAGCAAACCCGCCAATTTGGCCAACTCAGCCGTCTTGCGGATGCTGGAGGAGGAGGAGCAAGAACAGCGGCGATCGGGAAGTCAACCTGGTGAGTATCCCTGACCGCTAAGATCCAGCTGCGGCTTCGCAAGCGCTTTGTGGCTTCTGTGGCGGGTGGAAATTCATTTGAGCCCTATCTTTCGGGAGAACATCACATGGGGAAACACGCATTAATAGCCTTTCCACGGAAATGTTGGCAGACGGTGGGAGACGCAGTCGATCGAGATATCGGGAAATTGATCGCGACACGGTGCTCCGCATAAATCGTCATCGCCCGCGGCGCCAATTCAGTTGGCCACCGAAGCTCCGGTCCCAGTCCGCGGGGGCGCCGAGTGGGGGATCCCGAGGGGAGCGCCGGGATTTGTCCCTTGACTCGAAGCTGTCGCACGGCGCCGCGGGGGCGACAATCGCTGAGGACTTGAGTGCTCTCCAGCAGCGTGGCGAGCTGGCACAGCAGCGCCGCAAGGGTGCTCTCCCGCCGCCAAAACCGCGTCGCCAAGCGGACTATAAATCCCAGGCGAATCGGGAGCGAGTTTCCATCAGCGACCTGGATGCCAGCCACAATCCTCGGGCGGGATGGCATCAAAATAGCAGCGCAGAGAGCCAGAGTATAAATAGGTGTGCCACTGTCTGCCGAGGGGTGAATATCTGAGTGCTCTCCAGTAAATCCATTTAGGTTTCCGTTTGAATTGGAAACACTAATTCGCGCAATAATGGACGGAGTTTAATCGTGATTTGCGCAGATGGAAAATGCCGCGAGAGCCGTCAGATAATCTCCCCTTGGCGCGAGTAGTCTCTGGGGGAGGTCATGAGTGCGTCATGCAATATTTATAGCCGACAGAAAGCATCAGACTCAGGTGCGTCAGTTAATTTGGACACTGTTCAATCTGTGCCTCATCCAACTGATTCACCACCCTCGAACGATTGGCATTCCTCAGCGGACGCGGGAATGGTATTCACGGTGATAGAAACACCTGTCTACTGTCTCTTCTGTGCTGCCAAAGACTGCGATTGTACCAGGAGAGAGCGCCTGGACTTGTCAGAGGTGGAGACACTGGCCGAGGTGTCTAGGAAAATTGTGGCAGAGGGTGAGGAGGAGCTGGTGCGTCAGAAGGAGGCTGAGGAGCTGGATGCGGCCATCCGAGAACTTATAGATTTCGCCTCGGTGGTGAAAAAACGTCCAGAGATCATGAATCCTGCTTACATTCCCATCGTCGAGGGCTGCCTACAGGAGTTGGCTCTGCTGGCGATGCTCCACTCTCAGGGTCGCATTGCCTTGAGGCCAGAAACCCCAAAAAGGGCCACTATTGAGGAGTTGCCGGGCAATTCATCACAATCAGCGGCGGCTTCTGACACTGGCATTTGTCGCAATTTGCCCAAGATGAGTGATGACCTCGTTGGCGATAACCATAACAAACGGGAGAGACGTGAGAGCCCTACTGAATCCTTTGCCGGCGAGAAATTCATTCCCACTGAAGGTAGCACGCTATCCCGCGGCACTCCTGTCGCATTTTCGTGTCTCCCCTCCGGAAATGAAATGTGACTGACAAAAGGGACAATGACAATCATACATATAATTACAATGTGGCCATAATCCTTACATCTGATTCAGGAAATTTCCTACTTTCGCTCTCCTGCTGCTGAATAAAGTGCCCAAAGAATCCGGAATGTGTGTGGCACAAGGACTCGATATCGATTGATTTATGGGGAGTTTTCTGGGGGTGGTTTTGTTTGTCAAGCGAACAAATACGCTCTAATGCCTCTCGCCAATCGAACACGATGATCGACAAGATTTAAGGCTTCCAGTGTCGATTAAATTGTATACTCCGCAGCGTAATCCGATTGCACGGGATTCTTTCATAGAACTGAAGAGGGTGTTTCTAATGCTGTTGCTTCGCCGCCTTCTCAGTTTTTCGCTAATCCGAAAGCTTCAGCAGCCTGGAGAATTGTCACAAAATTGTGACAAAATCGATATTGTTGTGCTTAAGAGTCTATTTCGAATGACACACTGAATTTCACTGATCTGTATTGAAAGTGTGATGAAAATACCTTGTGTCATTATTGACTTATAAAGGAATCACAAATTTGTTCGTCTGATGTGAAAGCATGAGAAAAGCTTGACAAATCTTTAAATAATTTTCAACAATATTGACACTCCATGTCATTTCCAATGCCGCATCATTTAACATTTTTGAAACAGATTTCACCTCTCCTGTATACATTTACATTTATGAAACATAAAATAAAAGGAAGGTGAAAGAGAAATGAATAAAAGAAGAGATATTTTAAAATGAAAGACCCAAGGTATCATGACCAGTTTTTGGATTCTGAAAACGTTCGCAGCCTAAAATAGAATGCAATAGAATAATAATTTAGAACATATTGGGGAAGAATTGTCATTCAACGTTGTCTCCATTGCTAATGAAATATTTCACAACGGAAAATTCAGAATGATATTTCGGAAAAAATTTCTTTTTATGTTATGAAAAATGAACAATTCAACTATTCGCCTTTGACCTTCTCACCAAATCATATCGATGTGATGCATACATTTTCAGGAGGTTGATACAAATCTGTGTAAAAATTGCATAAATCAAGGGAACGAGAAAGGAATTGTTTGAAAAATGTGAGTGGATGAAATGCAGTTGTCTTCAGGCAAAGGCTCAAATTCAAGATCACACACCATGAAAATCACTTAAACGATTTCACGACGTAGTGTGTGACGAGAGCTTTATTAATTTTTCCTTCAATTAATAACATGACGTGAAGATGAGAATTACGAGATATTTCACAAAAAACTTCTTGCGGCCGTGATTAAGATGGTATGATTCTATTTTCTGCTCCTCGTGAACAGACCAACACATTCATGAGTCCTCACGGGAAAGAAATTGATGTGTGAATTCGAGAAAAGGTGGAATAATGTGGATGTTTTTCTGCGAGGCCTTGTGCTTCGGCTACCCACGGAGCGGTCTATTTTCTCATTCGATTCTCTTTATAAATGTTTAAGACTGCGAAGCAGGAATTTGCTCCTTGTCTTGAATCTGTCCAAGGGGTGGATAAGTTCTGCTCTGAGGCGACATTTATCCGTTTGATTCTGAAAAATACAGTGGCTTCAAGTCTGAGCATAAAAATGTCAAGATTTGATAAAGTATGAAGAGTAAGAAGTACAGAAAATTGATATAAGATAGTAATTCCAGTGCTGTGGTCTGGCAGAAACTGTGGCGCTTAGAAAAGTCAGAAAATGTCTTGATGATTATGGCCAAAATTGAGGCTATATTGCGTGAAATCTCCGAAATTGATCAGTTAGAAACCCCTGTTAGTTAAGATGTTTGGCATTATCTTCCCTCTTCACCAGAAATAATCGCAGAAAATGAGAAGCTAATTCACGATGACGATGAGATAGAGATATAGGATTAGACTTCGTGTCTCGTTCGCGCTCACACGTTGAAAAAATGTCGACGAATCCGCGTGGTAAATATAAAGGCATAAGATGGGAAAGAAGCGCGTGTAATGTGGCAATTTTCGCATTCTGTTGTGACGAGAGATCATTTTGAGAGGAGCACAATCTCACCTGCGGTGACATTTAGTATTGTAGGGAACATCAGCTCAATTGAGTCTCCTCCTCGAGATACCCACCACAAAGTATGTGTGGCTTGTGCACAATTTAGCACTAGCGAGATTTTCTCAATTAATTGTACTCGAGCCGTTGAACAATTAAGTACACGCAAAGCTCTTTTTTAACCGCTCTCTCTCTTTTTCGCGCCCAAACCCGTTCCCCCGTTTGTGAATTTTCGTGACACTAAATCAGTTTAAGTTGCCCCTCATATTCACACTAAAAATTCTTCGCCACCCCGCGCCCAAAGTGTGTTGTGTGTGGCTGTGTGTTTGCAGAGCTTTTTATCCACCACGAGGCCTGGAATTTTTTCTAACCGCCCCCAGCCTGAGCTTTGGTGTGCTTTGCACTCTCGCTTGGGCATTTGCTCGTGAAAATGTTCAAGTGTGTATATGTATAGGCCCCTTTTTTTGCCGCCCAGTCGACACACAATTAATAATCTTCCACCAACATTCCATGAAATGACAAACGATTTAGTCATTACTGAAGGTAATTCTCCACTGTTGCATGAATGCTAAATTGCCCTTCGTGGGACTGAGAAGTGGACTTCAGTGAGAATTTCAGTTCATTTGTCAGGAAATTAAAGCTGTGCACAATTCCATGGTGTCGCGTGTTACTTACAGTGCCTTTAATTTTTCGCGGAAGTGTGTGAGCCTTTGGATTTATCAGCAAGTGATTAACATTTGCGAACAGGCAGAAATGCGGAGTGCATAAATTACAAACAAGTCCGCAAGTTGTTGAAATTGAAATTTAATTGCTGATTACTTTAATCAACTGTCGGTACTGAATTACAAAGTTATGAGAGACTTTTTGTTTTAATTATATATTTGCGACTCTGTGAATTACGTGCTGTGTGAAAATTCTAAAATAGTATCCACGGAGGAGTTTGACTCATGAAGGAGTGTTTGATTTTACTAAAAGTCTCCCCATTGTGATTCACTTTCTCCCCTGGGGGGGACTTATTGCCATGGCAGTGATTAGATGAGAATTCAAGCGACGAAAATAGAAGAATTTACACGTTAGACGGACGAGAAAAAATGATAAATTTCCCAACACTCAATTATTAATAGAAAAGACTGTGACACTTTATTAGAGAATGCCACCCAGTGCAATCACTCTCGCGACAAGCATTTCATCAACTCCTTGAACTTTAGCCACGTGAGTGAATCTTAGATGCGTCCTTGGGTTCAACTGAGTCAATCTTCTTGATAATGAGCCCATGTGGAGTTGCACAGCTTTTGGCCACTGTCGAGGAAAATTGGAGGGCACATTGTTAATATTTAAGCCAATTCTGAATGGGTGTGATATCAGGGATGAAATACTGTGTGGTATGATTTGCAATTTAGCGATGTAAATATTTCAGCAGAGCAATTTTCGTCACGATGAAAATACACCAGGCAATTTCTTTGTACACACTTTGTGGCTCTCCTCATGAAATTCCTCGTGATATTTCGCACAATTCAAAAATATCTCACCCATTTTCTTTTTTCTCTGTGTTTTTCTTCTGGCTTTCACGAGGAATTTGTCACATAGAAATCGATCAATTGAACGAATTTGTGGTATTTGAAGAACGACCGAAGAAAAACATCTCAACTCAATGTTTCGACTGTCAATTGTGGGTTTTCGATGTTGCCTTGGTCTTCTGATTAAATCATCCTAAAAACACCATTGAAATTCTATCCATGATTATTTTTCCAAGAACCAAAATGCATTTAATGTCACTTCGTTGACGAAGTCATTCAAAGAAATGAGGAATTCACTTAGTAAACTCTCAGACATTAATTTATCGGGTTTTCCATTAGCACTTTATTCCATGATATTATGATTATCGAGAGCTTGTAAATATCCTAGGAGACAAATATAACTACAATGATGATTGTGGAGCTTTTTTCTCTTTTTTTAATTGGTGTGTGCCATTTGATGATTTTTATTTCTCTCAAAGTACCCATTTTTGCCACTTGATAGATATTATAATTGCACCAATTTGCCATTTATTGATTGTACATTCTCAATTTCAGGGAAATTAAAAATCCAATATGTTTTTTCTCTAATTATCCTCTAAAAAATTAAATTATCTCGAAGTAATTGATGTGACTCTACATATACAATCGATGAATAATTTTATAAATAACATACGCGGAATAAAAATACATTTTGCATATTAATATTTCACATAACAAATTGCAAAATAATTTTTTTGTGCAAGACAATCAATTATGGATGCATTGAAATACACTCTTGTGTAATTGAAATGAGCTTTCTGTTAAGCTGTCAAAGAAATACGACAGTTTCATTACGAACTGGGATTTTAAATCATCCAGTATAAATTTGTTGCATAGAAATTGCAATTATTATGAATGTTAAAATTACAATTCAATATCAAAGGGGATTTATTACTCTGTGCATATACATTTAGCAATATGATTACTTGTAAAGTGTTGATGGAAATGAAAATTTTAACTTTTTCCACATATGTATTATTCAGTCATAGAGTGTGCTGTCAGCGATCTTGAATTACCAATGTAACATAAAAGGGATTCAACCATTTGAGCTCTCTCGGTATTATAAATCTACACAGAACATCACAAATTAAAATGTTTTAACGTTTTTAATACATATAGAAATTGCTTTAAAAATGTCCCATCTGTTCATTCTCATATTTTGAATAGTTTTTCAATGTTGACGAATTTCATAATTAAAAATATTGTAACTTTATGAATGTTCACCCCACTGAGTCGTCGCCGTTCACGTCGCGCGGTGATGTTGTTGGGAACGTGGAAATAATTTTTAACCCTCCTTCCGGATTCATGATGTTTTCACCCATGCTGTCAACCGCATTCCAAATTTGACTTGCATGACTAGTTTTGTGCACTGGAAACTTGTGATTTTTGCTCGCAAAATTGCCAGGTCATTTTCCGGTGGTCAATATACGGTCTAATGATGCGCCTATTTCACCCCGTAGGATTGCGACGAGTCGCCTGGCCACCCCCTTCCGACGTCACCGTCCACCCCTCGCAAGTCCCTCTGAACTACAACCAGCAGCCACAGGATCAGCAGCAGTATCAGCCAGCCGCTGCCCCAGCGCCAGCCGCCACTTCCCTCCAGGTGAGTCCATCCGTTTAACGGCTACTATTCGCCAAAGTATGTAGCCTGATTTTGAGCAAAAAGCCTCCGTCTTCAAGTGGCATTTTACCATCTCTCTCGATGATGTCACGGAGGAAATGTCATGCAGAGCAACCCACGGAGGGTTGTGGAACAGATCTCAATAGCATATGCAAATTCATGTCAAATACACAGAAAGGGATAAAAATGGATTTTCATTGAAGTAAAAAATCTTTTCTAGACATTTCTCCTCCCTCGCACTGAATGTTTCGGCGAGGGGAAAGAGGCAAAAGAGGCGCAAAATTCACGTCACAGACTTGAAAATCACATTTTTGCTTTTCGACAGACATTTTCGTGAAGGAGAATGAAAAAGAGAGAGAGAGAGAAAAATGTGTCAGAGGTGGAAAAGACGCCGTGAATCCATCTCACACCCACACTTATTTAATTATAGAATATTTCCGTGGTAGATAAATTTGATTTGCCTCAGCATCGCCACGTGCAAGACATCTATGACATGGTCGGAAGTAGTTGGTTGATGGAATGGAACTGTTGGGGTTCACGGTTTCTTGTAATTTTCCAGTGAAATGAAGGGATTCGCGCTGTGAGCTTAATTAACAATTTCATCGGAACCGAGGAGAGTGTCGTTTTGCGACCAACGATGTAGTATATCATTGTTTGGACAGCGCTTGGAAAGGGTAACAATCTCAACACTTTCTGTTGAGTAGCAAATGTACACTGTGTAGCAAGAGAAGAGTGCCAAAATCAAAGATGTTTAAGCGTTTTCTCATCCTGAATACTTTCATGTGGGACAACAATTTTGAAGCACACAATGAGAGGACTGAAAGTGAGAATATGAGCTTTCAGTCTACAATGGCGGAGATATTTCAGAAAAAAAATCTCAATTTGTTATTTTCTTTTAATTAAAAATATGTGTAATTCTGCGTTGATGGAAAAATAGCTACACTTGGGGACTTCCTATCCTATAATGGCGCAGGATCACTCAACAAATACACTTTTTCACACCCCAGTGTAGAAAAATATGCGGAATTGTTATTTTATTCAGGGAAAAACCAAGGGTGGTTTTCGTTGATTTTACACTCACCGACAGAAAGCAGCAGCACATGAAAAAGTGGTGAGGAACTCTTTTGCTTTCTCCGCACATTGTGAAATACACGAAAGTCCCTAATTGTATTTTGAGTTCAGCAAAAAATGATAAACCGTAACTCCTGAAGCTTTTGCCAACTGTTATACACTGTTGAGCAGTGAGAAAAATCGCGTGATGACGCCTAAAAGCTCAAGAAAGCCTCTTATATTTTTCAGCTTGTCCCATGTGAAACTTCATAAACGTGCGATGTGCTCGCAAAAATATAATTTTCTTGAGTGAAAAGTTTCGTGCCTTTCGAGTTGAAGTTTTTGTGGGGTCTAAATTGAGGAATTAGAGAGAGTGTAATTTTATAATTTGAAGGCAAGTCTTCCACACCTCCTGAACACTTTTTTTCTGTTTTCTTCCACCGTCGACAGTCGCTGTGGGTTCACGTGGAGTCGGTGTGGGGATGATTTAATAAAATCGAAAATTAATTTCAGCAATAAACGTCATAATTTCTCGGCAAACAAGTCAACGCGAGTGACGGTATCAGAAAGTGACTGTAATCTTTAGAAATGTAATTAAGGTCGGTGGGATCCTTTTTTAATTATACTCTAAAATTGGGCGTTGGCGTTTAGATATTGTGTGAAGTAGGAAGAGAAATACTCCTACATGTGTACCTATGTATAAATGTTGAGAAATAGATAAATTGATTGAACTCATTTGCCTCCGAATTTATTCCATATAAAATTCGCAAGGAAAAATATTTTAGAATGCTGGAATTTGACTTCTAACATATTCATTTGAAGTGAATTTTCAATATGAAATTCCTGGAAAATTACTATAAAGAGATATTTGTCATTTAATGTCTTTATTGGCAAATTTCTGCAATCAATATTTGAGGAGGAAACTTGCATTGAACCTGCATTATCGTCTCACCTGATGAACAAAGGAATTTCTCTAATTACTCATGCCACGAGAGAGATTCTCTTACGCGCGCTCTCCTGAGGCGGAAAGACGTTTCAGAAGATATGGAAAATGTTGGAAAATTAGTGGCATATTTCCTATTTTGAATTCAGCAGCATTACACAAGCTTGGCAGTGCTGGAGTATTACACAACATTCATACAATTTAATTTAATGAGACGCCTAATTATTATTTCAACACGATAACGATGGAGTCTGCCTAATTCCCAGCCCTCCAAACCCATCTTATACGCCCATTTGGCCTCCAAGTCTGCGTGTGTTCCACTATGATTATGTTTATTAGGCGGGGGGAATTCAAAGCTCGGCGGGGGTGACAAAATTCCGACACACGTGGAATTGGAAAATTCAAGAAATTGGAGAAACACTCTGAGACACTTTTGGGGAATTCAAGGCACATGTTCTGAAAATTAAAGAACACTCCTTACTCATAAATTGCTAGAGGAAAGATATACGAGTACATGTGGTGGGAAAATTAGCGGAAAACTCATATGGCGTACAAATAAAAATGTTCTAATTATTACTTTCCGAATGAGTAAATAAATATGTATGGAATCAGTTACAAGTGATTTTATATTATAAATTCACGCTTCACAACTCTTGTGAAATATTGCATGTATTGCCAGATTTGAGAGAATTAAAATATTTCATCAATTATCATGGAACGACAAATTCATCATTTGATGATGCTGTTATGTTTTCATTTCCGCGGTCTTTGTCATGCACAATTCAATTCGTGACGTTATAAAATGCAAGAGTATTTTAATTCTGCATGGAAAAACACCAGTTGCAGTTGTTCAGACATTATTCAAAAATGATATTCAAATCAATATGTTTGGGAGATGAATGCACAATTGTGTGTGATCTGCATGATATCACAGGGATCATTAATTGAATTCCAGGACGGTGCCTCGTATAGTGCTCAGCCCGCGGCTGCCCCCTTGTCTCCTGTAGGTGTTCCTCAGGCGTACACCCAGGCTCAGTACGCACAGCCGCAGTCCTACACGTCGCCGCAGTACAATCAGCCGCAATACAATCAGCCGCAGTACCCGCAATCGCCGGTATCGCAGCCGCCGCAAGCCTCCCGTCAGTTCCCAGCCCCTGCACCTTCCTACCTCAACCGCCCCGCTGTGCCCAGAGGCTCTTCGCCCAGCACCGCAGCCTTCTCTGGCGGCGTTGCCCTCGGTCAGCCTCAAGCACAGCAATCCCAGGTTCCAGCTTGGCGGCGCGCAGCTTCCCAGCCTAGCGCCCCTCTGTCACCACCTACCGCTCAGTTCTCCTCGCCCGATCCCTCGGCCTCCACCCTCTCTCCCGGCGGCACATCACCCACCCCGCGCGGCTGGGCCCCCGTGAAAGCGGCCACCCCCACGTACGGCCAAACCTACACCCAGCAGGTTCCCGCGGCCACGCACTACCAGGCACCCACTTACGAGGCGGACCCTTATCAGGTACGTTCGGGACTTTCTCTCGATGACACACGCCATCGGCTTGGCCGGGCGCCAGGGGCCTCCGGAAGAGCATCTTCTTGCATTCTGGCAGGAATGCCGACGCGCCGAAAATAGCCTGTTGACTTTTATTGTTTTCATCAAGTTGCGTCGCCAAGTCACTTCTTGACGATTTTTCATAACAATGTTTGATGTGTGCATTAAATGACCTCATTTCACTCTTGCTAACTGCTTGGGATCACTGGCATTTGCATCAATCATGCGGGATTTTCCCGTGCACCTCATCACTAATGAGGCAGACAATTAAATGATTAAATCTCGAAATTGAAGTATTACAAAATGGGTGTTGGCGTTCAGCAAATCCGGAGGGATACATAATCAGTTTAAAGGGATGCGGTGTAGTGCAGAATGATGGGTGAAAATTACGCTGATTTTCACCACTTAAGAACATCACCGGTATGATGCAGTTATTTCTATTACTTATTACACCATGGCTTTATAAATATGTAAAGACTTGTTGCAGAACGTCATTAAAGTTGGTAGAGAAAGCAGAATATAACACAAAAGCTATTGAGAGGGAAGATCTTATGGAAAATCTCTGGGAAAAAGGGATCAGCTTTTTATTGAAAATTTTAATGGATCCGTATTGCAATTACGGCATTCTTTCGCTGCAGTGAATAGCTGAATGGGAGGGTAGAGAAGAGAAATGGTGGAGCTCTCATCGTGTTTTTGCTTTTTGTAGAAATTTCTGAGCGTATCGATTTTTATTGCCATCAAAGACTTTTCCTGTTGCTTCAATATTTCCCACTTTATAGTGTCTCTTGGCTTTATCATGGATTTTGTCTTCACAGGATCAGTTCCAGGCGCAAAATCAGTTCCAAACACAATCCTATCAGACCACTACATCCTATCAGGCGACTGAAACTCAGCAGCATCAGCAGTACTATCAACCAGCAGTGCGCCAGCCGAGTCCAGGAGTGATTACTCTTCGCACTGAACTGCCTGTCTCTCAAGCACCGGCCCCAGTCTACGCATCCCAACCTCCAGTCTTCAGTTTCAAAGGTCAAAGACTCCGGTTCGACTGGTGGGGTTGATTGCTGACGGCTCTCTCTCTCTTTCCAGGAGGCTCAAACATGCGTGGCGACCAGAAGTGGCCTCCGGTGGAGTACAAGCAGCAGGCGGCTGCTGAGAATGAGGCCCGGCTGCGCCTCGCCGCCGGACCCGCCTGTCGTCCGCGACGTTGTAACAAAGTTAATACCTTTAACTTCTAAGTGTGTCCTTCCGGGGGCCTCTCTCTCTAACACCTTCTGCTGCACACTACACTCAATAGTTAGTCCTTGAACACGATTCTCTCACTCTTGCTGGGGAGCTTTCTATCGCATCTCACACTCATGTGTTTGGACTCAGGAATTTTGTCGGGCTTCCAGCATAAGAAATGCCAACCTGCCACTTGTGACATCCTCAAGAGGCACCTTGAGAAATATTTTCGAAATTCTTCATGACATTCACCAAATGGAAATGGATGAATTTGTGTTGGGAACTTTATTGTGGTGTGCATTTCCTCACTGCACATATCGAATTTATAAGAGTTCCACTTCAATGTCTCATTCGTCTCATTTTGAGTTGTCAGGATGCATTTTCAGTTTCTCAAGAAGGCTTCATTGTACTGAGTATAAGGTTTGGATTTCTTAGATTGGAACCATAAAGCATACATATTGTATACATATTGTATTTATGTACAAGGTTTACGCTTTTAAGATCAGACATCGATCCTAACTCTGAATAACTATGAACTTCTTAAACTTCAATGCATCTACTAAAGATTTTATCTGTCTGATTGCATGGTCTTTGAGAGTTTATGTGCACGTCGAATGCTTTTTACAAGTCACTCTTCTGCTTATTTTGAGCCTCCAGGATCATTCCTGTCTCTATCCACACGTCACGCGGCACCTCCCCATTGAGGGTGGTTGATTCCCCACACGCACACCCTTCAGGGCTACACGAAAAGCACACGCAGAGTTTGAACTCACATACACACACACACAATGCCTTTGCCTGTTGGTACTCTATTGTTGGTCTTTTATTTGTAGGATTACACGGCGTTTTTTGCCAAGAACGCTCTCAGTCACAACTACCCTGGTTACAGAGTTCCACCAGGCACACAACACGTCAACGGACAATCTATGATGTAGTGTCTAATTGACAACTCTATTTAGTGGCTGTTGAACCTCTATTTGTCGTCTACACCCCCCCGAACTATCTTGACAGAGAAAGATATATCTTTGTACTTGTGTTTTAAACCCTCCATTCGAGTTTCTACTGCAATTTTTTTCTCTTTTTGTCATCTGTCTGGAACTTCTGCAGACAGATGTATTTTTTTGTTTTTTTTTTACTTCTCAATGTGAACATAATAATTTGTTTATCTTACTTTTTCCACTTCCCCACTATTTATTGTTTATTTTCTTCATGTTAATACGAATCTATGATGGATATAACGGAAAAGGAATACTGCTTAATGGAAAATGCGCAAAATGTAAAATAGATATTAGATATATTCTTCTTAAACATGCAATTTATGAAAATAATTTGATTTACTCATAACATGTTCTTTGATTTTTGTTGATATATTAAAAACGAGATTGCTGAGCAAAGGAAACTATGTAAAGTATATCATTTAACCCAAAATTATATAATCATACTATATATTAATCGTTGTGACAATTTTCGATGTGTTGAATTTTTGATTGACTATATAAAAAAATGTTATTTAATGTTTTATTGAAGCATGAAAAAGAAACTATAAAGTGTTTATCTGCAGATTAAAAAATTTTTTTTTTGCACAAAAGGTCGTGTATTTTTGATCAATGTAGAATCACAAGTCGAAGAAACTCTATACATTATAATGTGTAATTTTACGAAACATGAATGCGCGCTATAAGATTATAATCTAATACTGTGTTGATACGGTGACGAAAGAGAATTTTCGAGGAACTAATAAAAATGCTGATGTTTTTTTTTGTATCCATTGACAAAGCGAGAAACCTATAAATAACAAAAGCTGCTCATATTTATTCATAAGACAAGATTATATGAATAATTTATATGACAAACGATAAAAATATTATCTAATTGAATTTACTCTATTTGTATGTATTTAGGAATTTTTCGTTAACCATTTTGCATCTTTCTGGTGGCTCTTCAGCCAAAATTGTGAACAGAAATCAGAGTCACCAGAAACGCTTTCGAAACTATATCTTATCCGTGAAGAGCGGAATTTTGCGCTGGAGAGAAAATGCTCAATTATACTGTCTTGTTTGAATTTTTGGACGTTCTTTACACAAATTTAACATCTGAAGACGCCGAGAATTGTCCCTAAAGACGAGCTTGTTCAATATTTTGGGCATTTTCTCATATTATTTGATTTTTTGTTTCTAGAATAAGAAGACTATATTGTTGCCAAAGGTCATTTCCAGCAAAAGAAACCCATCATTCAGGCGACAATTAAAAAGGAGCATAATTGTCAAGCGAATGCTGAGATCCTCAAATGAAATGGGAAAGATCTTTGGCATGAGCAAAAAACTGTTTAAAAGAAATATTTATGCATGATTTTTGCGCTTGACACAGATATAAGAGCAGACAATTTCGAACAGAGATGTTTGTTGATGATTTGTAAAACATGATGGAAGAAGTTAAATGTATCAATAAACTCACACGTGAACAGCTAGAGTTGGCTTTTTAAGGTCTCATTCTTTTGTTTACCCAATTGCGATTCACGAGTTTATGCATCACAAGTGACTCCATGCAGTTTATGCGTGGAAATGGAGATCAACTTCAGGGGGTGAAGACACACTTGCTCGTCAATTGTCTCTTTGGTGTACCTCCAAAATTGCTCACCCCTCGCGGAAAGGTGAGACTTGCTTGGCAAAGAGACAAAGCGGGTTCATGAAAAATGATTTCAATATAGGAAAGAAGTGATGATAGTGGAAATGTGAAAAATTGCTTTCGAGTTTATTTTTCAGCACACTCAACTCGTCTGGTGGGTGGTGGAAACTTCTCGAAAGATCTCCCACACTTTTTCAATAGTCGAGACATTCCTCTTCACTCTGAGGAATATAATAACATATGCACTTTGCTGCAGAAAATGTATTTTGCATTATTCTTGCGCTCTCCACTCGACTGACAGTTGCCACCCCCGCCAACCAATCCCACGATATATGCCACGGCCTCTAGAACATTGCTTTCCGATACTTGCAAGTGCACTGCACCAGCAAAAAGCATCTTCAGAGACTCCCTCATCCTTATAAAGCATCGACTTTCGCTTCAAAGGACCGAGAAGATCTATGGGAAAGAGAGAAATCAAATGTGCTTGTTTTTCTCGTCCATCCTGTCTATTCCACGAAGCTTTCAATATGATCAATTTGAAGGCTCATGTTCATTTGAATGTTTTATAGACTACTGTATTATGCCAAATGCATTGGCATTCATTCTGAAGAAAAAACGATGCTTTTTTCAAACTGGAATAATTAATATCTCATTAAAAAGAGTTATTTATTCGTGTTCCCACAGAAAAACGTGAGAATGATGAGAATAATAAATGTATAAAATACATTTAAAACATCCATAAATTTTTATGCATTGTGACTTTTCACTTCCATACTCATCAAAATATTTATGATCATATTTTATTATTTAAATGTCGACATCATTGCAAGTTAGAAAGCGTGTATTTTCAACTCCATTCCAATCATGATTCACGCAATTTCAATTGACTGACAAAATGGGACAACATTTCATTGATTGATAAGAGAGCTCAGGTGATGTGGAAGGAATTTTAGTAGTGAAATGTGTATTTCACTATAGACATTATTTGTGCTCACATTTCGCACAACAATAAGAAAAGTCTATAGAAGTGATGTAAATAAAATCTCCGCCATATATTGCATTTAATGATTTTCATCCTAATGCCTATTTGCGCGTGAAATAAAATTTATACAGCTGTTCTTTATAGACTTCATTAAATATGTGATTGTTGATTTTCAATATGCGCCTGCCCGGACGCTGGATGGGCTTTATTGCCATTTTGACATACTTTTCACGTTCTGCGGTTGGAAGTGTATGTATGAGTGTTATTTTCCCGGGGAAATTCGACAGCCACGTTCAGCAATGGCAAAAAAGAAAAGGTCGGAAAAGAGGATCCCACAGAAGGTGAAAGAACTAGCCACTCGTGTAATTTATATGATAATTTTTTTTTCCACGGAACGAGAGACTTGAATTTTGCCATTTGACGAGCTAAAGGCTCGCATGATCATATTTTGTATGGAGACGACAAAGCCTCGTCCCTTTGTTGCCATACAATTTGTGGGCCAAAACATGGAAGATTTATTGAAGCCAACGAAGGCGAATCCGATTATTTGCTGTTTACATTGAAAATGTGCCACAGCAACAATTTGCAGATACGTGTAGAGGTTCTCCACAATGTACAGGAAATTTCACCCTGCCAAGCACAAAAAAAAGCAGCCGCCCCTTCAACCCCCTTTCACTATGGACTTGTGCATTTCAGAATGTCACGAAAGTGAGAGGTTTGAGAAAATTTGCGAGGAAATTATTACTCTTTTCCGCCATTCACAGTGACGTTTTCTCGCATAACGAATGCAATTGATGCTTTTGAGCGAAATATGTGGTGAAGTGCGACTTTCTCTTTTTTTCACTACAGCATGATCAATTTTTCATATTGACTGCGATGAAGCAGTGGATAGTTTTGATATAATTTATCTAATTTGGTAAATATTCCAGCAGTTGGTATGATAAATTTCTAAATTATTAGTGTAACTTTCGCGTTTGGCTGGAATTAATTCAGTGAACACTGGCGTCAGGATGGAAATTGAGGAAGCTTCTAATGAAATTAGTAATTCCCCGAGCGCTCCCTTTGGTGGTGCATTGAATTCCATTGGGAAATCAGCTTAATAAATTATAAAATAGAGTGTCTGTGCATCGAAACTGCGGCTGAATGTGAAACCCGATACAAACGAACTCCCGGAATTCAATGAATTGCGATGTCGCAGTGAGAGACAGGAATTCGAGGACTCCTTTGACATGACCCTTTTCAAAAGAACACCTCAATACTGAAAAGGTATCGGAAACACGCGGTGAGCTTTGATGTGCAGACATTTCAGCCTTTTCTTATAATGTATATTATTCAAAAAATCCCGCGGCAAAGGAAGCTTATGTATGTTGAATCCATGAAAAGTGATATTATAAATGTATTGAAATTGTTTTATTTTTGGTTTTATTTGAATTCTATGTAACACTTAAATATATCTGATTACAATCGTGCGGTGTGTTGAAATCTTTTCTGGTTAGTCTCCATTTGAAGCAAATATTTTTTTTCATTGTCTTTCAGAATGTACATCTTGAAAAAGTGTCAATTATAACGTTTAGCCCACAATTATATATTTTGCCACTGAAAAGCACTGTTCAAAAGCTTTATTGGAATACCGTGTAGAGAATTGTTGCATAAGAAACAGATGCTTTGCAGATCTGGAAAATAATTGTTTTATTGACGGTTTATAGAACAATTGAAAAACGTTACCTGAACAAAAGTGTAGAAGGAAATTACGCCAAATCCGAATGTTTCCACCTTGATGGGATGAAAAAATCTCATCATGAGCATTAAGAGATTTTTCTGGTTCCTTACACTCATTTCATACCATTTTGTCATGTACAAAGCTTCTGACATGTCTTCAGAACTGTTTCGAATGATCTGACCAAAGAAGCAGAGGATGAAGATTTGAGAAATCATTAGCATAACTACCACAAATGGTACAAGAAGTGACGCATTATGTGATTGGAAGATGAACAATATTGAACAGAGGTACAGAGTTATGGTTAGGAGTTTGTGAAAGTAGATATGCCAATATGACATCGTCAGTTGCTGTGCTTTCTCTGATATAGTCCGATGCGTCTCATGAATAGTTCGCAGTATCCAGTTGGATTTCGTTTTAATAATTTCTTCGTCGTTCATGTGCAATATGAATTCATTGATGCTCCTAAGTTCGGCGTCGCTGTACATAATTGTTATCATGATAATGGTATCAGACCACATTATGATTTCCAAGCAGCAGAAATATAAAATAATCTGAAATGTTATATTGACAGGGTAGAAGAAGACACTGTCGATTGGTAAACCAGGAAAGTAGTAAAAGACTGGCATGTGAAGTTCAGAATAATACATGTCGTAGCTTGTTATAATAACGCCGCTGATTGTAATTCCTATTAAAAATGCTCTGAAAAGAAATTCAATCCCTTTTCAAAAATCTGATAAATATTTTGAGTCAATTCTCACCTGGCAAAAATAAGAGTTATCTTCATATTTCTCAAATAACATTTCCTCCTTATATCCGAAATAATATATTCTTCAGAGTTCATTGTGATGTCGAAATACTCCAAAATTTTGAGGATATCGTTCTTATTGAAGATATTGATTGTGAGATAAATTAATACGCATTGATAAGTGGCAAAGATGTATATTATTGTGAATGACACATCTATGAGATTGCTATAGTCTTCCAACTGAACAAAAATATGCCACGTCGAGCAGAAACAGAAATAAGTCGCCGCAATCGGGAAAATCGACAACTTAAGCACATTTAGAAACTTCCACTTCGTCTGTGGCAGAAAATCCAGTCGCCAGAATTTGAAGTAGAATGAGATAATTCTCTGAAGCTCACCGTGATAATAGGATAACATTTTCTGAGCCTATTCCTTAAACTACTTTAAATCGAAAGTTTTGAGTCTAGATATCTTTTTCGGTGATACTTATAAGACATTTTATACATTGATTTCATGTGATTGATTTACACATTAGAATTTCTTTATTTCCTTTATTTCTAAAATTTCAGTTCGAAACATTCACTATAGAAAACTTAAAAGTTAGAGTAAGAATGATGGTTTCTGAATTTCCCTGTAATTTTTAATCTCTAACTATATCTGAAAAATGCAGTAATTTGTAGTTTGATCACATTTAGAAAATACTATGTTATCAGAGTGAAGGGCGGAATTTAAAATCAATATATGAGCATATTAGATGCAATTTCAAACAGTAAATGTAGCAAAATTTAGTGGATATTCTTTGAAACTACTAAGTATATACGTTAGTGGGCGTGATTTGAGCAGTAATTGAATGGTAATTTAGTAGTTTTTAGACTTGAAGATGCTTCATTGTAAGTATAATTTTCTAAGCTATTATTAGTGCCACTATAAAACTTTTCATCGGAAACACTTGGGAATCCATTGAAGTTGCAACATCTTTCAGTGTGGAACCAATATTCATTAGAACCAGAACTGTGAACTTTTCCTTTGTCTTGTTGGGTGCGTTTTCTTGTAAGTCTATTTTAGGTAAGGTAATAAAATTGCACACATTGCAAAACTGTGTCCTATATGGTGATTTGCATTATCACAGTAGATTACATTAATGTGTAGAGTATTGTTGCATAGGAAACTGATGCTTTGCAGATCTGAAAAGTAAAAGCATTTATAAAACTTTCATAAAATGTTGAAACTAAGAGTTATTACTTGGACAAAAGTATAGATAGAAATGGTGCCAAATCCAAAAGTTTCCACTTCAATCGGATGATGAAATTTTATCATGAGTATTAGGAGATTTTTCTGATCCCTAACGCTCATTTCATACCACTTTGTCATGTACAGAGCTTCTGACATGTCTTCAGAACTGTTTCGAATGATTTGACCAAAGAAGCAGAGGATGAAGATTTGAGAAATCATTAGCATAACTGCCACAAGTGGAACAAGAAGTGACGCATCCACTGATTGAAATATGGTTAAAATCACACAGAGATAAATCATGATGGTGAAGAGCTTTTGAAAGTAAACATGCCAAATGGATTTAGTTAGTAGTTTTGTTTTCTCTGAAATGAGCCTGTGGGCATGTAAAATGTTTTTTAATACGTCATATGCTCGAGTTTTGGTAAATTCTTCAATCTCGAGGGTAGAAATTAATTTTGCGATGGCTCTCAGTTCAGCATCACAATACAATATTGTTATCATGACAATAACGTCTGACCACATTACCATCTCCAAAGCGGAGAAATAGAAGATTATTTGTAGAGGTACATTAATGGGATAGAAGAAGACACTATCCAAGGGAATTCCGGGGATATGGTAGTACATTGGTAGATTATATTCTGATCTGTACGTGTCAAATATTGTAAAAATCACTCCGGAAATAAAAACAGCAGCCACGAAGGTTCTGGAAACAGTAAATTACGACAATATACTATAGAATAACTCACAATGTTTAAAATTTTACCTTCCAATGTGATATGCAATTTTCATATTTTTCAAGTAATGTTTTCCTCTAAAATTGAACATAAATTCGTTCTCAGACTTGACTGCATTGTCAAAATAATATAGTATTTCGTCAATGTTCTTTTTATTGAAAACACCGAGTGCCAAGTACGTTGATATGGCCTGATAAAAAGCAATGACAAAGATGACGGAGAAGATGAATTCAATTAAATCACTACTATAATCTTTCATTTGATAAAGCAAATGCCAAATCGTGCAGAATACACTGAAAACCATTAGAATAGGAAAAGTGGCAAGTTTTATCACATTAAGGAATCTCCATTTTGATTTAGGCAAGAAATCCAATCGCCAAAGATTGAAGAACAGAGAAACAAGAAGCTTTATTCCACTATGATATTTCGCCAACATTTTATCTGGGTGACTTAACACAGATTAATGGTAAAGCTGAAAGAGAAGCATATATAGTACGGCGTATTTCATTGACTGAACTTACAATTTATTGATATAATTTGAAACTCTTTAATTGATCTTAACAACCAATTTAAAAGTTGAAAATTCTGATTGTTACGGATACAATTAAGTTGATAGAATATTTATGCTTCGCATTCTGAAGCGATGACGTCAACAAGAATTACATCACCCACAAGAAATAGCTATCTTGCACTTGTGGAACTCAGTTCAGTACTTCAGGACTGTCCAAAAGGAGTGCATGGTTTTATGAATAGGGCTGCAGAACTGCAAGTGTTTATTTTTCATAAATCGTCGTTCAATTTTTAGGAAATTGTGTTATGGAAAGCACAATCCGGTAAAATATTTGCAACTTAATTGCTTCTTGAACTGTCGGAATAAAATAGAAAATGTTTCTAATGGTGAAAACACAGCATTTGTAATTTGTAATTTGTCCGCGATCATCTCTTTCTTCCCCTCGCGTTTCGTGTATTTTCTTTCCTACTCTGTCAGCGTCCGACTCTGACATGTCGAGACAGCCACTGTGCGAGTAGGAAGGAAAATACACGAAACGCGAGGGGAAGAAAGAGATGATCGTGGACAAATTACAAATTACAAATGCTGTGTTTTCACCATAACGATTCTACAACATTATTTGAGCTTTTAAGTAAGCTAATTTGGAAATTTTTTTTTTTAATTCCTGCTTCATTTTCGTATATGGCGTTGAGAAGAGGATTACTTTTGTAAATGTTCTGACTTTGAGAATAAATGTGAGGATTACACTGTGCAACACTTTTCTGCCCTTTTTTTGAAGTGTGGATTTTCTGATTCCTTGAGTCATCAGCTTTTCAACGGTACCTTCCTTTTTTCCCTAGACCCTCAAGTTTTCCTTTTAGAGCCTATTTTCCATTTTCCACTATTTTCACCCACTTTGCCGCACTTATGTGCTCATATCTCGCTCAATTTTCCACGGATTTTCCTTAAATTAGGCTCAAACGATAGCTATTGAAATTACCTACTACTTTGTAGAACATTGTGAGTGTTTTAGATCACTCCTTGTTGGTCAAAAATGATCTTTTGTGAACCACTAGGTAAAAAATTCGCCGGCTTTTTTACCACTTTTTTCTAAATATCTCCGAAACGAAGAAACTTTTATGTTGGATTATTTTTCCTATGTGTAGAGCACTTCAGGGGATGCATTTCCCCCATACATGCCGAAGTGATATCTCTTCTCTATCTGCCGGAAAAACGGGGTTTTTCCTCGACAAATTTTGCTTTTTTATGCTACGCGCACCCGCTAAAAAATTGAAAGAAGGTACATTTTGCTGTCTACGCATTCATTTAGATGATGATAATGCTTAGATGTTAAAACAAAAGAGAAAAAAGGCCAATATCTCGACTTTTTAGCTATTTTACGTATTTTTTTTTGTATTTTTTATGGAGTTGTTGATATTAAGACCAAAAATTCACTTAAAATAGCTAAAAAGTCGAGATATTGGCCTTTTTTCTCTTTTGTTTTAACATCTAAGCATTATCATCATCTAAATGAATGCGTAGACAGCAAAATGTACCTTCTTTCAATTTTTTAGCGGGTGCGCGTAGCATAAAAAAGCAAAATTTGTCGAGGAAAAACCCCGTTTTTCCGGCAGATAGAGAAGAGATATCACTTCGGCATGTATGGGGGAAATGCATCCCCTGAAGTGCTCTACACATAGGAAAAATAATCCAACATAAAAGTTTCTTCGTTTCGGAGATATTTAGAAAAAAGTGGTAAAAAAGCCGGCGAATTTTTTACCTAGTGGTTCACAAAAGATCATTTTTGACCAACAAGGAGTGATCTAAAACACTCACAATGTTCTACAAAGTAGTAGGTAATTTCAATAGCTATCGTTTGAGCCTAATTTAAGGAAAATCCGTGGAAAATTGAGCGAGATATGAGCACATAAGTGCGGCAAAGTGGGTGAAAATAGTGGAAAATGGAAAATAGGCTCTAAAAGGAAAACTTGAGGGTCTAGGGAAAAAAGGAAGGTACCGTTGAAAAGCTGATGACTCAAGGAATCAGAAAATCCACACTTCAAAAAAAGGGCAGAAAAAAGTGTCATTTTTGTTGCCTAGTGTTATTAGTATAAAGTTGGACGTCTTGAAAAATTCGCCTCAATAGCAATAAAAAATTTGAACTTCAGAATAAATAAATGCGTTTTATTTTTTATTTATGTACAATATTTTATAGTTATAAAGCAAATTGTTAATTACGCAGATAAATAAAGATTATTGTTGTATTGCAATTCACAGAAAGTTTCATCTGAGTTACATAATTACTGCGTAGAGTATTGTTGCATAAGACAGTGAAGCTTTACAAATCTATAGAGAGAGATAAATTTGTAGAACTTTTACATTCTGTTCAAATATAATATTTTTTCGCTTTACCTGAACAAAAGTATAGACAGAAACTACACCAAATCCAAAAGTTTCCACCTTGATTGGATGATGGAGTCTTATCATGAGTATTAAGAAATTTTTCTGATCCATAACACTCATTTCATACCATTTTGTCATGTACAGAGCGTCTGACATGTCTTCAGAACTATTACGGATGATTTGCCCAAAGTAGCAGAGAATGAAGATTTGGGTTATCATCAGAATGCACCCAAGAAGAGGAACAAGAAGTGATGCATCCAGGGATTGGAATATGAATAATAATACACAAAGATAGGTCATGATGGTGAAGAGCTTTTGAAAGTAAACATGCCACAAAGACTTTGTTAATTTCTTCGCTTTTTCGGCAATTACCCTGTGCGTATCATAAATATTTTTTAGTATTACATGTGCTCTGGTTTGTGTAGTTTCTTCACTCTCAAGGCTAGAAATTAGTTTTGCAATGGCTCTCAATTCAGCATCACAATACAATATTGTTATCATAACAATCACATCTGACCACATAACCATCTCCAAAGCGGAGAAATAAATTATCATTTGTATAAAGATATTAACAGGGTAGAACAAGATACTATCCAAGGGAATTCCAGGAATGTAATAGAACATTGGTAGATTATATTCCGCTTGATACATGTCAAACAGTGTAATAATCACTCCAGATATGGAAACTGCAGTCAGGAAAGTTCTGCAAAAGACGATTAAAAGCAGAATTAGAACTAAAACTAATAATAAATTTTACCTTCCAATGTGATATGCAATTTTCATATTCTTCAGGTAATATTTTCTTCTATAGTTTAACATGAATTCATCTTCAGATTTGACAGTATTCTCAAAGTAATTCAGTAAATCGTCAATGTTTTTTTTATTGAAGACTCCGAGTGCCAAGTAATTAGTTGCTCCTTGATAAAAAGCAATGACAAAGATGACAGAGAATGAAAAGTCAATTAGATCACTGTAATCGTCCATTTGAAATAACAAGTGCCAGATTGAACAGAACACACTGAAAGCCATTAGAATTGGATAAATTGCGAGTTTTAACACATTCACAAATCTCCATTTCGATTGAGGTAAGAAATCCAATCGCCAAATACCGAAGAATAGAGAAACAATGAGTTTCAGTCCACTATGATATTTGGTTAACATTTTATCTGCGTTGCTGGAGACACTTTAAAGAGGCGTAGTTGAAGAAAGGGCATATATAGTGTGCTGTATTGAATTGAGGCAAATTACAATGATTGTTATCGCCTTGGTGGAGTTCTATAATAGTCTTTTATTGACCAATTTTAAACTCAATAATTTAGACTGTTATTGGCACAGGTTACTTTGTTACAAACATGTCACGCACTTTAAATTAAGAATCGATGACATGTTGCCTGATCCACAACAAATAACAGCTTTCTCATATTGAACGAACTTGCCAATTTCGAATGCATAATAATTACTTGCTTGGAAAATGTGGGGTTCAAATGTGAAAATAAATGAAAAGATTGTGGAAAATTTCTAAATCTGGAAAAGTAGTTTAAAATATTTAGTTGGATTAGGTTAGGCATTCTGCTGTGGCGTAATACGCCCAATTATGTACATGTCTGATAAATTTTCCGAAAATGACCCTCGTTAGCTGGGCCTCTGGCTGAAAAATTCATGTCCCCAAATGACTCCATTATTCTCATTTTTGGAAAGTCACAAAATTACATCAGAGTTGCTTGAGCCGCAGAGGAAATCCCACTGTTAAATAGTGAATTTTCCGCACAAGTAATCATTTATGAATCGAGTGGAAATTTATCGCTCTGCGGAGGAACCCGAAAAGGAGAGGCGATAAATCAAAGAATCCAATTGAAATTCATGCAAAAATCGAGGAGCCGCACCAAAGGAAAGCACACCATGCCGTCTCAAGTGCCTCTCGAAGGGGCGGCGCGATGTTGAAAAAAAAAACATGTCGCCAGAATGGGTGGCAAAAGAGTAATGAAAATGTTACGATTCGCTTAACGTGTGGTGTTTTGGGTTAAACATGTGCTGAATGCACAACTCCGTCGTGACCACTTCGGGAAGAGTGAAAAATATGGGTTGGCATAAATTAGGAATAAATCCAGAGTGTTTCGCCAACCGACAATTCTTTGGCTGGAATGCACACTTCTTTTGCTCCTCTGGTGGACTTGGTTCGCGCATAATTCTTGGGGGCCTTTTTCGGTGGGCAAAAAACAATAAAATTGCACTTTGTTTTCAGCCTTCTGCACCATATTTATGCCCTTTTCTCGCCCACGGGGGACTCACGGGGCGTCCCACAGGAAGTGGAGGCTAGAGCGGCAAAGGTGCAAAAAGCAGTCCTATATTCTGAGAATGGGAACACGATGCAGTCTTATGTAAATGTCCCCATTCCGCCACGGAGTGTGAATCTCATAATTTTTCCCTGCAGCCCGGCCAACATGGTAAATTGTCCCATTCACCATGGCATGGGCTTGTAATGTGTCCCCACGGCATGGGAAATCTCGTAAAATTGTCACAGGACAAAATAGCAACAGCTTGGCGGCTTTTCTTCTCCTCGTCTTACCATCCACCCTATGGCGAAAATGCTGCCCTCGTCAGATGTATATTTCACCGGTGGGGCATAAATTAACTTTTGGGTGGCACTTACGGTGAGTGTTTTTGGCAAGTGAGCCAAGACATGAGATGCCATAAAAAGAAGGCCTCGTGGTATGACCCGGACACGCTCGGCACATAATTTTCTCATCATCTTCCTACAAGGGCAAACCCTTCGATTGTTTTAATTAGCAAGTCCGGAAATTCAATCGAACTATGCAGAATTAATTTTCCCACTATCTCCATGGAGATTGTCAGTAAATTTCACTCCCCTTCGTGTCTCTGAGATGAGGTGGAGAATAAATATTCACTCAGCTTGATTGCATTGATTCAATTTCAGAGTGGTAAGCGTCTTTCGACCATTCTTTTGTTTAGAAATTGCTTACAACTTTGGTAATATTTGAAGAAATATTTTCACTAATTTGTGTATTTTAATAATTGATTGTAGTTAAGATGAGAGCATTCCTTGAAAGTAGGTGCTGTGCGTCTTTGCTGCTCTTCAAGACTAGAAAACTTATTGACTTTGTGAATTTGTACATTTTTGAACATTCCATTCATGTTGCGCTTACCTCAAGGCATTGTATGCATGTATATTTGAAACCCTAAAATATCTAGAACAGACAAAACTAAATTTGTAGTGAATTTACGCAGACGTCAACAGAAATACCGCCTTAAGAAATTTAATAAAGAATTGTGTATGGGAAATTTTTCTTGCGAAAGCAAGATTTCATGTAATTTTCTGAGAAACAGAGAGAATAGAGTATACACTCCATCTCATTTTATAATCTTCTCAGTGAAATTTGAAAAGCTTGTGGATTCTCCTCCACCCCAGCGGGCTTTATATTTGTACAGACACGACTGCATGAGGAGATGAGAAAGGATTAAGTGAAGGAGTATAGCATGTATGATTTACTGTTCTGCTCAGATCTTATTGCCTTGAGTCACCTTCTGCCATGGAGTTTCACTCGACATCGGGAGCTTTCCGCCACGTTCCAGGCTGTACCGAATAAAATCGCAATGAATCCGTAAATTGATATCACTTTAACGTTTAACGTGCCATTGCCTCCTCCCTCGCTTCATTGCTATTTATTTATCCTCGCTCAATTGGAAAATATTTATTGCAATCCAATTGGCACTGCTCGGAGGAGATTTTTCTTGTATCTCTGGGTAAGCGAGCAGATAACGTCTCACTTTCTACCAGGAACGGAAAATTAATTTCCCCCCAGGCACAGGGAAGATGGCTACACTTCAGAATGAATTGCATTTTTTTTGTCCATCGCTGACCAACTTTTTGTGAGCATCTGAGCCCTATTTTTGGCTGGCAAACGTAGGAGTTCAATTTGTAAAGAATCAATTCACGAGCTATGTTTTCAAGAGAGGAAAAATCTGCGTTTCTGCATCGTTAAAATGTCATGCAATACACAGACGTAGTATTATTTCGATTTAATGGCACTTTTGAGCGGTGAATCGTTAGAAAATACACTTGAAAATACATATGTGTGCGCTTTTGTGAAGCTTTAAGGGACATTCGAATGGAACACTTTTCCCCACTCACGGATGATAAGCCGCATTGACTATAAGAGGAAATGATAAGTAGGAAGAGAATTCTTAGGATGCATTTACAGAATATCACTCGTGTGTGTAATAATTTTGTTGGGAAAATACTTGAAAATAACTCAAGGGATGCACTGTCGAGAAGTGATGAATTCTCGTGAATTTATGTAACTATGCGAGGCACAATGATCTATGAGTACGTCGCAAGCTGAGAGGTACGACAATGCGAGAGAAATTTGATCTGCCAGATAATAAGTTGGCCGACGGAACTTGAGAGTCTGCGACAGGGAGCTTTCTGTCAGGGCTGAGGGGTAGAGACGACAATGATGTGTTATCGCTGAGTTGTAGAAATGAATGAATTAAGTAATGTTATTACATCTCCTCACTCTGGAGACTACAATAATATTGTCCGATTGGGGAGATGAGCATTAAAAGTTGACGACAACTTCTATCATATCTCGTCAAGAGTGGAGAATTGTGGTTGGGGCGCGCGAGGAGTGATAAAAGTTTTCCTAGAGAAGTGCACTTTTCGACACGAGCTCCATATTTCCGCTGTTAGTCAATTTAATTAGCCTCTCACTCATCTCGCTGATAAAGTTGGGAATTACGATGACAAAGACTCACCCTTAATTTTCAAGACAGAGAGGAGAAAAAAGTAAATCTCCTCCAAAGTGGATTACACTCATCAGTTTTCCCATGAGGAAATCTCACCCAATTACTGAAGATTGATTGTATGGAGTATCAGTTAATCATACACGACGAAGAGGTCACTCCACGCGAGGTTTTTCAAGCTGTCCATGAGGGATGGTGAAAAATTACACTGCATAGAAGTGTACATAAGTTTGAGGCTTTCTGTTGGCTCGCAAAGAGATTAAAGCTTGATTCTTCATAAAACTTGACTAACTCTCGCATTGTCTAACGAAGAGCCTTAATTGGAGCTCAGGAAGTTTTCAAGTGGGCTGCCGGATGACGGGAAAAGGAGTCCCTAGAGTCACCCATAGATTGAAATAGTAGATTAAAGCTTCAACCCACTCACAATCTCGGGTAAATGAAAATGGGAGAAAAGTCCC